AACCAAGAAGCAGAAAGACAGATCAAAGCAAGGATGTCAAATATTGTTTTAAAACCGAAAAAGTAAAGAAAAACTCTATTAGCCAGCCAGACCCAGGAATTAAAAACAAGGCTCCTACCGAGTACCGAATCCAAACTCTCCACCTGGCACGCGCATAAACCCACAGACACATACGTCGCCCCCGAAATCTTGTCATCACACCCCTCCAATCAAATAAAAGATTCGTTCAACTCGGCTCAAGGTAAAACAGTCCTATGCACCTCATCATTTGCCAGCACCTGGCCCGTCGGGGTTTTTCGCCAACTAATGCTTGCATGCTGCATTTTAAGATCCTTTGCGTATAGGTACCTACCCTAGCTACATGATGTAGTCATCTCGGAAACCATGTACGTCCTGCCCGTACCGTGCATACAGCTACCTCGATGCACTAGACTTGGACGGCCTTGACGTGCCTACTTGGGTATGGTGTGAATCCTTTTTCCGGGATCATCCCGCAGATTCAGGATGTGGGCATCGGGAAACGTGTAGGATTGGGCATCAATCAGAATATAGAACAGGGAGATCGTGGTTTTTCTTGCTGCTTGTATTTGTCATTAAGCCTGATCTTGAATTTTCCCGGGTAATCACGATGTGGTGGCAGTAAGTTTCCGTTCGGTCTCACGTTCAATTTACACCAGAGTACTAGATGTACCTAGGCATCAGCCAGTTCTGGCAGCCTGTGCTTGGGGTTTTGGTTACTGGTATACGCGTATAGATTTTTATCTAGGTTTGCTCATACCGAGGCAGGTTCGTAAGCCGACCTCGTACCTTGTCCGTCATGCTCATGCTAGAGCGTGTTCGCTGGTCCGATATACATGGCACTCGCGAGGTACACGATTGGAGCTTTCTGAGAAGACTGCTTCCTTTTTCTTATCTCTATGAGACAGTTTCATGTTGAGTGACCTCATTAGCCCGACACCCGACGTCTTATCACAGCAGGGCTAGGCTACGGCCCTAGAGACGTACATGTGCCAGGGAATAATACGAGGTAGAATGGCTGTTGAAAATTTTCGCTGCTTAGATGCTGTTCAAATCGGCGCGAATCGGGATAGAACTGAGTAAAAGGTTCTTGCTCTCTTTATCGCTCATCGAAATTCCCTTATCGCGTGGGAAATCTTTTGCTATCCCAAGGAAAGTCGGGTATGTACCTCTATAACCGATATACCAATGCGAGCTTCATGGCCTGTAATAACCGGTCTCAGAGTCGGTCAATGTGAGACCAGATCTACAAGGGTTCGAAAGCCAAGGTTCTATTATGGAGAACAAGTGACATCCATCCCATTTCGCAGAATTTTCAATCGCCCAGGTGGATGTCTGCTGATGTGATCAGCTAAGTCACTCTATGCCTTTCGAGTACCCAGGGCAAGAAGCATATACCCTAGTGCCCATTGCTCGAATTGAAATCATTTCCTAGCATGCAGTTTCAAATTCTAGGGTCAAAATGAACATGCAGAGCGATACATGCTGAAGAGAATTCCAGTACCTGCCATTAACTGTAGGCAGCACTTCTCATACAGGTCTGTCATCTCAACTACACATCCATTACATGAAGTCTCCACCAACCCCGGAAGCTAGGCTTGGTGACGTAGTAAACATATATTTACGCCAAACACAGCCCTTACCTTCTAAAGATTGACGTATCATTCCTGAAACAGGCAACGGTCATTAAAACGCCATCGCTACGCCCGTCAAGCCTCTCCCGACCACCCAATTTACAGATATGACGATTTGCGATCGATCCATCACAGATACCAACAAGGTCAATGGGCGCTGAAGGGAAGCGAAAAGCAGACGCAAGGCGATTTGACTATCTCAGATATGCACGCATAGGTAATGTAGGCAAGCAATTGAGTCAATAAAACTGCACTTTGGTGTCTTAGATAATATGCCGACAAAGTCTAGGCTTTGTAGCTAGGCTCTGTAGTACATATTTTCACCTGGAGCTGGCTATTTACAGAGATTAATTAGGCTATTGTTGTTTGGAACTTTCGTCGGTGCCAACTGTACAATAGTGGACCTGGGTCTATCTCAAGAACCTAAAGAACCAGTTCCGAAATTAAAGAATCAGTCCCGTGTATAAATAAATACTTGAATTTAATAAAAGAGAAAGTAAAGTTTGATGGTGGGAATTGGTGGGTGGATTCAGGAAAAAAGAAAAAAAAGAATAGCGAGCGACGCAGGGATCGAACCTGCAATCTCTTGAACCGAAATCAAGCGCCTTGCCATTAGGCCAGCCGCCCTGATATGAGTTTATCCGTCAAACGATATATAACAGGCACTTGTGTTGATTCACGAAAACAAATCCATGAATTGATCCTGAACAGCCAACGACGTTGTGATTTTGGAGCTGGAAAAAAAAAAAAAAAAAAAAAAAAAAAAACGTGGGCCGAATTGAGGACTTCATGACGTCGCTTATATTGGTTTAATTCTGTAATTGGGACAATGATTGCAAACCCCCCCGCCAGGTCATCCAGGACAAAGATCGCAAGGAAAGTAATTGAGATAGAGAAAGTAATTTTCACCTAGTAGCGTTTATACTAATCTATGCTTTAGCAAATCGACAATTCCTTTATTAGACGCTATGGATCCTTCTTGAAAGAAATGTCGTCAAGGTCCACATATTATACACAGAGGAAAGACTCAGCAGAGGTTTGTGATTGATGCCATAGAATGAAATCAATAAACATGTATTGTTTCTACAAGAAAAAGAATTGACTAGTCATAAAGCATAAAATTGTCATCTACTTACAACCTTGATGATACAGTCGATAGAGTTATAAGCTCCCGCTCATCTCTTTACAGCCGGCAGCCCATGTTGACATGAACGGCCTTAACCTGCGAGTAGGCCTCGAGACCAGCCTCGCCAAGCTCACGGCCAATGCCACTCTGCTTGACACCGCCGAATGGCACACGGAAATCACTGTCATTGCTGCTGTTGATCCAGACCATACCAGCTTCAATCTCAGAGGCCGCACGGTGGGCACGCTCAATGTCTTTGGTGAAAAGAGCAGCACCGAGACCGTATGTAGTGTCATTGGCACGAGTGATAGCCTCCTCCTCGGTAACGAAGCTGGAGATTACAACGAAGGGACCGAACACCTCCTCGCGGTAGATGCGCATGTTATCTTTGACGTTGGTGAAGATGGTCGGGGCAATGAAGAAGCCACGGCCGTCACCGACATTCTTGAAGGGCTCGCCGCCAGCGACGAGGGTAGCGCCCTCGGACTTACCGGACTCAATATACGACAGAATACGGTCGTACTGTGCCTTGGTGACCTGAGGGCCCTGGAAGGTGTCGTCGGCGAAGGGGTCACCGACCTTGCTGGTGGAGGCCACGACATCCTTGAAGAGGGAGACGAACTTGTCATACACAGAGTCGTGGACTAAGATACGGGAGGTGGAAGTGCAGACCTGACCCTGGTTGTACATAATACCGATGTGGGCCCACTTAGCAGCCTGCTCGAGGTCGGCATCCTCGAACACAACCAGTGGAGACTTACCACCGGTCTCGAGAGTGATGTTCTTGAGGGTGCCAGCAGCCATCTTCATAATCTCACGGCCAGTGGCAGTGGAGCCTGTGAAAGCAACCTTATCAACGTCGGTGTGCTTCACCAGCGCAGCACCAGCGACACGACCGTGACCGTTGATGATGTTGATGACACCAGGAGGGAAACCGGCCTCCTTGATCAGACCGGCGAGGTAAAGAATGCTGAGTGGGGTCTGCTCGGCAGCTTTCATAACAATAGTGTTACCACATGCGAGGGCAGGGCCCAGCTTCCAGGCAGCCATGGCCAAAGGGAAGTTCCAGGGAATGATCTGACCAACCACACCAATGGGCTGGCGCAGAGTGTAGGCAAACTTTTGTGGGGTGGTGCCAATAGTCTGGCCAGTCACCTTGTCGGCCCAGCCGGCATAGTAACGAAGAGAACTGAGGACCTCACCAAGATCATCATTCAAAGAAACAGAGTAGGGCTTGCCTGTTGCAGTCCGTCAGCATCAGATACATTGGCCATTTTGATGTTGGAGAGACGATACTAACCGTTATCCCAGGTCTCAATGGTGGCAAGGGTCTCCTGGTGCTTTTCGATCAAGTCGGCAAACTTCAACATCAAATTACCACGGTCGGTAGCGGACAATCCCTTCCACGACGGGTCCTTAAGGGCCTTGCGTGCGGCCTTGACAGCGATATCAACATCCTCCTCGCCGGCGGCGTACACGGAAGCGATCTCCGTCTCATTCCTGCGACTCGGTCAACAACTTGAACATTTAGATAACAGGAAGGTCCAAGTCATTACTTACGAAGGGTTGATCGATGTGATTTTCTCGCCGGACTTGGATGGCACAAACTCATTGTTAATAAAGAGGCCGATAGGCTGGGTGTAACTGCGCCCGTTAGGGGCAGTCAATTGCACGGAGAGGTCAGACATGGCGGTGGTATACAAGGGACGAGGAGCAGTCGAGCGAAGTACAGAAGAGAAACACCGCAATGGCCGGAGGATAAAGGTGCAACCAAACATTTGCGGAATTATTAAGTTAAAAAGGAACCCCAGGTGTGCAGCAGGTTCCCCCCGCTCTGATAACGATAACGCGGTATCCACCGGGTCGGGTGCACCTACTCTTCGTGGGCAATCGCTGGAGCTCTGGGTGGATTGGCTCCGTGTATGAATGCTGGTTGGCTGCGCCCGCCGCCGAAGCTTAATCCCCCCTCTTCTACAGTATCAAAGTCCGAGGTCGATTATCAATCTTTGAATGGGTTGCACGGCTATCCGCATGACTTTATATTAATCCCCGAAGATCGATGAACTAAATATGGGTTGCCGTACTACCCAGGTGACAAAAAATCGGGCTAGAAATGACATATGCTTGCTCTCTTAAAATCCCTATCCAGCCGCAACGCCCAAGGAAAATATTTCTGCAGAATTGTACAAACCAGACCTTATTATAGCGTCTGTTGAAAAACCTTATTCACTTTCATCGTCAAAGTCCGTCTTGAGAAGGTGGTCTGGATCTTCACCCGCCAGCTCCAAGATGTAACGCCATTGTGCGGGGGTCACGGAGGAAACACTGAGCCGTGATTGCTTGATGGTCTGCAGGTTCTCCAGGGCCTTTCCGGGCTGGGAGTGCGACTTGAGGTCATTCAAAGTTACCTGCTTCTTGAGTTTGCAGCGAAATTCAACGTGCACAACCACCCACTTGGGGTTTTCGCGGGTGGCCTTAGGGTCATAGTATGGGTGCTTGGAATCAAAGGCGGATTCTGTGACGAAGGATATAAGTTAAAGGCATCAATTGAGGGGATATATCAGAAGGTTCGAACCATCGACTGAGTGCTCCTGCACAATTTCCATAACGCCGACAACTCCAGGGGTCTTGCAGTTGGAGTGGTAGAAAAAAGCGTAGTCTCCCTTCTTCATGTCCCGCATAAGATTCCTGGCTATTGACTTGTAAGCTGGGTCATTCGGGTCATTTATGATCTTGTTCCAATAAAATCTTACCAACAGCATTGCGAACTCCTATTGAATTGTTAGAAGTATTCTTCGTTATGAGCTGGGGAAGTCCTACCGTCCCATGGCTCTGGGCTATCCGCCGCAGCCAAGTCATCAATGGAAAATTTGACATCCACACCTTTCTCGAGACGTGATTCAGGCTCTGCCTTCATCAGCCAGTAGGAGCGACCAGCATCGTCTTTGGGCACGCTTGGCGGGGTAGCTTCGGGCTTCGATTCGGTTTCAACAGCACCCTCCGTACCATTGGCAGGCAAGCTCTTGCGTGGCCTGCCTCGACCGTCCTTCTTTTTCGGGGTTGTGGTTGCTGACTTCGGTGTCTCGGTGCCTGGAGAGCAAATCATTGACAATTAGCTCTCAGAATACTTCATCTTCAATCTCGACAAAAACATACCTGGTTCCTTGCGAGGACGCCCGCGCCCTCTCTTGGGGCCCTCTGCAGCTAATGCTTCTTTTTGGGCTGCAGCGGCAGCAGTTTCCTCCTCAGTGAGAATCTTTCGAGGACGTCCACGGCCGCGCTTGGGGCCATCGGTAGAGGGCTTGGGGAAAGTACCCTCGGGGTACTTGCGCGGGCGACCACGCTTCCTTTTCTCGCCAGTCTGTGGGGTGGCCTGTATGGTCAATGCATCAGTATTGTGGAACCCAAATGGATTGTCCATCAAGGCAAATCCTGGCGATCAGCTCCTGATGACTTTGTGATTTTACCTCAGAAACAATATCCCCCTCGGCATCAGAATTAGAGTCGCGCACTCTCTTCGACGGAGTTTTAGCACTGTCAGACATTGTGACTGTATCTTCTGCCTTCCGTTTTAGCGGCATGTGGTTTGGGGGTTCGGAGGTTGGCGCGCTTTTCGCAGTTAAGGGGTAGATAGGAGAGAGGGTAAAGATTGTTTTATTCTGGAAAGTAAAAACTTCAAGAACATACAATTGCAATCAGCTTAATCGCTCTTACAATGAGTTCCTGCCGACAATAAACCTGGATGAAATGTTTAGGACGAAGCTTCTGTTTGCCTCGAGCTCGACGCGACGGTGGGTCCGGGTGATCCACGTGACACGCGCTTGATCGACGGATCTTCAAGTTCAGCGGGGGAAGGCCCCTTGCGGCAGGATTGAATAAGAGGTGAGTAGAAGTATTTGAGGATCCTAATTGAAACAATAAAAATTTTATTGAAAAATTTGGAACGGATTATTCCCGGCACGAGCCCGAGTTATAAGTCGCCAGGGCTTCTACCGCCTAGGTGAAGGTTGTTTTGTTGAACTTAATTGCTGATCTGTGTGCCTAGAGTATATATATGTGAACAACCTTCGATAGTACAGTACATAGAAACTCTGTCGCTTCAAACAATGCATGAACAGAAGCTTGATTTAATCTTCCTGGGTAAGCATCCGCTTTAATACCTAAAGATGGGCAAGCATAAGAGTGTATAACATCTGCAGCTGAAATTACAAATCTTGTGTGTGTTAATTCTGGTATTATAACTCTATTATCTACTTCTAACATTCTAAATTGTCCTTCTTCTAAATCACTTTCAGGTACTATATATGAATCAAACTCTATAAACTCATCATCTTCATTAGTGAAATCTGGATAATAAGTGACGAGAGGTTGATACGATGTCAATGGATTCATAACTTAAAGCACTCAAAGTTTGTAATATCTCAATCGGGATATGAGCATATTTAACCTACTTTTCCGAAGGAAAGCCTCATCGTAACAATGGATGCAAGACAATCAACAAGGATCTCCATAGTTCATATGTGATGAACGCCTTAGCCTTGAAGGTCATCAGCACTGGAGATTGACATCTCTTCCTAGGTAATTCTCAAATATTTGAAACCGGCTGGAAAGTGAATAATCTTCTATATCTCATAATTATCGCTGCCATGTACCCCCGGTTTATTTGGTGAGCTACAGTAAGAGAAAAGTCAGCAGAAAGCTCGCGCCTGAACCATTCAGGTGGTGGATCAGCTCAAGCATCGATTGACAATAAAATAGTAAACTAGAACATATGCATTGAGGTTCGTGATTAGAGAACTATTTCTGTAGGTTGATTTACTCCTGCCATGTATTTATTAATTCCCTCACTTGAATCACCTAAAGGGCATAAGAATATCCACGTGTGCATAGTATTTCAGGAAAATAGGGTAAGCCCAGAGTATCTGAATGTAGCCTTGACGCCCACGAACCTCTGCAGGGTCATCTAGGTTGAGCTGTTGGAAGCAAGGAAACCTATCGAAGGTTAGCCCCACCTGGTGGGTCTCATCCCACCTCAGCATCGACCCGAATCCGGAGGTTGACAACAAGAGCGCTAAGGATCTAGCCAATTACTTCAACCTGAGATTGCCCGTATGCGACTCCGGGGATCGACTCAGGTAGCGCTGATGGCTTCTAAGATTATTAATGTCAACAAAGAGGGAGAATGGAATTGCGCCATCCCGTCGAGTCTCCATTGGCTCCACGGCGGGGTATCGGCCGACTCGACACGAACGCAGCTCGGCCGACAACATGAGCCGATGCAATTGTGATAAATTGAAGGTGTATTTTTCGGGGCATGTAAAAGACTGTAGAAGAGGGAGTACCTGGGGATGGAAAAGTAGGAGAGCGATACCTGGGGATGGCAAAAAGCCGGGGAAGGGAGATTGATAGACAACAGCCGTGGAGGGGTCAATCTGTGCTCGGGAGCCGAAGAGAACCTTTGTGAAGTCCCCAGTAAGTACTGTAGCTTGGCATAATTCAGCCGTGAAATATTGCATCAGGAACACTAAACAGCCCACCAGGGCCATCTTCACCAATGATATGTATTCTGCCAAAGGCGGCCAATAATTGCGTGATGGACAACAGCCGGATGAGGTAAGTCGATCACCGCGACAAGGTGCCTCGCAAGCAAGAGGGGCACCCGTATTTGAACCTTCTATTCCCCCCTTTTGAACTTTCTTCTTCCATATCCTTCATTCTCCAACATCTACCGGATACCAATCCTTCACATCTACTACCACAATGGCTGAACAGCGTGCTCCGTATGATTACTTCCCTCTATAGAGATACAAACTACTAGATCCAATGGCTGACCATCAACTAGCCTCCGTCTGGGCTCTGTTGCCCCTAACTTCGACGCCGAGACCTCCACCGGTCCCATCAACTTCCACGACTTCATCGGTGACAAGTGGACTATTCTCTTCTCCCACCCCGATGACTTCACCCCCATCTGCACCACCGAGCTCGGTGCCTTCGCCAAGCTTGAGCCCGAGTTCACCCAGCGTGGTGTTAAGCTCATCGGTCTGAGTGCCAACGGCGTCGAGTCCCACCACCGTTGGGTCAAGGACATCGATGAGATCTCCGGCTCCCAGCTCAAGTTCCCCATTATCTCCGACCCCGAGCGCAAGGTCGCCTACCTGTACGACATGGTCGACTTCCAGGACACCACCAACGTTGACTCCAAGGGTATGGCTCTGACCATCCGCTCCGTCTTCATCATCGACCCCGCCAAGAAGATCCGTCTGATCATGACCTACCCCGCCTCCACCGGCCGCAACACTGCCGAGGTTCTCCGTGTCATTGATGCTCTCCAGACCACCGAGAAGCACGGTGTTACCTGCCCTATCAACTGGCTCCCCGGTGATGACGTTGTCATTCCTCCCCCAGTCTCCACTGCTGATGCCAAGGCTAAGTTTGGTGAGATCCGTGAGGTCAAGCCGTAAGTGATCCTGCATACCATGTGAACCTAAAGTACTTTGTTTCTGACCTAAATGACAGTTACCTCCGCTTCACCAAGGACCCCAACCACTAAGTGATGGGCTTTACGATGTAACGCGAAAATAAAATATCTAGTTTATTTGGCTGGAATAGAGCCTACTTGATACCAATATGAAATGACTTATCCCACCAACCGTCAACCTTTTTGTTCCCGTAAACACTCCGCTTTGTGTAACCTGGGCGTAGATGTCTCACTAAGGTTAGAGTGACCTGGCTCGATATGACGGGACTATAACAAAGTTTCCGATAAGATACTCAGTGTGTACTACCCTGCACATGCACAACAATGGAATCTCCCAAGGTTTTATCTACAAATACATACACTACAAAAGGCAATTTAAAGAGTACTTCAAGAGAAATACGATTTCGATAAAACAATGGTAAAAGGATGCTTAACTCTTTGCTTTATTTTCCTAGATCGGCCCTTTTGCCAAAATTGTAGATAGCGCGGTCGTATCCGCCCCCCCAAACCCATCCGGGAAAGCGTTGATTGAGACCGCCTTTTTTGTGCCGATCCAACGTCTACGGTCTGACACTTTTATCTCTCCCCACTCGCTTTTGGTCGACTGGCATATTGGCAAGAAAATCCCCGGTCCTCAAATCCTGGCCTTCCCCGTACCAAAAAACCCGCTTATCTCGACGCGGCGGGGAAAACCTACCCCCTGGTCCCTACCCATCCCCCATAGGGCCACAATTCGAGCCGCAACGGTACCTGCGATCAGCGCCTAGCAGGACATTCCGATCGTTACACACCTCAAATCGAGCCGATATCCGTCTCATGTATACTGTCTGACAGTAACGGCATTGTGCGAAAAAGGGAGCCATCCATATCCTACTGTCTTTATTTCTTTGGATTCCCCGATTGTGTTTGGACTCGTACCGTTCTTCTCGCCCACGATGATGTCCAGGAGCCAGTCGAGTCTGGGCTTCCTAGACGCTGGTCAAGAACCCGCCGCAACAGGCGGCGTCTCGCCGTCTTTCAACCAACAGCCCTCATCTGGACCCATCAACCTATCTGGATTGGTCTGCAATGTGCGCCGAACCACCGGCAAGGAGCCTCACCCCCTGGTCGGGGCTACCACAACAATTTTGGGGGACAAGTTATACGTTTTTGGAGGCCGGATCCTCTCACGAAGTCGTCCTAAGTTGACGGCAGACCTATATGAATTGGATCTGATTCGGCGACACTGGAGCAAAATTGAAGCGACAGGGGACATTCCTCCGCCACGTTACTTCCACAGTGTATGTGCACTTGGAGATAACAAGTTGGTTGCCTATGGTGGCATGTCGCCAGCTCCTAGTGCCCCCAAGGATCCTTCGAACCCTAGTGCGTCTGGATCGGAGACTCAGGCAGAGGTAGTGGTCATGTCGGATATTCACATATTTGATGTTCCATCGCGCACATGGACTCGAGTTGCGTCGCATGACTCACCACAAGGACGATACGCTCATTGTGCCACGATTCTCCCATCAAGCGCCAATTTTACTTCTGCTCGTGCGCCGCTGTCGGCTATCCATCATAACCCGGAATCCTCCACACCCCACCAAGGCTCAATCGGGGTGGATATAGATGGCTTCGGTGGCGCCGAAATGGTGGTTGTTGGTGGCCAGGATAGCTCCAACCACTACATTGAACAAACTAGCGTTTTCAATCTCCGAAGTCTTAAATGGACCAACACTAGCCCTCTCGGTCGCAGCTGCGGTGCGTACCGTAGTGTCGTCGCGCCCCTGGTGGGCATGGACGTCTCCGAGATTGGGTCTGCTGCCCCTGACCGAGATACACAAGAGCCCATCGAGGAGTCAGAGTCGCCAGGGTGCCCCATGCTTATCTATTCAAATTATAACTTCCTCGATGTCAAGCTGGAGCTGCAGGTGCGCCTGCCGGACGGGCGTCTTGTCGAACGACCAATGCAGAGCCAAGCATCTCCACCTGGGCTGCGATTCCCAAATGGTGGTATAATAAACGGCCATTTCGTTGTCAGTGGTACTTACTTGACCTCTTCGAAACAAGAATATGCTCTATGGGCTCTTGATTTGAAGACCCTGACCTGGGGTCGTATTGACGCCGGTGGGTCCGTCTTTGGTCATGGTAGCTGGAATCGGGGTATCCTTTGGCCACGCCGCAGCTCGTTTGTGATCCTTGGACACCGCAAGCGTAGCCTGGTTGATGATTACAATCACCGGCGCATTAACTTCTCACATATATGCTTGGTTGAGCTCGAGGCCTTTGGTCTTTACAACAATCCCTCTCGTACATCTTCAACATCTGGATACAAGTCGTATAGCTCACCTTCAGTCCCTGCTTCTCTGCAGCAGAAACTAGCCCAATTGACGACAGGTGGACGACCACTGTCAGCCGCATCGGATGAGCTGGGGAAATTGGCACTTTCGCTGCACGAGATGTCGGATATGGAGTTACAGGCTGTTGGCGGGGAGCGCATTCCTGTGAACTCTCGTCTTTTGGCCCGGCGCTGGGGACCTTACTTCATTCAACTTCTGCGCGAATCGTCCGAAGGAGGGATTGCGGACGGCGGAACTCTTCGCCCCGTACAGATCCACCCCAGTCGCAACTCCAGCATCACCATTACCCCATCCATTGGCCACAATAGCCTTTACTCGAACGCAACGACTCTGGTCAACCCCTCTGCCCCCTCCAAGGCTCTTCTTGAGAACATGGAAGCTCCCTCTGCACATGGCCTTGCCCCGACCGCTCGACCCCGCGTGCTATACCTCCCCCACACCATCCTTACACTTCAAGTCCTCGTTCAGTATCTATACACCTCCGCTCTTCCTCCTCCCGGGTCTTCCTTGTGCACACCGCAGATCCTTTGTTCTCTCCTCCAGCTCGCACGACCTTACCAGATAGATGGTCTCCTGGAAGCTACCGTGGAGCGACTGCATCAAGTCCTCGATGGTCGCAACGCTGCGGCAGTATTCAACGCAGCGGCCATGGCCGCAGGCGGCGGACGAGGTACCGGCTTCACCGGTGGCCTAGGCGGCACATTGGAAGCTCTCAATGGCTCGCAGATTGGCAATGGCTCCATGCACGATGTTTCGGAGGGTACCAATTCTCATAACAGCGGTCTCATGGCCTCTGACTCGTCCGACACAGAGCATGGTGCCATGCCCCCCTCCGCCGCTAGCAGTACGGGCGACCTCACCAACTACACGCGCGGTATCCCATCTCTTCGGATCGACACCAACATCCGTGGCCGGCAGCACCGTAGCGCTCACCGCGAGCGCGAAGACTCTATCAGTACCGCAAGCACCGCAACTTCAGCCTCCAGTGCTAGCTTCAGCCAGTCCGACTCGGAGTTTGTTAGCGATACTGAAAGTCGTTCTCAGTCCCGCGCTCACCAGCGCCGTGGCACGGATGCCAGTCGTCCATCCCGTGAGATCTGGACCGGTGATTTGTCCAGCGTTATTGGCCTGCAGAAACGTGGTCTACGTGGTCTAATGGAGGGTCGTCGCATGCGTGAGCGAAGTGCCAAACCTCCCAGCGTGAGTAGCGGCTCAACTTCTGTGCCTCCATCTACAGGCTCAGGAGAACACCCGTTCCACATGCAGGGGGTGGCTGGCTAAAGAAAAGGAATACCCGGTGTCTCCTCTCCGTTTATGCTAGACGGGAGCAGGTCGGTGAAGATGTCACCAAACCTACATACTACGCATCTACATACGTTTCCAATTTTGTTCATAATTGCCTTTTCTTCTTCACCCCAGCAGGCTGATGAGGTGGGAAGAATTCTTTAAATGAGAATATATTCTTCTTTCTGGTTAGCAAAAAAAAAAAAAAAAAAAAGGAACGATGACTATGAAATCTGATTTCTTTTCGTGTAACGTTGATTTGTGTCCCATTTCCGTTATACGATCTCTGTGTACATGAGCTTGAACCATCCAGAATTTCAATCTAATGCACCAAGCTAGTAGTCATTTACGGAATTTGAACACTGGAACACAAATCAAATGCAATGCAGTCATGAACCTGAAATATTGAACTTTAACGCTTAATGTACAAATGATGCTCGAACAATTAGCCTCCGGCCCTACGCCCTATTTCTCCATTAGAAGGATGGGGAAGAGCTGAAAGAAGGTCAAGGCTATTCCTGCTCCTTGGGGGCAGGGAAGTGTTTCTGGCTTTTGTCACCGTAGGCTAGGAGTAGCGGGCCACGTTAGTAATTCACGAAGATACTTGACCAACGAGACCGGGGTTTGAATTCCCGAGATCAGATAGAAGACTCACTTCGCTCATAGAGAATGTAAGACGTATACAAGAGAAACGGTAAAGCGACAATGGTCGATGTCCATCTATAAATTTATCAGTAAAATATCGAATCGAATACCATGGAGTTGTTTGAGGGGTTGTTTTTGCGCAAAAGACAGATCACAAGGATATCAAATGGATGTTAGTGGGAGGTACGACACAGCAGAAGCTCAATCGCGGGTGGAATCCGATCCAGAACGCAAAGGGAAGGACAGATGGGAAGGAAGGCAGCAGATTTGATAAATGAGATGGAATGAAATACATACCTCCGCGCAGCAAGCTTATACTCCTTCGTCGACCGAATATCCGGGTGTCCCTTGAGAGACGGCCTCGGACGCTGTGGGCGGGGAGCAGGAGCCGGTTGGCCCGGACGGAAATGCTCGGATGGGTATGTAGGCATTTTGAACAGGGTATCTATCTAGATGGATGGGAGTTGGTGGATTGTTACATTCTTCCGGGAAAAGATGAACAGGATCAGATGAGGAAATTGGGGTTGGTGCCTCAGGCAGCCATGTATCCTTGTTTTTCTGTTCTGGAAGCTAGTTGCAAGATGGTATCTGTATTCTAGATTTTCCAATTTAAATACCAGAAAAGGTCAATTCAATAATCGAGAGTACTCGAGAATTATACATATATAAACTGGATATATTGATGTTGCATGCTTTGTACAAACAGAGCAATAATAATCACGTTTTGGTATTATGCAGCAAGTAGAACTAGCTCCATGTTAGAAAACCGAAATATAGGCTGCTTCTCTGGAGAAACGAGAAGGAGCAGATAGCTAATTAGAGAATAAGATAGGAAAATGTAGAAGTTAAAATAAAAAAAAAAAAAAAAAAAAAAAAATCACGCTATGCAGGCAAATCTTCGTGGTGTTTTTAGAATTCAGTCAACGCTGGAAAATGCTCAAATGAAAACGCCTTTTCATGGTCGCTAAGAATATAACGAAAGACAAAGACAAAACAAAATAGACAAAAACCTTTAGTCCGGTCTTCTCACCAAACCCAAACTCCACTCTGCCCCATTCCATTGACTTTGATCGCGGCCTCAGCTTCCACCACGGCCTCGACCACGACCACCACGACCTCGGCCCCGACCCCGGGATGGGGTAGCCTTGCGTCGCGACGAATCCTCATTCTGGTCCTTGGCCTTCGAGGCAGCCGATTTCTGCGGCGTGGTTGTTGTTGTGGTTGCCGCACGCTTTCGGCCTTTCTGCGGGCCAGATTCGTCGGTACCTGCAAGGCGAGCACGCTTTGCGGCAGCAGTCTCTCCTGCAGGCCCGTTCATGGAATCGGCAGTTCTCTTCTTCCCCTTGCCAGAGGTGGGCGATGCGCCTTCCTTTTTGATCTTTGGCAAGACCGCATCCTCATCGGTCCCTGGCTCCTTGTGGCCATTGGTCTTCCCTTCAGGTCGGGGTGCAGTGAGGACGAGACGAATGGGTCGGAAAGGCGGGTCCTGTGATGACCCTTCTCCGTCGTCAGTGTCGGCAAGGAGAGGGGCTGGAGCAGTCTTGGAGGCTGCTTTGGCGGATCGAGCGAGGGGCTTCTTGGTTGGAGGTGCTGCTTTGCGAGTCGTGGGTGCTGGCAATGAGGCACGTGCGGTTGCACGTCGCTTGGGCTTTGTCTCTTGTCCAAGAGCAGGACTGTCGGCAGTGGCTGGTTGAGTCTGTCGCTGCTTGGCAGAACGAGGCTTCCTGGGTTCACTGGGAGCAGGAAGTGCCTTCTGACGCGCTTCACCGCGTGCTTGAGCTCGAGCCAGTTCCTCAGTGACATCCTCTGGTACAAAGTGAGAGTGGGCGTCGAAAGGAATGTTGCGATCACCCATCAAGGGAGGGAAGCCGAAAGAGTTATCATTCTGAGTCTGCTTTTCTGACCGAGAACGGACAGGCGGATACGGCAAGGTGTCGTCGTTGTAAGTGCGAGGCGGCCAATATGGGCTGTGGTCACTGGGGGGAAAGAAGATCTCTTCACCATGGTCATTGATGCGGCCGACTCGTGCCCAGCCGCCATCTTCAATCTGTGGTGTCGACTGCTGCTTGTATTGCCGAATACTTCCGGTGTCTGTTTCGCTGTCGTACAGATTGGGTTGATTCTCGTCTCCAGCCGAAAACTCACGAGTGCGCTGCAAGCCCTCTTTGGCCTGGAAATATTCAAATCGAGCGTTGGCTATTACCCACTCAGGATCAGACGGAAGCTCGAAGTCGGCACCCAGCGCAACCATGGTGATCTCGTACAGCTTCCGTCCTGCGGTTTCTATATCACAATCAATGCTCCAAAGAGTTGAGTTCTTCTTCAAGGTCTTTTTGCCTTTGCCCTTTGATGACTTTGGAGTGGTCTTGTTGGGGGCTTGAGCCGCGGACTCAGCCGTCTCGTTCTTGGCGGATGCGGGGGTTGCTCTCTTGCGGGGCTTCTTCTTCAGTGCTAGGGCTTCAATCGCCCGGGATGTTGGCTTGCGGAGGCGAGCCGAAGCTCGAGTTCCCTTGGAGGAAGCAGCGCTGGGAGATGGGGGAGCCATTGTGTCGTCGTGTGATCCCATGTATTGATCGTATGTCCAGCCAGTTGAGCCAATACTTTCAGAGGCGTCAGGATCGGATAGTTGATTTTGTGGGGTTTCACGAGCAGTCGTACGCCGAGTTCTCCGGCTACCTTGACTGGAGGAGTTAGGCGTTTCCACCACCGGGGTATAAACGTTGGATAGTCGAGATGGACGAGCTTGGAACGGGCGACGGCCAGTTGAAGTTACGTCAGGGGACGTGTTATTTAGAGGAATATTCTGAGGAGGGGTTTTGGGATGATAATATCGAAATGTGACGACGTTCTCTGAGGAGGGGTCGGTGGAGTAATCAATAGTTTTGGTAGGATAGTCGTTATCATTTAGAGCTCTTGTAGGAGTGGGGACTCGTGGTGAACGTCGCGATGGAGTAAATGTAGTATGAACAATGCGCGCTGGCATTGATTTACGCGTTCCTTTTTTGGGAGGCATGGTGAATGAAGTCTACTGTTCCCAATCCAGGCAGTCAGTGAATAGGGCTCAAAGGAACACCATTTGGTGGCAACCGGAAACAGACGGAGTAAACAAAGTGAATGAACGAAGCGAATAAGCGAGAAATAATTTGCCAGCAGATTGATCTAGATTATAGAAAAACCTAAATTGTGGGGGTAGAGCTTTACCCCAAGTGCAAGGGGACTCGACGTCAGAAGTCCTGAAGAGTCGGTCCCAGGGCTGAAGTCGGGGTTTAGGGCCCGGGGCCTCGAAAAGTAGCAATTTAGCAGGACTTACAGTTGATTTAGGGGCGAACCCATCCAGCAAATAACAATCAACAGGTTTCTCAAGATTAAGCTGGTGGACTAAGTAGGTTTGCGGGGCCAGCTAGAGCAGCGAGGGCGATTCATGGGGAAGAGAGAGTTGAAGTCCCAGCAGAAAAGAAATTAGGGCTAAAGTCGATCGGCGCTTATCGGCCTCCGCCTTATTCTGCAATCTGTCAACCACCAGCTTCTCCTCCTTGCTCCTCCAACCTCCCCTCCTAAATCATTGCTTTTTCTTTATTTCTTGCTTGGAATTGTTTTCAATATGCATATGTGGCAGGCCACTGTTCAGTTCTGCCTGTTGGCATCCGCTGCTTTGCCGGCAGCTGCTGCGTCAGCTTGGGGCTTTACTGATGCCACCGTGGCAGTCCAACCTAAGGGTGCCGGAGTTAATGCTGGATTCAAAGAATCGTAAGATCAATGGCCTTTCCAGCCACTTGCAAGATTACCGGAAGCTAATGTATGACTGTCCGTAGGCTTTCCGTCTCCAAACCGCTCTCGAAACCCGTTGCGCTTGCCGGTGCCGATACATTGCGCGTCACCTTGACTACTCAGGAAGGAAGCTCCGCGAAGCGCCCACACCAAGCTTTCCTTCTGTTGAAGGATTCCCATACTGGACTGGACATCTCCTACCCCTTCACAGTCAAGGAGAACGGCAAGTCGCGGGTGGAATTGGTATGCGACCTCCAGGTCTCCGCATGGTGAGATCAAGCTAATCAAGTCGCTCTAGACCCAAAAGGACCTCCCGATCCAATTCCTCTCCCTCCCCGAGCCCATCGATGCTCGTGTGGTCATTGGTTCTTTTGGAAGCTCCCAGGCTTACGATTCTTCGATCTTCCCTCTGTCGATTGAGCGCAATCCCGATGTTCCCGTCCCCACTGTTGACGCGGAGAGATACGGCAAGCTGCCCGAGATCCACCACATCTTCAAGGATGCTGCCACCAGCCCGCCCATTGTCATTACCCTGGCCTTTGTGGCCTTAGTCGGCGCTGCTCTCCCGCTTCTGGCCGGTCTGGTAAGAAAAAAAAAAGCTGCCTTGTTGCTGATTGTCTAGCTAACTCGAAATCTAGTGGCTCCTCCTGGGTGCCAACGTCAATCATCTGTCGACTGCCTTCAAATCTGCCCCTCTCCCGCACGCCATCTTTGTTGGATCTTTGGTTGCCTTCGAGGGCATCTTCTTCCTCTACTATACTTCTTGGAATCTGTTCCAGATCCTACCTGCTGCTGCTGCTGTTGGTGCGGTCGCATTTGTGAGCGGTAGCCGCGCATTGGGCGAGGTCCAAGGCCGCCGCCTTGCAGGCCTGCGGTAAGCATCTAGACGAACGCTTCAAAAAACATAGGCTGTCTTCCCGAGCTCTTTCGACATCATCGACGTATTGAGCTCGGGTGGCATTGTATCTTAGCTGTGATGATATCCACCTCTTATTTCCGACAAAATAGGATTCTATGAATGAATTCGCTTCCAGTAGATATTAAAGTCGGTGACATAGTCCTCTGGAAATATTTACCAACTAACGTTATTACCTACGTTGTGATCATCTGCCTTTACTCTGCCTTTACAATTTGAGAGAATCAGTCCAATTGTCTGCGCCGCTCGATAATGCCTCCCCCATTATTTTACGTTCTCTAATAAATTTTCACTTGCATTCATTGCAGAATCGTGCTCCCTGTAGCAAATTTATTCTGTAGTGTCAAGGCTGGCAGATCGATAATGTTGATTGGATTTTGACGTCACTTGAGTGGCTCTGCCCCGTCCAAGCGCCAAGTCAACTCCGCGTTCTCCTCCGATCTCCCGCCGCGGAAGGCTTCACAACAATTCTCCAACCCCCGCCGAACCAAAAACACAGTATCTTCCAATGGGCTCCGCTGCTTCAAAACCTGCCCGGTCAGCTGCCGGTGCAGCGACACGGCGCCAATATCCTAAAAAGCCTGCTCCTCCACCGAGGGCACCTGCCGCACCGCCAAAGAAAACCCAAGAATCAAAACCTACACCCACACCTGCTCCCACGCCACCATCTGCTCGAGCTTCGACTCCTGCACAGGGCCCAACATATCACTCTAAGGAGCAGCCGTCTGCTACCAAATCCAATGGTAAGTGCCCGAGCGAATCTGAGATGCCCACCCAGTAGCAAGAAGAAAAAGAAAAGGAAGAAAGATACCATCCACACAATACTGCCAATTCCTTGCCTTTCTAGAATTTGACATTAACCACATATCTAGCCATCGACCTTGACGGCCGCGACCCCGACTTCGCTGCCTCCCTCCGCACAATCGGCCCCGTCGACCCATCCGGAAACTTCTCACACCCTAACCCCTTCAACCGCGGCACAGTCCAGACCGTCTTCCCTACAAGCTCGAACCCAGCCCTGCTAGTCGTCACAGCGCGCCAGCGCATCACAAAGGCTGCGCAAGAGGAGAGTCTCGCCGTTGGAAACGCCAATTTCTCAGGCCGCCAGTTCCTGGATTCATTCACCATTAGCCAGGCGCTGATGATGCGCGATCAGCAGGGTCTGCCGAGTAAGGAGATCGAGAGGACATTGAGGTTGAAGAGCGGGACTATCGATAAGCTTGGGAAAAGTGGGATTGTGTCGCGGGCAGCTTGATCTTTGAGTCCGTCACTACTGCGAGGGTTAGCTCTTAGTGCCTTGTTGGTGTTTGGTGTGGTTATGAGATGGATGGCGTTGGTTGTTTCGACCATTGCATATTGTTTCAATACATTGTATACTATCTGAATTTCTTGAATGATACTCCCTTCTACTTCATCGCGTTGTGGTATTTTGTGGAGTTTAGCTTGTCTTGCTACTCCAGGTATAAAGCGAGGCTTTTCTATTCAAGATACGAGCCACTAGCTGTACACACCAGCTTTTAATCTCTATTGCGCCACACTGCCGCGAATTCTCTCACGTAGAGATGTGTATTCGTACCTCTATCCATGGGTGATCGATCCTCGCGATTTACACGGTCGAGATATAGCGCTAGTCCTGATTAAGAAGTTGAAGTGTAAGTGGAGCAGCTCTCTTTATTGTCAACTTTTTGCTGAACAATCGAGCATTGTATGAGATTGACTTGATTATCTCAACTGTCTGCTAACAAAGCAACTTGGAGCTTGGTTGACCGGCATGGGAAATACATATGCTCTATGACACCCGAAATGACAGCCAAATTGCAATGTGTTACGCTCATTTCTTCCCCGCAACATTAAAAACCAAACCAAAGGTGTGCAAAACTGACCCACAAACTACCTGCACTGATTGGTCAATTCCAGCGCCGCGGAAGCACAGCGCGCCCTGTCGCATTAACGAACCAAATTGACTCATTCTTCTGCATGCCAATCTTCCTCCAGAGGAGAGTCGGCACCGACTACCAATCACAAATCACAAATCAGTGATGACCCATAGTTAAGCGGATGATAAGAAATCTACATAAATTTGACATGACAGCAGGAACCTTATAACTCACGACAAAACCCTATCTCGAAAGAGGCTTTGCAATCCAGATCAACTCTTGTACTACCCCAACCCTGCACGATGTATCTCCGCGGCGTCCACGCAGAAACAGCCATCCCAGTCCTCCGACAATTCATCCACGAAAACCCCCTCGGCATCCTCACAACGGCCATCAAGACCGCAGACCACGCTTTCATCCAATCTAGTCACATCCCATTCGTGCTCGATGTCCCTGATGACTCCGAAGATTCACCTGGAGTTCTGCGCGGACACATAGCGAAGCAGAACCCGCAAGCCAAGGCTCTTATGGAAGCACTCGCCGCGCAACAGGAAGCACAAGGCAAAGATACAGCTCTCGAGCTTCCCGACGAAGTACTCGTTATGTTCAACGGCCCACACCACCACTACGTCACACCCAAGTTCTACACAGAAACCAAGCCAGTTACGGGCAAGGTCGTTCCAACATGGAACTACGCTGCCGTACAGGCATACGGCAAAATACGTGTGTTCTGTAATTCCAAGTCCGAGGAGACGGGTACTTTCCTGCAGACACAGGTAGAGGATTTGTCAAAACACGCTGAGACCTCCGAGATGGGTTACACCGGTGCGGGAGGGAAGCCGACGGCGTGGAAGGTTGGTGATGCGCCAACGTCGTATGTGGATTTATTGAAGAAGAACATTATTGGCATTGAGATTCAGATTGAGCGATTGCAAGGGAAGTTTAAGATGAGTCAGGAGATGGGTCAAGGTGATCGGGAGGGGGTTATCAAGGGATTCGGGGAGTTAGGGACTGACGTCGGTGATGGCATTGCGAAGATGGTACAGGAGCGAGGGCGATGAAAGATCGACAGGACTGATTGAGGGTTGAGACTGGTATCGCATTGCTAGACAGTTAAGCCAGATGCATTTAGAAATAGACAAATACCTAAATTTGATCAGATATGATACCGCAGGGAGTGAAACGGGCGAGACAGGAACTGTATCTAACAAGAACTGCAAGCTAAAGAGTCCATGTGTGGATTAGAACCCATGACCTTAGCATCATCGGATTTAGATAATTTGAGCCGTCGTAGTACGAACTCTGGACGATAAGAACCCGATTCGAGTGAATGCTAGTTCTACTCTTTGTAGGACTCAAAGTGCGTTGCCCAATTTCCGAGGCAGGAGGAACCTTAAATAAGGTAAACAGGCCAAACAACATCCGAGTCCCTTGCACGTGACCGTCCCGTATTGGGTTTTCCCTCTCCAGCATGGGAATGCAATCAGAGTGCGATAATGCATCATCTCCTCTGCAACCTCGGTCCACAAGGCTGACCATATCCACAGGCCGATCAGACCCAATTTGTAATGCCAAGTCTCAAAGTCAAAAAAGTTAGCTGCGGGTCACTCAGGGTCCTCTTGGCCTGAGCCTCAGAGTCTAACACCCTTAACGGGAAGGAAAGCCTTCAACTTCCTGGAAAGGTGTGGTATTGTTGTATGATCCAACCCGCGCAGCGCAGTCGCGTTGTTTCAGACCCACCGCAGCGAGGATTCTCTTCAGCTCTCTTTTGCTCACCGTTAGTGGGTTGATCGCAGGGCCCACAGGAGTTGGTTCTTCATGGGGGCCCTAATGTATCAAGGGAGATCACGTCAGTGAAGCACTTTATTGCTGAGATGGATCATCCAATCCTGCCTGGCCAAGGCGCCAACATTTAAGATTCAGGATCTCTGGTATTCTCCACAGACCCACGAGCCATTTATAGAGTAGCTCTGTAGAAAAGAGCCCCGATCGCATAGAGTGACATTGGTGATTCGAGGCGATGGCGGCTTGGCCGTGGCTTTCCCCGGACTTTGCCTACCGTATGTGAGGTGTTTTCTTTGATCCCTAGGTCAGTGTGGCGATGCTAATCCCTAAAGGGGATGGAGAGAAGGAGTAGTGGGGAAAAGAGATGAATAACAGGAATAAATTAACGACAATGTCTCAGACACCGTGTTGGAATTGGTGGAGCCAAGCTTCAGGCAACAAAATATGCCAATACACCAATGATGCAGGGTCCAGAAGCTTCGCCTTACACCGCGGTTGTACAGTACAGGCCATTTGTACATTGCTGGTCCCGAGGTGAATGTGAAACGTGGGACGTTGTTTTGTTCCTCCCGTAGCATCCGTGAGCATCTCGGCCAAGGGGGAAGATCCACCCGACGGAGTGAACCGAATGGAAATAGAAAAAGAGGGTCTATGGCACTGGTATAGTGGATCTTCAAGTCAATGTTCCAGTCGCGTGCCCCAATACTCATTCCAGTCCCCATTTTCCCGGTTAATTATAACGTGCATGAACCCATTGATTGGTTGAATCGCAGGTTCCTGGTTTTACTTTGGACCTTGGATTATTTACTCCAAATCCATTAACTTTGTGCGCTTGACGACTCCATTTCCTCTTCATTTCCCTCCCATCTGACATTGGAGTGTACATTCCGGGTGCTTGGTCCCCATTCCAGTCTTTTCCTTCTTTTTTTCGAAACCTTCCATTCCACTAATTTCATCCCTGTGCTGCACATCCTCTCGACGCGCTCTTTCACCATATTTACGCCTTCAAACCATGAGCTGATACCATGGCCATCTTCTCCTTCCTCCCCCCGGTCCCACCATTCCTTTTCTCGGCTCTGGTCGTCAGCAGTCTCGCCTCGAAAGCTTTACACATCGGCCTTCATTTCCATTCGCTACCATTCCTCTACCTCGTGCTATATTCACCGACACTCATTTTACCGGAACTGCTCATCATCAGCTTTGTGCGACTATTGTTACAATATCCCGCCCCAGAGTCGCGGCTACAATGGATGTCAACATGTCTGGGTGGATTCCTCTCGTAAGTTTTCATTGGAACCGGGCCCGGACTATGAGGAACCAGAATTGAAGAACTGACCAGCCATGTAGCTTAATCACCTGGGGAGCCTCCTCCATCCAATTTGGATTCTTCATGCAGACTGGCGCGGAAGTCGCTTGGGCCGCCAGCAATAGTTTCCTTAGCGATCCCGCCGCGATGAAGATCTTGTTAAGCGGCATCTCCACTGTCTCCGCCGCAGCTACTGTCTTGGGCCTCGTGGCGTGGTTGATTCATGCCCACCTTTACAACCTGACCGGCATGGTACTACAAGGATTTCGGGATCTGATGATCGGAGCATTTAGATCACGACGCAATATACGCAACATACGCAATATACTTTCGGTCCCCAGCAAATCATGGATGGCTTCCGTGGACCTTCGATCTGCTCGACGTACAGCGCTGTTAGTCTCCGCTTTGATCTCTCTGCTCTTCTTGGAGCTCTCAAGACCTCCGATTCCCTACGATCATCTCTCTGGCGCGTTGCCTCTTACCTTACTCGATGCATTCACCAAAAAGAGCAGCACGCTGGAAGGCTGCCGCAATCCTGCCAAGCCCTTCCCTCTTTGGCCCGTGGAAAAGACCTCTCTTGTGGATCGATGGTCACGAGCTTCATGGTTGCCTCAAGATCCACCCCCAGGTTTTAGCCGATGGGATATGAATCCTAAGCAGCGGGCAGAGAAGGATAACCCCTCTTATTATCTTTGCGGGGGCGACGAAAATGCGTTCTTCGACCCCGAAGCGGATCCTCTGAAGATTTCCAACCTAGATGGTGACATTTATGAGCCCTTGCAGAAAGCCTTCCAGGAACACTCAGTGGAAATCAATAACATTGTCCTGTTAACCCTCGAAAGTGGGCGGAAAGAGATGTTTCCCATGCAGCAAGGCACACCCATGTTCGATGCCCTCATCGCTTCTCACAAGGAGAAGAACAAAGAGGCCGCGATTGACCTTTTAGTGAATATGACCCCGATTGCACAAATGTTGACTGGCGAGTATGCGACGGACAGCAAGGGCCAGAAGGTGGATCTGAGTGAGGCAAACTGGCAAGATCCGGCAGAGGAGGGTATGGGAGGACTCAATATTCGTGGAGCACTCACAGGTAGTTCTTTGACATTCAAGAGTATTCTGGGTAGTCACTGTGGTGTTCATCCTTTACCAGTCGACCTCCTAGAGGAATCCATGCTTGAAATCTACCAGCCCTGCTTACCGCAACTGCTGGAATTGTTCAATCAGAAGAAGTTGCCAAAGACTGTCGAAGCCCGGGTCAACAGCTCTCATACGTCCGAGGCATTACAAAACCAGTGGAAGTCCGTCTTCATGCAGTCCATCACAGATGACTATGATCGTCAAGATATTCTGGATGAAAACATGGGGTTCAAGCATAAGGTTGTGAAGAAGACCATGAACTCCTTCAAGTCCAAATACAAACCCAAGGGCGAGGAGATCAACTACTTTGGGTACGCCGAGACTGAATTGAAGCCATACGTCCGAGATTTGTTCTACGAGGCTGCGAATAACAAGACCCGTGTCTTCCTCTCGCACGTTACCAGCACAACACACCACCCTTGGGGAACCCCGAAATACTTCGACAAGGAGGAATATATGGGCTCTGAGGGCTCTGCCAACCACGACTTAATGAACAACTACTTGAACGCCGCTCGATTCGTTGACAACTGGCTTGGAGATATCATGAACCTTCTAGACGAGACCGGTATCGCCAACTCAACCCTGGTCGTCATCGTAGGTGATCACGGACAAGCCTTCGGAGAAGACAACAAAGATATGACCGGCACCTACGAGAATGGGCATATCAGCAACTTCCGCGTCCCCCTCGTCTTTCGCCACCCACACATGCCCCGCATCGATATCACAGCTAACGCAACCGCCCTCGCCATCATCCCCACCATTCTGGACATGCTCGTTCAGTCCCAGTCTATCGACAAAAGTGACTCCGAAATCGCTTCCGCCCTGCTCCCTGAATACCAGGGTCAATCTCTCATTCGCCCCTTCATCCCCTTCATCGAAGACAAACCGCTTCCCGACCATGACAGCCAAATTCAGAATGCGGAAGAAATCGAGGGACGCGCCCCACACAAGAATCACGAGCGCCCGCACACTCGATACGTCTGGAACTTCGGCCTTATCAACGCCGGTGGATCCATGATCTCCGTCACGGCTGCGGGCAAGCCCTACCGACTTGTTCTTCCGCTTCGCGAAGGGTTTGAGTATGTCTTTACTCACCTGGACAAGGATCCTGGTGAGTTGCGACCTCTAACGTCATGGACCCTGTCTGAACTTGTCCACGAAGTTCTTTCCAAGTACGACGAGGACGCAGCGGAGTGGCTTGAAGAAGCTGAGAAGGTTGGGAAATGGTGGACGAACGAGCAAAGGCGGATATGGGGGTACAGGGAAGCTTAAGTCGCAATAAAGCCTCCCTACCCTACTCGCCTAGATTTTTCCAGTTCCTTACGATCACTATAACGTGAAAAAAGTCGAGTTTATACCTCTTCTATTCTCATCCTTTTATCTGAGCCTTTGCATCACGCATGTTCCTTGAACTCTTTTGATTTGTTTGATGTGTCAAGATCTTGATTTATCATAACGTTGTTCATTTGAGACGGCGTTCACTGGGTGCCCGATTTGGGCTGCATTATTCCTTCCTTCCCTCTCTTACGGTGTTCCCTTTCATGTTTCTCTTGTCTTTATGTCATATTTCTACGATGTTCTTGTGTGGGCTAAGATGACACCCCGTGCTTTGTCACGAAGTTTCCCAAAAAAAGAACCAGGGTGCCAATAGTGCGATACCCTTGTACATATTAAAGTCCTTAGGACCAATCGGAGCATTGAGGACTCAGGCATAGCCTAAGTCAGATTGTGGGATTTAGGAATCCTCCGATACATAATCCAAAATTTTCACTTTCAATATTCAACAACAATTTCGAGACTGGTTTACCCAAGTGGCTGATATCCCCGACAATTTAAGTGACGTCGTTCAGCCTAGCCACTAGATTAGATAAAGATCAGCTCAAGCCTTTCACACATAGGTCTGGAACGAGAAATAATCCCATCAATTCAACAGCGCCTGAGGAAGTTGATAAAGATTCCGTGCATGCAAAACCCAATTTAGCCCGAAAAGAATAGCTACACCGGCCATGATGGGGCCAGTATAGTTCATGTTGCTTGTAGTGACCGGCAGATACTGAGGGAAACAGGTCTCAATGTCCACGACAATTATCCAGATGAAGGCGATCAAATGCACCGGACGACTAGCATTTCCTAGACGACAGTATCGATCTTGCGGAAAGGGGTCACCTTTATGACACAGCACGCACACGATCGGGATCATATAGCTGATCATTAAGCAGTTCACCCCTGCACCGATTATAGCATTCAGGGCCTTGGCTGATCCTAGCTGGGGTAGGCCAATGAGATAAGATAATATGGACACCACCACCAGGATGTGAATAGGTAACTGGCTCTCCTCGGAAAGTTGGGATAACCATCCCTGGAAAACGAAAAGGTTTTCGGTCGCCATACTCCACACCACTCGACTCATAGCCGTGAGAACGGCGACGGAGCACATTATCATTATAATGACAATCAGGATACCAATAAGCATGGACAGTGCTGTACTATGGAGAGAATCCTTCAGCAGCTGGACAAGCGGCTGTCCCCCAATGGGCGTAAGCAAAGCCTCCGGATTCGAGGCGCAGAACATCACCACCAGCGTCATAGGAATTCCCGAAAGGCCTCCGAGAATGGTTGATCCCAACATGACCTGCGGGATTTGAACTTTGGGCCTCAGCATCTCGTGCGTGAGATGAGCAGCGGAATCAAAGGCAATAATGCAAGCCAAGGTCCGGGAAGAAGTCCGAGGAAAAAGACGAAGCCATCGGATTGCCAACCAGTTTGGTTGACAAAACCCTCTGAAGACCTCTTGGGCCGATCTTTTGGGCGAGGTGCGGACTAGCAAGGAGACAATTAACAGTAACACGGTTTCGTTAATCAACAACACCATTCCACGGAGCATGTGGGTGTAAAAGCGGAAAAGGAACAGCTTCATGCCAAGAGCCACGCATACGATAGCTATAAAGCCAAGGTATTCATGATAGGCGGCGATGTGCAGAGTATTTGGTAATTGAATGACGCTGAAAAATGTATAGTGTAGCATTCAGAACTGATGCTATATATCCAAATACCCAACCTGATATCATGAAGAAGGCCGATATGTAACATAGACTTCGGGCGAGCCGAGGCGGGGCAAATTGTAATGTCCAGTATACCTGCGCTGATTATGGCGATGGTAAATATTAATCAGCTAGATAACTTTTCATGGTATGTTTCAGAGAGAAGTCTCACCAGAAGGGTGCGGGAAAGCCCCTGCCATTTCTGCCAGACTCAGACAGACAATAACCTGGAAAATAAACGCTACGCAGTATGCGAAGATATACACGGGGCTGCCGCCCACGCCGACGGACAGAATAAGGGCCGATGCGATCGCAATCGGCGTGTTCATGATGGAATACGATAGTCCCAGCGTACTCCATAGACCGAAATGCTCCTTGCGCTCGTCGATCGCATTCATAGACTGAGGCCTCTCGACCAGACTGGTTTCTGATAACCTCCCATTGCCGTGGATCTTCCTCATGTCTTTTGCTTCCATGATGTCCTTGAAATTAGGCCGATGAAACAAAGATGAGATTAATCCAGATGAGGCTGAGTGGTGTAAGTAATGGCCGATAGTAGTATTCACCAGAGCTAAAGCGGAGCTGGGTCCTACGATGGATAAAAGATAGATTACAGTCTCTTCATCCAAGACTCTAATGACTTAGCCCGATCGACCTACTCGTGCAACTTTGCATGTTGTCGTAAACTGACTAGTTAATTGAAACCTATATTGATAGGTCCAGTAGAGTGCCTTGCATGAGACTAGTATCTGCTGTGCAACGGATCAACATCTATTGATCCCGCAGTTCACTTTGAGAAACTTGAAGTATTACTTGTGAAGAAGTACTGAGTAACCCGAAACTTTAGTATAAAACCCCCTATCATTTTCTTTTCGTAAACATGATTTCCGGGTTGCTAAACTCGTGCGGTAACCTATTTGATGGAGTGTTGCTAACTAAAACTCTGCTAGCTACAGGGGCAGTGAAACCATCGGTGCATCGAGTTGTGAGCGAGACGCCCTTCTTCGTTTCTCAAGCCTTGGAGGGAAATGTAATACATCAATCAGATCCATCGAAGGCTGCTGCATGGCCTCCACGGAGATGGTCCAGAAGTCGACACATTTCTATTTTCACAAGAAAACCCAGATGAATCGTAGTTAGCGCCGAGTTGTTATCGGGATTATCTAAATATAGAGAGATTGAGGCCTTGGTAGGCTGGTGGTAGGTTGAAAGAAGCCATTCAATATTTGCCAGCGACCAAGGGTGAACGTATCCCCTAAGTGGGCAATCACTGAACGCTCGGTATGCAATGCATATCTCATCAAAAATAGCCTCAATCTCATATGAATGTCACCTCACACAGGGAACGGAAATAATGGTCTGAAGCATATTGAAGAATAGTTTCATTACTTGATTGTGTACTGATTGGATGTTTCCAAATCAAAAAAGAAATAAACTGGATCTGACATTATCCATATATCGTACTGAAATTGATCGCATTTGATACAGGATTCAGCGTGATTTACTCGTGGCACAGTGACTATCATCAAGATGGGGCTCAAGGAGCGATGACTGGATGCGTGGCCGACCGCCTAAAATTAAAGTGTTTCGCGTCGCCCGTGGCGCCGTCGGTGAGCGCTACATTGATTGGATAACAGTATCGCATTTGCCCCCGCGCGGCTTTTCATCACATGGCGTTGACAACCAAAGCGGGGATATTGCTCTTTTGTATTAAATCACTCTCATTTTTCATTGTTTGAAATAATTGCTGAGCCCCTTATGTAAGAGCGACCAAGCGCTTCATGCTTCTGAAAGATTAGCATCTCTATTTTGTCAACCCCTCATTTCCCCTCCCTCCACTCCGCAACAGAACAGTCGGTTGCAGCTCCGCAAAACATGGTGAGCCCAGTGCATCAATTTGAATTCAATTTGGCTAATATTCCCTTTAGGCTAAGCCAACACTGGAGGGTCTTCCCACCGAGCTCAAAATTCTCATTCCATCTCAAGCGCCGGACGGCGATGCTCTCAAATCCCTCGTGCTTGCATCTCCCGGATACCACCAGGCGTATCTTGCAGTGAGACATGAAATACTTCGATGTCTTGTCGAATGGCAATACGCTGGATTTCTTGACTTGGCAGAGGCTCTCACTGCCGTGCGGTCCAAAGGCGTACATTTCGCCTACAAGAGACAAGACGCGATTACCTTGCTGGATAAATGGCGCCGCAGAAATGAGATTCGTGAGCTCAGTCAATATTCATTGTACCAGTGCTCCTAAAATGAAGTAGATGAGCCTGGTAGCCTGGAGGAAATCATAAAGCTCCTGCATTTTCACAAAATGCTGTGCTTCTTTCTCGAAGACTATTCTATCAACGCGCCGCGACCCCCATGGATTCAACATGATCAATGGGAGAAGGAATACCTGCCTTTGTGTCTATCACCTTCCGAGAAGCACCGCTTCCTTAGGGCAATGTGTCGATTACAAATTCGGAAAAATATATTTGGAGACACAGTATGGTGTTTCGGACTCGTACGTTGTGACTTTTGTAGGGACGACCCGCGTTGCGAAAGATGTCGGGCTATTCCAAACGACCTACCTCCCACCAAATGGAGAGATGCTCCCGGGTGCGACTCATGTCATAACATGAAAGACTGGCAATTAGAGGAGGCGGACGAGTTGACAGATGATTTCCACTCTTGGGATATTAACCAGATGGCGTACCGGCTCTTCTATGGTACCATGCCTCCCTGGGAATACGAAGAAATGGGAGGCTTATTTTACTACCACATTGCCAAAATCGAGTCTGTCTCCAAGGAGATGAAAGAAGACTTACGAGATCTAAGTAAGAGTACGCCATGCGATTACTTTTGGGACATTCTTCCCATAGAGCAGCGGCCACCTGGGGCAGGAATTGAGGTCGAACATGACCTTGTTATCTTCGACGAACAGCATTCAATCGGACTAGCAGGACTAGGACCCGAATTTCTATATCGCATTGTACATTTGGATCGGCTATCTCGACGTAATTTCCTTTGCAATAATGCCAGGCCCTGCTACACGCCATTTATTGGACTCGAGTTGGGACTTTCATGGGACAAAAGGTTCCCATTTATTGAACCAGCGGATCGGCATGACACCCCAAACTTCGAACAATTCTGGTCCACTCTCTCGACCCTTGAACAGCCCACCGTGGGCTGGAAGAGAGCATGGGTATTGCCCCACAACAAAGAAGACATATTAGAGGATGCCTTAGACTACGACCGCAAACATGAGCAGGACTGGGAATGGGGTTATGCTTTGTGGGATGAGAAGAGATTGGAAGATTGGAAAGCGCCATTGCTAGTAGAGAACGCCGAGGTTGGTGAAGTCCCTGAGAGTGATTGAGGATATTACAACATAGTACCTGATCATCATCGTCGAGTATCGAGCAAGGTCAAATCAAGGACTCGCTATTCCTATTTCCTGTCAATTAGCATATTTTCTTCTACCTTTGCTCGTCGATGTTATATTAAACGACGTATTTGATTTTGGCACCGATATAAAGAACAAGCTTTTATTACTGGGCACTTGTATGCTCATCATTCACAATAGACGTCTGCCAAAGTCGTCGATTGTATTCCAAAACATGCCCGTTGCTCATACTCATACCTTCTGCTCCATGGATCTCATAATAATCACAAACAACACTTCGTCAATCTCAGGAAGTCAGCATGCTGGTTCATAATTGACCACTTTAGCAGCTTTCACATGCCGCCTGGCATCATCCCCAATATGACATGTGTCTAATTCTATAGATCCTCAAGATGTCAAGATTAACTTATATACGCTCCTACGACAAAGATAACCAAATGATATCTTTTAGATCAATTGTGCTACTTCTACCTATCTATGCATAGACCAATTGAACGTAAATCGATGAATGTCGCATTTTCAAGAAAGATTAGATAATCTCTTCAGCCATCCTTAATTGAGCCATGGAATGGAAATACAGACTAGCTGAAAAAACAGAGACACCCAATTTGTCGGACCATGTTGCTGTTTTGAGTCCTCGGGTCCAAAGAAATTAATTTCGACCCATGGCGGACCCGATATGCATGTTTCTTAAATCCGTTTAAAGCCGGTTGAATATTATATCCGTTAAACACCGTTTTGTCCTCTGGAAAATACTCCGAGAGGGATAAATGAAAGTATAGATAGTCTGTCGAGTCTATATACTCGACAAATATCCCTGAAAACTTGAACATAGTCGTCGGGAACTGGCCACGATCATACATCTCCTTCGCCTTCAGAAACACCTCATCTGTTCTTCAAAAAATGCCCCAGCAAAAGTTCAACAAGCTTGCTCGCACCCGTATTCTGATCATTGGTGGAACATCTGGTATCGGCTTTAGTGTCGCTGAAGGATCACTTGAATACGGCGCCTCAGTCGTGATCGCATCTTCCAGTCCCGAAAAAGTTGAGAAAGCGGTGTCACGTCTCCGCGATTCCTACCCTGACCTTTCAACCTGCATCTCCGGCCAAGCTTGTGACTTATACAATACCTCCACCGTGGAATCCAGCCTCGACTCACTTTTGGCATTCGCAACCAAGGACGGCAAGAAGATCGACCACATCGTCAACACGGCCGGCAGCCCTGGAACGTACCCGCCACTTTCTGAAATCACGCCTGAGCAAGTCGGAGGTGGGAGCTCGCGGCTGGCGGGTACATTAATGTTGGCCAAACATGCACCCGCATATATGGAAGTCGGGCCTCAGGCGAGCATCACACTTACTACCGGAAGTTTGTTATTCAAGCCATTCGAGAGATATGTTACCGGGATCGGATTGAGCGGTGCAATCGATGCGACGGCACGTGCACTTTCAATCTCGCTTGCGCCACTACGCGTGAATGTGGTGGCTCCTGGTTCGGTTGACACTGAACTGTTGCAGTCAATGGCGAGTGGAGATGAAGCAGTTCAGAAGGCCACATACCAGTTATTCAAAGACATGACATTGCTGGGCGTTCTTGCCCGGCCGGAGGACACGGCGGAGTCGTATCTGTATCTTATGAAGGATCGATTCATTACGGGGCAGACGATTTTGACCGATGGTGGCAGGCTTCTTAAGTAGTAGCGCCTTTGTGCATAGGTGAGCTGCTATACATGCAATTAGACCAAGACTCCTAACTACTCAGGGTAATGTGTCACTTGTATCCAATTGAACTGGCTTGAAACGGGTAGCGGTGACGAAACCTGAATAGTTATAGATTGATTGATACTCGAAACGCAATTTTGCCTTTCGGCTAACATCGCGGCCAAATTCATCGGTATGCCAGCGCAATATCCTCAGCCCAGTCCTCTAGTCCATTTGCGTAGCTCTGATAACTCTCTTTTTGGACATCGCCTCCAGCAAATTTCTTCTTGGGAAGGTCTGAATGTCTCCCCCGAAATCAAAGTTGTGTGTACCAAGTTAGAATATAAGTGTGACCCATCAACGTTGAAGGGATTTTCCAAAGATCAGCAGCTTACGTCTCCTGTGCTACGAGAAAACTATTGAGGTACCCCAAACCCCCTTACAACTTCCCTCGATCATCAGGCAATAGATTCCAGATGACAGTCCAAGTTTCCACCAAGCAATTCTCCACAAAGTGCTACCCAGTCCCGATCCGAATCTCAAGTAATTTGGGTAGCACATGGAGGCGCATTACCAGCTATCTTACTCCAAATTTTTTCTTGACGAAGTTGCCGCGCAGAAATCCAGAATTGAGATATCACATGACACTTGCGTTGGATTGGTGATGTCCCCACTGATCACTGAATACCGTATTTGGGAGGTAAGAAAGAAACAGGAAGAAGAAAAGGGAAAGCGAGGTCAGCATAATTGAGGGGTGTAGGCTGTCTTGAATAGCGGCGGATACCAGAAAAAGCCTATGGATATGTCACGACTGCATTAGATAGAAATGACGCCCATTAGGATTTGACGGGTGTGAATTTAGAGGGTCACCTGGACAGAAGTAAGAGAGGAACGAGTGGCCGAGGCACAAACTACACCGTACATATCACTGAATGGCCGTACTTTTGTCGGGGTCCTTTGATCGACATGCCCGGGGAGGAAAAGTAAAAACATGGAGAGTCAATTCCATTACCCCTCAGAGATAGGCACTAGTCCCGGACACATTGGGGTAGTCAGATCAGGTCACGGGGACCATGAGTTTTGCTGCACCGCATAAACGAAAATAAATCATCTTCACCGACATGTCCGCGGGAAGCGGACCGAGCATGCCGCAACCATATTTGACTTGAATTAAATGGGGAACCCGGCTTGCTCGCGGGCGCGGGCCGGACGGCACAGAACCAGATACTCCACGGGGGCGAACACACTGGCCACAGCTTATGAATTCGCCCATGAAAAACCAATTTGATGTACCTGACTATCCATCTATCTTTGGCAAAACAGGGATGGGAATAGAAACAAGGTATGAATCTGAGAATTCGACAGAACAAAGCACAGACCGTCGGCTCTAGATCTAGATCTAGTTGGGCCTAGAACTGGGACCGTTCGTTGTACGCGGCTTGTGCGCAGAAGACTGGTTGGAAGTGCATATGCAGGAGGAACAAACTAGGGGCCAGCAGGGGCTGGGGTTGGGTAGCGGAAGAATTCTAGAAGATCGATTCAATGTTTGTTGCTGTTTAGGTGCTGCTCACGAGAACAAGAAAAAAGTGGGAACGAGCTAGCGTGGCACTATCGTGATGGTAGGAATTGGATTGGCAGGGGCATAATCTCGGAATCACCCGAACGAGTAAGTCACTTTTGCTAGACAGAATTTGTTGGTCACACGGCCTTGCTAGACGCTTTCGACGGGGACTTGGTCTGCGCCTCTTTGGCTTGCTAATGCGACGGACTGGCCGATCTAGGTGTATTTTCATTTGATTTGGGCCAGCGATTGGGAGTGTGTTCCGTAGTTTTGTTTGTTCAATGTTTTGCATTATACACCCAGGAGTGGTCGCATCCACGTAGTAAAACATTGTAGTAGCTGATATGTTGGCAGAAGTAAACACTAGAATTCCATTGGATCCCTTTCTCTGAAATGAACCATGTAAATGATGAAATGTGCTGATGGGAAAAAAAACCTTTCCCCCCAAGATCAGGGGAATGGCCATTGAGTTTTCCCAGTATTCAGGATCAGGAACTAGGGCTGGAGCGACGAATGCCAGAGAGCACATGATCCATTTCAGATCAAGGGAGCTACTGATGTAGAGCGTGTAATAGATCGACTGGTCTGGCTTGGGACTCCGGGGTCACCTGAAGAGGTTCCAGTGGCGCGGGTTCCCTGGGAATCGGCTTGCCCAAAACAGGCATCCGATCTGCACTCTCCAACTTGTAATCTTCGAAAATGAAGATCCTGGCCAATTTGAAGGGCAAATATCCTAGTATTTTTGTCGATGTATGACATTATCATGATCATAATCATGATATTAAAAAAAATAAAATAAAATAAAATAGATGGAATAAAGGAAAAAAAAACCCCCGAAAAGGGAAGTGCAAAAATACATACCTCATACCTCCAGATCGTGTTTTTTGTCGCCACGACCGTTTGAGATGCGCCAACGCCCATTCCCCGGAGACAGACCCGACCTGGACCGAGCGTAGTTTGATCCAGGATTTCCCAATTAGGGTTCTTCCACAGTCTTTTCATGTTCACGAGACCTTCATGTCCCGGGATGGACTCTGGGGCTGGGTTCTGGTTTGATATCTCCCGTTCCCAAAGCAATACTTAAAGGGAGCTTCAATCCGTGGTTGAGCATTTTCCTCACCACACTCACATTTGTATTCATTGATCTTCTATATCTTAATATCTCAATCGCCCTTTCGATTTGACTTAGTCTTTTCGGCTTTGTACACCATCCACATACCTTTTACTACCTTTTTGATTATACCACTCCCCTCTCACAAACATATACACAATGTCAGTCTCCATTCAAACTGAGGTTCCCATGGCACCCATGGCTGCTCAGCCTGTCGCTCTGGGCCAGCAGGCCCGGATGCCTGAGTTTAGCTTGGCTGGCAAGGTGGTGCTGGTCTCCGGTGCTGGCCGTGGCCTGGGTCTGACCCAGGCAGAGGCTTTGTTGGAAGCTGGAGCAAAGGTCTACGCTCTTGATCGTCTGGAGGAGCCGGTATGTTTGATACAGAAACCTTCCGCACGTTGCTGAGAGTGTCCTACTAACAAGAAGTTAAAATATAGGCCGCAGAGTTTGCTGTGATTCAGCAGCGCGCCAAGGAGCTCGGCACCGAGTTACACTACCGCCGCATTGATGTGCGTGACACAGAACTTTTGAACAGCGTTATCGAAGCCATCGCCAACACCGAAGGCCGCATGGATGGTCTGGTGGCCGCCGCCGGTATCCAACAGGAGACCGCTGCTCTGGAGTACTCCGCCAAGGACAGCAACACCATGTTCGAGGTCAATGTCACTGGTGTATTCATGACTTCCCAGGCCGTGGCCAAGCAAATGATTCGATTCGGTAACGGGGGTAGCATTGCCATGATCGCCTCTATGAGTGGCACCATTGCCAATCGGGTACGTTCCCACCCCTCCATCCCCATTTCCTTCCCACGCTTGGCAGTCCCTCCAGTTTAGCCATCGGCATTTTACTTCCGGAGTCCCTGTACCCCAGCATTTCGCCCCCCGCTTTTCATTGTCCTATTCCTGTTCTTTTGGGCTAACACGACGCAGGGTCTCATTTGTCCCGCCTACAACGCCAGCAAGGCTGCCGTCATTCAACTTGGCCGGAACTTGGCAGCTGAGTGGGGCCAGTACAACATTCGTGTCAACACCATCTCCCCCGGCTATATCGTCACCGCTATGGTTGAGAAGTTGTTCGTTGAGTTCCCTGAGCGCCGCGACCAGTGGCCCAAGGAGAACATGCTCGGTCGTCTCTCTCGCCCGGAGGAGTACCGTGGCGCCGCTGTTTTCCTGCTCAGTGATGCCAGCAGCTTCATGACTGGCAGCGACTTGCGCATGGACGGTGGCCACGCCGCATGGTAAATTCGTGATCCCTGCAACAAAAGGGGAAATGACGATTAATATTTATCCATCTACGCGTGACCCCTTGTATAGGCGTCTCTCATTGCATGGCGTTGTAAATTGTTTTCTTAACTGGTCCCCATCTATGTATGGGATCAGCAAAGCGTTGGATTTGGCTTTTGATTTGTCGCCTCATGCTTATCCTAATGATCAGCGAATTTTTCTTTTCTTTCTTTTCTTTTTTTTTTCAGGTGTTTCTCTCGAAATCCTGTCATAATGATGTTGATTAGACTAATCGATCGCTCGAGTTAATATGATCCCAAATATGATTTGACCCACTCTCCCCACAAAATCCACAGTTGACACGGCAGATCCGGCTCCAAAGGTCATTTGCCGGCATCAGCCCGGTGATCATTTCCGGTTTCAACGCGCAGGAAACGTGTTCGCATTTATATGCATTCGAATAAATTAAGATTGTTCTCACCGACTTCTTTTTCTTTATGGTCCAGTGAGATCTCTCAACATCCCTGCAACACATCCCTGCGTAGCGAAAGTTTTGCGTCAACACCTGACCAACTTTCCCCGCCGATCAAGTACTCTCTTGGAACTCCGAAGTCCATGATGTCTGCCATGAAAATCCAGAAACCCAGCGCCAAGGATCCTCCCTCATAGCCATTGTTCGGCGACCCGGGAGCCTGGTCCACCAACAGTCTGGGGAAGATGCGGGGAACTCATCCAATCAGCGGGATCTATCGCTCGCTCCCCCCCAAAAGACCGCCAGGTCTGGTATTGCTGTGAGTTTGGGAGACAGGCTTGGGTGGCCAATCATTTATACTTGTTAGCGATGAGCTGACGTCTGGCAGGTCGATTGGGGCTAGGTGCATGCAAGGGGTGGATTTTTTCGAATTTTTTATTCTCTCTTTCTTTTCACGATATCTTCGTATCAGCAGACCTTGACCTCAATGATTTCAAGAGGTGTGGGGTACAATGTGGCGGCTACTGACGGGGTTTACGTTTGTTCTGTCGTGAAGTCATGACCTTCTCTCTGCGACCGGAATGCCCTTTTCTGGTAGTATGCACAGTGCGATGGAGATCTGAAACTGGTTTCTACACAATCGAGATTTGAAGACTTCCGCGGGTGAAAATACTTGTAAACCTTTTGTCTACTGATCTAATAGTGACTGGGCTATAATTGCAGGATATCAACAGCTGTCGCCACCTACGCTACATCATGATATTTTTATCGAAATAAAGCTAAAAATTCTAAAGATAAAGGAGCCTTTAGCGACTGTGCGTGGAGTTAGTGGAATTTGGACCTACACATGTAGATGATCTTATCCCACGGCCTGATAACAATAAGCCCCCACATTCAGCAAATCCTTGGTGCTTGACTAAATGGATGTATTTTGGTGGCAAGAAGGCCTAGTTGAATTTCTCTAGGGAATGAATCAGGGCGGCAGGCATGATTGTATTTTCATCACAGCCATTTGTATTCATAAAGGGAGATCAAGAGACCGACTCCGATGAACGAACTAGATCAAGACTGCAAAACTGACACAGGACCTGTACTAACCTTGGTGTATTTTAAAAATGTGGATTTTGTTTACTGAATGAAAGAGTTATAGGAAGTTTACTATGCCGCCTTCGCATCTCCTGGGCGACATTAGAATGCCGATCGGCTTTGTATGAAATATTGCAAAGAAATAGTTCGTTATTATATCGATTGTGAAATTGCTTTGCTAGAAAATCAGATGTAAGAACGGTCTAATAAAGCCCCGTGCAACAAAGGATACTGCGGTAATATCTAGAATATCTAGAAGTACGCATAACTGACCTTGCGCAATTCCCCTTTATAAAAGACGTAGCTATCTTACGACGCTGGTAAAGCTCACAGACCCCACGAGTAGCATGTGCATACAAAGTGAGAAGGCGATCATCGCGATATTGAGGCAGTATATGATCGTAGAGAAATAGACTTATGTTGGGTTCAAGTACCTGGAATATGTTGGGAACTCCAAGACAACCATAACGTAGAGTAGGTTTTCTCGAAGAAAAAGATGCATATCATCGTATCCAAAATTTTCCATTGCGTGGTGGAGTGTTATAGGGTAACCAAAGATGGCACTTGATGGCGTTGATGTTGGACATCTAAAGACGTATAGTGCGCCGAAACTAACGATACAGATACCGGGTAACATATGTACAAAAGGCTACAAGTCCTTTGGACTTACAAAAACATCCTGGAAACCCACACTAGAGCCCAATTGGATTATTTTCCGCCTTATGTTGGGGATATTCTTCTTTGAGATTGGAATGTCACAACGTGGGGCTGTGTAATTACACAGGAAGACATCTAATTGGATGAATGGAATAGTTTGATTCAAACTACATCTATAGAGCTACATAGTCAAATCTAAAATTCATGGGGCATCATTAACTTGGAGTTACATGTGGCCACCTTTGGAAGTTGTGAGGGTTCGAGCCGGCCATAGAGGGACGTTGCCACCACAGTGGCGAAAACTGCCCAGTTGATATCGAGATCAGGTTTCCTGATTCTCTTCAATTACTGCCTCTTTTGGCTATAAGAGACAATCTGCAGGCAATTATAAGGCATAGTGCATATAAATACACAGTGGGGCAATGCGAATGTGGCGGTAACGAGCTACCAAACTTTTGCCCTTTTCCCGCTCCCTCAGAGCCTCATTTCCACCACCGCCCTAGAAGTCTACTTCCGTCCTCGCTTTTATCTATTATGCGAGTAAAAAGTATTTATTCATGACCGAAGTTGTGTAAACTTTTATTTCAGTTGATGTGTTCCTCGAAGGGCTCTTCGATTTCTCCTTTGATATGGCTGGCCTGCAAGTAGTATTAGGGCGAGCCCGGACCAAAGCGATACGTGAGACGATTCACAACTTGAAAAGGGAAGTCAAAAGGGAACTAATAGTCATTTTGCAGTTTTTCCGGCTGACACCTCCTGATAAGAGATTTGCGGACACCACATACGCAAAAATTTTGTAAATCCTGCGTCGGGGACACCGATCCTTCTATTTGAGGTTCAGAAGCCCTGTAGCTAGACCTGCCGGTGCACGGATAAATTAATTGGCAGTCAGCGGGATATCAGTCGACATACCGTTATCATCTGGTCCTATGGTACGCGACATAATAGCATGTTGCGATGCATGGCATCAATGAGGGCGATAACCACGCGAGCGGGGAGTGGAGAGTTCCCTCGCTCAGTCCTACATGCCAAGACGTACTAAAGTACCAACTCTAGTGCAAAAGGAAGGCGCCAAGGAATTCAGCTCTTTGATAACATTAGCCAAGCAAAAAACAAGACCTGGGCTGTCCGTGGGTTTTTTCTCTCCGTCGGAGTTCCATTTCTTGTCTCAAGCCATAAAACTCCAATCACGAAGTATATCATCTTCTCGTACTCGCCCTTGACCTGCCCATTATATGTTGAGCTGCATCACTGAATTAAGTTCCGAAGAGTTCATACGCACAGAATTGCTAAGTTAGATAGACCAGCGACAGATTCAGATTAAGCTTCTCTCGCAGGGGTGGGTCTTGGCGTTTGATATCCTTGAGCGACTTTTTATCGTAGCCACTCATGGGCCATAGCAAGGCTGAAGTTGCAAAGACACGGCTTAGGTTGCATGCACTAAGCCAAATGCAAGTAGCGCTGGATGCTAATTGGTGGTCGAATGTTCCTAAAGCGGTATAGCATTAGCAGCTAGGATGGTGTGATGATTCCGGGGTAAACTTGTACTAATCAGAAGGGAGTACATCGTGAATGTAAACGGAAAATAGTAAGATCCCTATTCTTGGCACATTAGACCAGGTCAAAGTACGCATCGGCATTTTCTAGGGTCTCTTGGCCTATTTCAGAGAATAAAAGGGACATCTCCCGGCTATTCTGTTTGTATCTTCCCCTCACCTTGTTTCACACTTCCAGTCTCCCCCTGCCACAAACTTTGTTCCGAAAATCTCCTTCCTGGGCGTTTGCCATTTTGCCTGCCCTGCAATATGGCGACTACAGAGGTGACGCGGCCCTCTGCCTCGTTGGAGATCCACGAGAGCAGCCAGGAGAAAGCTACCACCACGAAAGGCGATGAGTTTGTAGACCCCCATAGGCCCGAGAAAGGTCTTGTCTCAGCATTGTACAACATGCAGACTGGCGATGAGGACCCCACTGCGGATGAACTTCAAGGTCCCAATGCTCTAAGACGCATATCAGCTCCTATCCCCTGGGCCGTCTATACGGTCGCTTTCGTAGAGCTGTGCGAACGGTTCTCTTACTATGGAACTCAAGTTCTGTGTATGTACAAATTGAAAATGTCGGTTCAGCTCTGACTAATTTGAGATGTGCAGACTCGAACTTCGTAAATCACTCTCTTCCCCAGATTAATGGCCCCGCTGGCTCGAATCATTGGACTGGCGCGGGTGGTGGATCTGCTCAAGGTGTCTCTGGAGCTTTGGGGAAGGGTGTGCAGACTGCCAACGGGGTCAACACCTTTAACACTTTTTGGTGCTACTGTATCCCACTACTTGGTGCTTGGATCGCTGATGAATACTGGGGCCGGTACAAGACCATCTGCTGGTCCATTGGTGCTGCCATCCTCGGTCACATTATTCTGGTCATCTCTGCTGTCCCGCCAGTTATCACAGACACAACTGCTTGTTTTGCTGTCTTCATGCTGGGAGTCATCATCATGGGTCTGGGTACAGGTGGCTTCAAGCCCAACATCTCGGCACTAGTTGTCGAACAAATTCCAGTGGTAAGCGCCAAGGTGCGCACGCTACCATCTGGGGAACGCGTGATTGTCGACCCGACAATCACTCAGAGCCGCATTTATCACTACTTCTATCTGTTCATCAACCTCGGTGCTCTGATTGGTCAAATTGGGATGGCATACGCGGAGAAGTATGTTGGGTTCTGGCTAGCATTCTTACTTCCCACCCTCATGTTCCTGACAACTCCTTTCGTCATGTGGTGGGGACGCAAGCGCTACCGCCAGTCTCCTCCTCAGGGCTCAGTAACCTCCAAGGCAGTGCGAACTCTCTTCTACGCTTTGAATGACCGCTGGCATTGGAACCCTGTGAAGATGTGGAAACGGACTCACGACGGCACATTGTGGGAAACTGCCAAGCCATCCAATATCCCACCACACCTACGCCCCAAATGGATGACCTTCGATGATGCCTGGGTGGACGAAGTGCGCCGTGGTTTTGCCGCCTGCAAAGTCTTCTGCTGGTACCCACTTTACTGGCTGGCGTACGGACAGCTAACCAACAACCTGACGTCGCAGGCCGGCACCATGACTCTGCACGGCGTGCCCAATGATGTGGTTAACAATCTGGATCCCTTTGCCCTGATCATCTTTATCCCCATTTGTGACACCTTCGTCTACCCGGGCCTGCGGAAGATGGGCTTCAGGTTCACAGCCATCAAGAAGATTTTCTGTGGCTTCATGATTGCAATGCTGGCTATGGTCTGGTCGGCGGTCACCCAGTACTACATCTACAAGACCTCGCCCTGTGGCTATGAAGCTAATAACTGTTACACTGCGGATGGTGCTATTCGTCCCTCCCCGTTGAATGTGTGGATTCAAGCGGGCGCCTACGTTCTGATTGCCTTCTCCGAGATCTTCGCCTTGATTACCTCGCTTGAGTATGCTTACTCCAAAGCTCCTCGGAACATGCGTTCCCTGATTCAGGCGATCTCGCTCTTCACCAATGCCATCTCCGCTGCTATTGCTGAGGCTCTGAATCCGTTATCTAGCGACCCACTGCTGATATGGAACTATGGTATCTTCGCTGTGTTGGCGGGTCTCGGTGGTGTATGCTTCATCTTTACGTTCTGGAGCCTGGATAAGGAAGAAGATGAACTCAACAACCTGCCTGAGGGTCGCGTGGTTGCTGATGAGAAGGCCGCCATAGGCACACTGGAAGCGGCTGAGATTGGCCCTGCCAAGGGTTAAAACCTTTCTCTAGTTTAAATCGAATTGATGCCTCCAGACTTTATCTATAATGTTTATTCCGTTATCTTTTATCTGATACGATGATCCCTTCCGGATCTGTGCATACGATATGATTCTATGTCGTTACAATCTAATTCTAACGCATAGCACTGAATCCTCATTCAAAGGATACCCAGAATAGGTAATTATTACATTCTTGCAGAATAATTCTGTCCTTACTACTTTCAACGAAGTCATGTTTGAGAGAACCCTTAACAGCCCCACGGCCCTGTCGATCTTTCGGGCCGTTCTAGTAACGATTGCGTTGCCAATGCGGAGCAATGTGGAGTCTCAACCGACGACGACGATCCTCTCGGCCCCAGATTATCATCATTTATCTATCTACAGTTGAGTGCCTATCCATTCTGGTTGTTCTGAAGCACCACCAAAGTAGTTCGGTATCCTAGGGCTGAACTATGCATTATTGGTGCCGCCTCCCGGGCTTAGCGAATGGTTTAATGTAAGCCCACCACCCCCACTTAGTTAAGCGCTTGGCTGAATTATCCATTTTATGCTCCCTTCAAGAATGCATAGATGCCCACCCCGGGTTTTGAAGTCGCCGAATTTTGCTTGTGAAATCGGGAAGACGGAGTAAATTTCGAGACACAATCCGGATGCTCGGCTACCTTATGTGTACAACTTAATAATTCCTTCACCATGTCGAAATTGAGCCTCAATGGCATAGTGTCGCCGTCATTATTTCTAGGCTTCAATATTTTTGTTGACACGGACTTTGCTGGCTCTACATAATTGTCAAGTGCGAAGTGCCCTTGCAATTTTGAGCTCGCAATCTATTCCTGTACAGGATGGAATCAGCATCACACCATGTCCCACAGCATGGGGCGCAGCTGGATGCCTAAATAAGCGGTGTCGAGGCATTTACAATGAATACCCGATCAGGCCACAGTGCATCGCCCCCAAATTGATATATCTACGTATTCCAGGATACTCCGTTCCTAGGGGTCTTGTGGGGCTGGGGATGAGGGAAAAGGAAAAGGGATGCATAACTGTTTCAGTTATGGAAATGTAGCTGCCTGCAGTTGTACGCGGACAGAAAGGGAATAAGCGGAAGTCATTGGTGAGATAATTTCCCGCTTAGGGTTAATCAATAGTATTCGTATAGATTTTTCTCGGAAGCTGCGGTGTGGCTCATTTCATTTAGCCCCGTCGTGAGGTCCACTTGATCTATTAGTTCCTTCTCTTGGGTCGTGGTGGATCGACGTATCCGCTCCCAGTTGGCGAATCAGCGATCATGGATTTCCGGGAGAGAACTTGTTGGTATGAATCTGCGCCACAATATGAATTGTTCTTTAATTATGTCTTGAATTGATCGTGGCACAGTCATTCATATGCAAAATCTGCACGGGACATCCTCGGGTGCCGTGATGACCGATCGCATTGTTCAGACCAATCGGCCCCCTTGAGCCCGTGAAAGCCACGCGCTAGACCCAACGCAAATTTCGGGCCCCCTACATCTTTGTATGACCTCAGCCCTGTGCACCAAAAATGCGATGCTCGTGCGTGAGATTCTGGGGGCGCAACTCCATAGGGTAACCGAGGGTTCGATTCCGACCGGGATTGACATCACAGATCCACCAGTTCCCCACTGTACGACACGCCATGATTCGCTTACCCCCCGAACCACTACTGCAATGAACATACCGAGCAATAGCTCCAAATATCGGGGCTTGGCTGGGTCTCCCGGCTTCCCCGGAGCATAAATAAAATCAGTCACCCCTGGCTCCCCTCCTTGGCGATCACTGCATCACCGACCCTGCTCCCTGGTTTCTGTGAGAAGAGGTTGCTGAGATTCCACCATGAAAGTCTCAACATTGATCGGCTCTCTGGCGCTGGGCGCTTTGCCTGGTACGCATCCGCCTTCACGCGACCTGCAGCATATCAGCTGCGAGAATTCAATCGTCATAGCACCATTTTGCTAATTAACGCCCTTTTTAGGTGTCAATGCGGCTTCAGGCTCGGAATTTGAACGTGACAGCGCCGCGGTTGTAGCGGAAGTCATTCGTCGCGCTCTTCCTAATGCTCCTAATGGATACACCCCGACCAATGTTAGCTGTCCGTCCAGTCGGCCGTCTATTCGTAGTGCCGCGAAGCTCTCTACAAATGAGACCTCCTGGCTTGAGACCCGTCGCAAGAAGACCATTACGCCTATGAAAGAGTTTTTCAGCCATGTCTCTGTCGGCGACCTCGATGTCGGTGCATACATCGATAAGCACTCTTCGAACGTGTCCAATCTCCCCAACATTGCTATCGCGGCGTCGGGTGGTGGTTACCGTGCTATGTTGAACGGTGCCGGTGGTATCAAGGCATTTGATAGCCGCGTGGAAAACTCCACGGCTTCGGGTCACCTGGGTGGTCTGCTGCAGTCAGCCACTTACGTTGCTGGTTTGAGTGGTGGTAGTTGGTTGGTTGGTTCGATTTATATCAACAACTTCACGTCCGTCGCGGATTTGCAGACCTACTCGGCTGGTAACCCGTGGCAGCTTGGAAACAGTATTTTCGAGGGCCCGGACACTGGCGGCCTTCAGCTGCTGGACACGGCTGAATACTTCACGGATTTAGCAGAGGCTGTTGAGGACAAGAAGAAGGCCGGTTATGAGACCTCGCTCACCGATGTTTGGTATGTATCACACAATCATGCGAACTCCGATTTCAAGAAAATTGCTGGAGCCCATTATTAATATTGTATTGCAGGGGCCGTGCTCTGGCTTTCCAGATGTTCAATGCTAGTAAAGGGGGAATTGAATACACCTGGTCGTCCATTGCTAAGACTCAGGACTTCATTGATGGTAACTACCCAATGCCGCTGGTCGTTGCCGACAGCCGTGTCCCCGGTGAAATCATTGCTTCTTCCTATTCGACGGTGTTCGAGTTCAACCCCTGGGAGTTTGGTACCTTCGACCCGACGATTTATGCATTCGCCCCTCTTGAGTACATCGGTTCCCGCTTCGAGAATGGCTCAATCCCCAGCAACGAGACCTGTGTGCGTGGATACGACAACGCCGGCTTCATTATTGGAACATCTTCCACCCTCTTCAACGAGGCCATCACTGCACTGGGCAGTAACTCGTCCAAGATTACCACGTGGGCGAATGATATTCTCAAGGATCTTTTTGCCGAGTTTGACAGCTCAGACAACGATATCGCTTCCTATGAGCCTAACCCCTTCTACGGGTATAATGATGATTCCTTGGCCACTTCATTGGACCTGGATATCGTCGATGGTGGCGAGGACGGTCAGAATATTCCTTTGCACCCACTTATCCAACCCGACCGCGCGGTCGACGTTATTTTCGCTATCGACTCCTCCGCCGATACCGATTATTACTGGCCTAATGGAACCTCGCTTGTGGCCACCTACGAGCGTAGCCTGAATACCAGCGGTATTGGAAACGGCACCGCCTTCCCCGCTATCCCTGACCAGAACACCTTCATCAACCTGGGTCTGAACACTCGCCCGACTTTCTTTGGTTGCAACAGCACCAACATCACTGGCACAGCCCCTATTGTTGTCTACCTCGCCAACCACCCTTACTCTGCCCAGTCCAACACCTCGACCTACCAGATGACCTACGAGGATTGGCAGCGTGACAACATTATCACAAATGGCTACGAAGTCGTTACCATGGGCAACGGTACCCTCGATGGTAACTTTACTGCTTGTGTTGGTTGTGCTATTCTGAGCCGCTCTTTCGAACGCACTGGTACTACTCTTCCCGATATCTGTACTCAGTGCTTCACCGAGTACTGCTGGAATGGTACCACCAACTCTACCACGCCTAACACCTATGCCCCTGTGGATATCCTGGCATCTTCGGAGGCTGGCATGTTCATTACCCCCACCGTGCTGTCTACTGTTGCTGCAGTGACCGCGGCCTTCTTCACCCTGGTATAGGCGAGGACTCGGTACATTACATTCGATATTTTCAAATTTTTGTTTTTATTCTATCTTTTTTTTTTTTGGGGTTCTTTCTTCCAGATTCTACGATCTTGCAGATAATTGCGCCACGATTAACGGGCTTTCAATGTATGAGTATAAAACTCTATGATCTGTGAGGCTCAAGCGCCTTTGTTACGGTGTCTGCGATGTACTTGGCAGTGACATACCTATACCCACAAACAAATTCCCATGAACATTTTTCAAGACCTTCCTTACTTGGCTACATACAGGTGTTCCAGTGTCCACCGAAGATTTCATGTAGGAGTCAATTATCCGAAACAAGTGATTCATAATGTATTAGCCATAGCTCATATATACTTCGCGGACATTCAACCCTGCCACCCGGGCAAATTATCAGAGCCTTCTATATCCATACATCTATCAATCATCACTTCGTGTCTGATGTAGATTATATAAAACATTTGATATCAAGACCATTAAATAAAATCACGCGCCCACTTTCTCGGGGTGATCCACCGGTAAGACATCCGCAAGAGTTTCATCCGTTCCGGCAATATCGTCTTCCACGTCAACATGGTCCCGGATCTTCATGAAGATAACAGGAGCAGCGACAACGAGCGACACAGATAGAAGAACCCAGTTGCTGATGAATTCCTTCTTGTAGGAGAGTTTGCGGGCATCGAGGTTATTGACGATGGCAGCGCCCACGGATTGAATGCCCTTGTAGAAGCCGACATAGTTCGCAGAACGACGACCCGAGTTGGAGAGCGCACCCATGAACCTAAGAAATATTCGTGTCAGTTTCGAGATAACCATAGATAATACGGTGGCATGTGCTTACCAGTAGATACTAGCCTGCCACGCGGCATCATAGAACCCGTAAAAGATATACAAAAACATTGGGCCAACGTATCCATGGGACTTCCAGTCAGTCGGAATGAAATTATCGTCAGTGACGGTCGCCCTGGTATAAGTCTTCTCGTAGGCATAACCACCACCCCAGATAGCCATAGTGAGCACGAAAAGCACCGCCCACGTCACCTTCGCTCGGAGAGAGCGCTTCACGCTCTGGACATCGAGGAGCACACCCCAGATCGCGGCAGCTATAATCTGAGCCAGGTAGTATAGCAAATTGTTCAGCGCCTTCGTACGCGTATCGAAATGCGCGCTGTTCATGCCATTCTGCTGATAGACGTAGAACCAGTTGGAAGAGAAGAACATGGGGAAAAGGAGGATAACGAAGGGTTCGAAACGAAGGGTCTCCCACAGTCCGATAAGTTCGGATTGCCAGCTTGGGTTCTTCATTAGAATGACACGGGTGCCGTCTGGTCGGACAATGTCGTTCGCGTTGCAAAGGCAGAGGGCGAGAAGGGCTCCAATGAACATGAGAACAATGAAACCAATGTATGTTCCTGATGAGACAGTGGAGTTGGTTGTGACGTTGATATTCTGGCCGAGAGGGATCTGTGGAGGAATACTGGTTAGAGAGGGGTATATACAACCTTTAAGATAGGTGTATAGGACGCGAAGAACATACCAAGCTGCCAATAACGGCACCCATGTTGAAAATTCCCCAGAACCAGGCGAAGTATGTTCCCTTCTTATCCTCGGATGGATAGGAGATCATGATCGTTCCTTGCGCGGTCCACAGAAGACCCGCACAGATACCGAGCCAAGCGCCGGCGAAAATGTTGAATCCTGTCACATCGGCGTAGAGAGAGACTAGTAGACTAATAGCGTAGATGCAGTATCCGGTGCCTCCAAATGCAAGAGTCCATTTAACGCCGAGCCTGTTGATGAATGTACCGCCAAAGATACCGAATACCGCGAATGTACTATAGAGAGCAGTGTTCTGTTTCAGATGTCAGTAACTAAGAAGTACCTAGCTTCGCGACAATAATGCCACAAATGAAGAAGAAAAAAAATCTTAGGATCATTGCTCACCATGTTGTCGGCCAAAGTCGCATCAGTCTTTCCACCACCTCCCATTCCACTGAGCGCATTGAACATACCCGGGCACATGAAACACACGAATGCGACCATCACCAACTGGACTCTTGGCGACGCATACCAGGGGATGTTGAGGCCGAAAATCCGTCGATGTCTGTATATCCATCCATTTGGCAGATCAGGGGTCTGGGCTTGGTCATTGTGTTCATGAGGAGCAGCCAACTCATCAACACCGATATTTTTGTTTTCTGTAGCCATAATGCTCGCCTCAATGCAAAGTCTAACAATCGGAACGAGAAAAAAAAAAGATGCAAAAGGAAGCGGGGACACAAGAGCTTTAAAAATGAACCTTTCTAAATCTTGTCTAGTCCAGCAGGGTCAATCCATGAGCCAATCAGAGCTTCTGAATGGCGGAAAGTCTAATCTTTGCCGGGCCCGAGGAGCTGATAAGCCGTAAGCTGGTCCCATCCCTAATTATAGGCAATTGGTCGCCTGATTCATCCGATGGGGAAGCATAGATTGCCGGTCTCCACCCTGATACAAGCTTCACTTCTAATGAATGGCGTTCAGGGATGTAACTTCATGAACCGAGTGGGGTCGTGCGCACTCACATGGGCTGAGAGTGCGGGGGTGAAACGGGGGCTTGGTTGACGGTCGGGAGGGAAAGGCTATTGGATGGTACGGACGCTTTGGTAGTGAAACCCGATGTAACACTGCCAGGAAGAGTGCATGCATTGAACGCCATGTTTTGATCAGATTCAATGGACAAACGGTATCAATTTTGCAGTGGCCAGTAAGCGCTACAATTGTGAACAGGATCTGGGGCTGATAAGCTGATGTTACACCATCTCCTTTGGGTGATAATGGGCTTATCTGTGCGGGGCTTGGTGTTACGGTGCTTACGACGGTATCACCCGTGGGCCTGGGGTTTTGTTATCAGGGGTTGCTCTTTGCCTGGTGTGATGCGCCGTCAATAGGGAATGAGACACATGGGTTTGCTTGTTTGCAAGATTTATAGTTAGCGGGTAACTGCACTGGCAGGGTTCCCTGTCAGCGTGTCTAGCTCGATCAGGCTACCGCAAGTGTCATCTGCAGCTAACCTCGCACGAAATATGTACTTAGTCGCTGACCTTGATTGATGCGCCAGGGCCAGGGTCTATATATGTGCAATGTGTCTTGCCCAGGTGGTCGCCTTAAAAAGCAAAACAGAAAAATATGAAGAGATACTTGCAACCCCTGTTGGGTCCTTTCATGTTGCGAGAATTGAAATGTGAGCAACCAAGGTTGCCGGGAAACTCATTGAACATATCCATGGGTAGTTCAATGTTGTCTTTCGTGGAGCATACATATGAGGACATGTTGACAGCTGGACACAAAGATTGGCTAAGGCCCCTAGAAACCGTGGGACGAGTGTTTATGAGAAAGTGGCAGAAAAACCCAAGGTAGCCAAAAAGAAAAAGAAAAACAACAATAATCAAATCCCAAGCCATCTAGCAATTATTGATTTCAAGGTTATAGAGGCTTCAAGGGTTGTTTATTGCAGAGTATAGCGATGATCTTTCTCCGCTCGACCCATCCCAACCTTGTTGTAGATCCATCAGGTGACCGGTTACCATGGTAACTACGCGGGTCAGCCCAGCTTCGTCTAAACACGCTCCACCATAATCTATTTTGCCTTGCAGCTTAATGCATTCCGGACATTACCCGCGACCCGCGACCGCTTGACGCAGACCCGCCATGAGTGCAAGGTCATCCCGACATCCTTAACCGACCATATCAATAACCACATCGACACGCGACACGAACTTCGATCAGATCATAACATTGCCACCATGGCACGCGCGGCCGTCCTCCCACCGTCCCCCGTCAAACGGGGCACTCGGGCAGCGCCTCGAACAACCTTGAGCAAAACGGCTAAAACAAAGACAACCGAGGTCAAGAAACGAGCTCCCGTCCAAGCGTCCTCAGCAGCCTATGACTCGGATGACACAGATGACGAACTGGGAATGATGATGAAGGAACCAGAGCAGGTCCCTCGTCCGCGAGGTAGACCTGCTGGACGCTCAGCAACCAGAGCCACTGCCGCATCTCGAGGCAAGAACGTGACGCCGGCCTCTGCTTCTGAGGTATCCAATGACCAAGTGACTAGCAAGGCCGAGCCCAGGAAACGCGTCGGAAGACCGAGAAAGACTCAACCCGCAGAGCCCGCCGCCAAGGTGGAGACTGCCCCCAAGCAACGTGGACGACCAAAGGCAGACACAACGAAGACCGGCACAGCGACGCGTAAAGCAACTCGAGCAGTGACTGAAGCGGAAGCATCTGCCGAAGCTGCAGGCCCCAAGAACATCTTCATTTCAACCAATTCCACGACAATGCGCTCCAACCTATTGCGCGGACCTGCAAAGAAGAAAACCGTCACCTTTGAAGACGTCTCGGACTCTGAATTTGAGGACTTTGAGAAGCCCGCAGCGCCAGCCGTTGGACGTAGAAAGGCTCCCGCAAAGGCTACTGCTGGCAAGGCTGGTCTTAGAGCTACACCAGTGCGTAATAATGCTACAGGTACCGGCCGTGGGCGCAAACCTGCGACAGCTAAGAAAAATGCAACAAAACCCCTTTCACCGAAGAAGGATAAACAGGTGGCCAAGTCACTTTCTGCTTATGTTAGCTCTGACGGTGAAGAGGATGAATTAAGCGCAGTTAAGAACGATATCAAGAGCCCAGTCAAGCTCGTTATTCATTCCCCTATCAAGCATGCCTCGGAACCCGCCGGCTTGAGCTCCCCTGTGCGCAAGATCAATTTCACCCCAAAGAAAGCTTCGAGCCTCGTTGATGAGAATGGCGAACCCAAGCTTCCAACACCAAAACACGGATCAACAAACACTGGTTTAAGCTCACCAGTCCGACGAATCAATTTCACTCCCAATCGCAGCCAACAGACTGTCACCGACAACGGCCACCTAGCGCTCCCTCCCGGAAAGGCCATCGACTTCAGCGACTCGGTTTTCATGTCCAGCCCTGCCAGACGACTGGAGCAATCGTCACCATTCAGATTCTCATTCAGAGACTCACTCAACCACGGTTCCATCTTCCGAGATGACTCGAACGCTACGCCAGCCTTTGACCTTTCGCATGGACCGGCCTCACCATTAAAGATGTCCCCAAGAAAGGGTCATTTGGGTGCCTCATTTTCTCAACAGCCACCCAAGGATACGACTCCATCGTTCCAAGCTCGCTCTTCCTTCATACAAAGTCCTGCTAAGAGAATCCCGTCTCCCTTGAAAGGTTCTATCTTTTCTGCCAAATCTTCTGTGAATGAGTCAGCCACACCATCTGGCGACAACACCCTCAACACATCTCTTTTTGGATCCATCAACAAGCGCCTATCCTCCCACCAAGAGGAAGAGGAGCCGGCCGCGGACGAGGACCTTGAGATGGTGGAGGAAGTTGCTCGTGATATCTTTGGTATTGAGTTGCAGTCTTCCAGCAGAACTCCCACTCAGTCCCCCTCACCCCAACAAGTTCCAGAGACCGTGAAAGGTCCTGAAGACCCTGCCGCTGAAAACGCCGTTGCTGAGACTGCTGTGATGAGCGAAGCAGAAGAAATGGGTATTGACGAGAAGATCGAAGAATTGCAAGAGGAAATTCGCCGCGAGCCAGATGATTTCGGAACCTTCTGCTTTAATACAATGGAAGACCTACAAGAGCCATTTAGAAACCTGCCCATGGAGAACGACACTGGATCTCAGGTGGAGTTCGACGATGTCGAATCTGTCAACCAAGTGGATGAGAGCGACGGAGATGACGAACTGGGAATCGATTTTGTGATGCAATCTACCGAGCCCGCCGACGAGCCGGCCCTTTCTTCGCCCGCGCATGAAGTTGAGCACTTCGAGCGTGCTAGTTCCTCCGAGTCGCTGCTTGATTTGGCTATCTTTGAGGAATCTGCTCTCGAAGGGCCAGAATCCCCAACGCCCGTTCGACTAAATCATGAAATAGAGGGTACTGAAATCGCAGACCAGCAAGAAATAGAGGAGGAAGAACCGGAAGAAGACGATGAGCAAGATGATATTGATGAAGTTGCCAGCATTATTCACCACCCATATGACGAAAATGACCCTGAGAGCGAAGAGGATGAGGTGGTTCAAGATGGGCAGACTCTTGCATCGTCTGAGGCTCCTGTTGCAGACTTGCCCCAATCTCAATCACCTTACGAATTAAAGGACCGCGAAGAAAGCCCGCTTTCAAGAATGGGATCTGTCACTCCACGGGCACCGACTTCATCAGCAGTTGAGGCTACTCCTACTCCTTTGTCCCTGCAGAGAAGTGCCAATTCTCACAGTCGGGTTTTCAATATCAAAAACATCGATGAGCGAATGGACGCAATGAACAGCCCCGAGGGGACAACTGAACTTGACATTCCTACTCCCGCTCCACCAAGCCTCTCTGGGACTCCAAGTGTTAGAAGCCGGCGAAGTTCTGGGTTCAATGTCAAACTGGGCTTCACGCCATTGGCAAGCAAGCTCGGCCGCTGGGAAACCAATACTTCATCCCAAGAAAGATCAGCACGTCCTCGTCGACGAGGCGTGTTCTCTCTTGTTGGCCCGTTGGAGCGATCTGCTGAGACCCACATTCCGGACGAAGGCGATGTTTCTTACCCTGATCTCTCGCGTCCCTCTCTTGCAAACACACCGCGTCTCTTCTCCGAGCTGCCTCTTCAGGACTACAATGACGATACCTGCTTGACTTCCGGGCCTGACTCGCCTGCAAAGTTCTCTTCCGCCCACGAGGACTATGATATGATTGATTCACCCAGCAGAAGCGATATTTTCGAAGACCTCGAACCCGTCATCCCTGAACACCTTCGACCTCGTGAAAGCTTATCCCGAGCGCCGATTGATGACCAAGACGAGTCGGAGGAGGACAAAGAAAACTTTCTAGCCCCTTCGCCCTTGCCAGCCACCCCGATGAAAGCGGCACCAGAGCACTTGCGCACCTTCCACACGGTGTCAAAGGTGCCTTTGAAAGGCGAGGGGGAAGTTTCTCCTTTGAAGATACCTCGCAAGCGTGGTCATTCACTTTCACACACCTCGCCTACTCGCTCGTCACCGCGGATTCGCAACTCTATCTTTCTCTCTCGCACTGACAGTGTCCCTACATTTTCTCCCAGAAAGGAGGTACAGGTTCCCCGGAGCCCCAGTCCCAAGCGCCGCTGCAGCGAATCTCGACGATCTAGCTCAAGGGTTTCATCTATGGCTCCATCCAGAAGCCCCTTAGTCGCGAGCAGTCCCGGAAAGTCCCCTCGCCGGAAGGCCAGCCCTAAAAAGCTAGCCCTTCGCGGTGCAGTGGTATACGTCGATGTTCACACTACCGAAGGTGAAGATGCCTCCGGAATCTTTATTGAGCTTTTGCAACAGATGGGAGCCCGTTGCTTCAAGTCGTGGTCTTGGAACCCCAGAGCTAGCATGTCCCCTGTTGATGGAGTGGACCCGGTAGCCAAGGTCGGCATCACTCACGTCGTCTACAAGGATGGCGGTCTGCGGACGTTGGAGAAGGTCAAGCAAGCTGCCGGCCTTGTCAAATGCGTAGGTGTTGGCTGGGTTCTCGAGTAAGTTCAAGTTCTAAGTTGTTCCCTGTTTCAACATACTGACCCCGTTGACTAGCTGCGAGAGAGAAGGCAAATGGGTTGATGAGACCCCCTATGCCATCGACCGCTCCATCGTCCCCCGAGGTGGTGCCAAACGCCGTAAGAGCATGGAGCCCCGTGCTTTGAGTAACGTCAATGGCACCCTCGTGCGTGTCGCCGAGCCTTCCACCCCGTCTGCTAGCGGTCGTCGCTGCGGCGCTGACCGGGGTGCCATCGAAGGATTCCGCAAGATTACACCCCCAACTCCTGTTGTTGAACCGTCTACCCCGACCCAGCAGTCCTCTGCTTATCGCTCTCATGTCCCGCAGACACCGGGCTATAACTTTTCCAACCTGGATGCCATTGGAATGTCTCCAGCTACCCCTTACTTCCTCTCAAACCGCACGAAACTCGTCCAGCAGTCGTGCCCACCCAAACAGAGTGGCCGTGGCTTGTTCCCGGAGAGAAAACCGACGCTGAGCTTTGAGGAAGAAGATGACCAGGAGTCCAGACGCCAGCAACGCGCTCGCATGGAGGCTGCGCGGCGCAAGAGTCATTTCCACAAACCTGCTGTTGCAAGCCCACTTGCACGATGATTGATTCTTTCATGAACCTTTGTAAATACCATTTTGTCTCCACTGTATATATGGAGCATTTTCTTTGATCGGCGTTCTTGCTTGGCTTTATTCAGCTTTGGTTGAGATCGCTCTGAAATCCTAGATTCTGGCTTTGTGAATTTCTCAAATACCAATGAATCAATGAATCCTTTCATTACTCTCTTTTCTAAGTTGGTCGTTAATCGCCCGCCGGACGGCCGAAGCCTGCCAAGGGCGTCCACAAACTGTAATATGTTACAAGTCTGATCGGATTTTTCCCCCACAATCTTAGAGTATGGCTATGCAATGTAGTAGTTTTTGGAACTTTGGAGATGATGCTTGTCGTGTGAGTGACTACCTACAAATATGGAGTTGCGGGTAATGATAGGATTTCTCACATCAGTATCGATGGCAGACTAGTCATTAGAACTTTGCTCCTACGATGTGTTAGCCTCATGACATTCTAATCTAGCCTGGGACCAGATTCCATAAGCACTTACGATGATTCAGTGCACAACGAGCAACAACCTGTCGCCAAGATTCCATACCCCGTTTCGCCCAGCCATCCGGAACCCTATGATAGGAAATCAGTACATAAGTAATCCACTGGTAGAAAGCGAGATTGCAGAAAGGCTCACGATGCTCGTGTTTCAAACATGTCTGTATGGAAGACCTCCATTGATACCCAGCCATTATACCCAATATCGAAAATGGCCTTCGCCACCTCAACAGCGGGCAGAGTACCCCCAAGATGCGCCTCGCATGGAAAGATCCGACAGTTCCTCGACTGGGTCATAAAAGGAGGTTGCTTCAAATCTTTCACAGGATAGCCCTTCTGCTCCGGGTCAGCCACAATGGCGTCACTGAGCTGCAGGTAGACAATATTCTTGGCGTCAACAGTTCGTTTCAACTCATCCAAGCTCTTCTGAAGTCGGCTATGACCATCCTTCCTAACAGGCGAGGCCTCATTAAACGGATCTCCAGCCTCTCTTGATGCAATATGGAATGTATCGAGGCAATGTCCCACATTGGGAAGATTGACTATATCAATAACTTCTTGAATATGCTGCCAAGTGTTCTTGTGAATACCCCACGCAGGAGCTTCATACCCAACCCGGAGATTGTATCTTTGGGCTAGAAGACCGAGTTTCCGCATATTGGCAGCGATGACGATCGGATCTGACGTAATCCTAGATTCATCAATAGGGTAGAGTGCTGAGCAGATCTAGAGGACGTTAATTTAGATATTTGAATGGTCATGTAAGCTGCTTACCTGAAAGATTGGAATTCGCATAATCTGGCATAGTTGGCACCATAGCTCAGCTTCTTGCAATCGTGCATCAACCTCTTCCGTGCTTTTCAGACCATCGTAATCTCGGAATGGATTCAATGCAATAAGACTAAGGGAAATGGAGTTCGCTTTTGAATAGACGTCTGAAGCGGCTGCGCGTAGCTTTTCGCTGCGCGTCGTGGGAGAGGTGAATGTAGCAGCATGTGCATCGAGGCATTCGAAGGCAACTTCTACGCCATCGAAACCATGGGATTTGGCTGCTTCTAGTTTCCGGTGGATTGAGTGGCCGGCGGCAGATTTGCCTAGTGAGTTGGTGGCAATCGCGACTTTGATTGTAGACATTTTGGGGTAATACAATAAGATCGGTGATTTCAAATTGATTCAGCGTTATAGGTATATAAAAGATGTTTGTAGCCGGTGTACAAATCAAGAGACCGGGCGGGGTTCCGAATGAACGTCTGGAGTATTACCGAGGGAACATAGATTCTAATGAAAATCGGAATTTTAGTCAGGAGTACCAATGTGGATGTACCTAAGCCCTTGATCTAGATAATCATTTGTGTCCTGCCCGCATGCTTGTTACTGGATCAAGCAACAAGAAGGATGGCATCTTAATCGGAAGACTAAATCCATCTTTCAAATACCGACAAGCTTATCCTGGTTATTATTATTCAATACAAGACAGAGACTGCTCACCAGAGAAAGCGTTTTCTTACATTTATTCTTAATGAGTTTCATATGGTCGTCGCCGATTCGCCCTGGATGCTTCCTTATTCCCATGACATAACATACCTATAGCACGAGGTAAGTCATGGACATTGCTTGAAGGTGGGAGTGAAATTTCTTTTAGTCTCTAAAAAGCCCATTTCATACATATTGACCAAGAATTCTTTTACTTTGAAAATTTATCTTGAGTAAATCACAGGTTGCATCTCCTGACTTCACCGCGAAGGACTTTGTTCACGAACTCTGGGTCTTCACGGAGTGGTCTTCCAAGCCCGATCATATCAATATCGCCTCCTTCAACGGCTTCCGACATCCGGTGACTATCCCTCCAGCCACCTGTAGTACCAATAACGGCGCGGGACTACCCAATTAATTAGCTTTGGTCAGCGGATGGGTCGACAGCGGGACTTACCAAGACTTTCTTCATTTCCTGTGCCCACTCGATGAAGTAGCTGTAATGGTCAGTGATAAAAGTCCCATGTGAAAGATTTACAATGCGCCATACCTTCCTCTCTCCTTCTGCGAGGGTCTTTCTGCCAGCTCTTTCATGATGTTGCCTCTCCATGCAGGAGAAGCATAGGTCCCACCTGATATATCGAAGAAATCTACACCGGCGTCTTCAAGCCATTTGATGACGACACACTGTTCCGCGAAGCTAGCACCTCCCTCAATGACTGTAGATGTTAGTGAACAATCCAGGCAGCCCGGGAAAGATTGTCTCATACAGTCCTGGCAGTTGAGCTTAGCAGCAATCACGAATTCGTTCAATGGAAGTTTGGCTTTGATGGCATTCACGATCTCGAGGATGAATCGGGCGCGGTTTTCCAGACTACCGCCGTACTATTACGATGATTCTGTGATTAGATCCAATTTACGCTTCCAAAAGTAGAACATTCCATACCTCATCAGTTCGCTTGTTGATCAAGGGTGATAGGAACTGTTGCATGATATATCCGTGACTCGCATGTAGCTGAAATGGTCAGACTCATTCTCTCAAATATTCCGCTTGAGTCAGCAAAACTTACAATAATACCATCGGCCCCAGCTTTGAACAGCACTTCCGCAGCCCAGACATAACGATTTTGCAAATCCTTTATCTCAGCTCTGGTCAAAGGCGAGGGCTTGCCGTACGTTTTGTTCAAGCAAGGGTCCAACTGCTCGGAGGAGGAAGACTTCGGGTTCGCGTTCAGGAACTCAGGCACCTGACGACCCGGAAACTGTAGCTGCGGAAGAAAGATTGCGCCTCGAGACTTCGCAGCCTGGCAAGCAGGACGGAATGCCTCGACTGCATCCCAAGGGTTATTGATGTCTAGGACAGCGTTGTTGTAGTTTTCCAAGTTATCGCGATGGATGGGAATATTGCCTGTGCAAATCAGGCCAGCACCTCCATCCGCAAGTTCTATCCTAGTCAGTCATTTGGAGTGTCAACATGGTCGGAAACCAGATGTACCTTGGTAGAGTTCGGCGTAGCGTGGGAGGGGCTTTCCGCAGTTTTCAACATTGTTTTCGTCGTACGTCGAAGCGTATTCGCTGAGGGGAGTGCGGTAAAGGCGGTTCTTGATTACCTTTCCCGAGAGCTTCAGAGTGATAGGCTTATTGGTTCCTGAGTGTCAGCATCGATTCATGCGAGAAAAGAACGTGGTAGCGAAAGTGCTTACTTGTCCCAATGGGCGAGTGTGAGCCATATCGCAGGGTTTCAAACACGAGATGTTGGAACAAAGAGGTAGATGCGATTGGTACTTTGCAAATTCTTGTTGTCACTATGAAGTAGCTATATATTTGAATCATGATAGGAAAGACTTCCACTCGTCACGTTATGGAGCCAGAGCCGGCCTTATATTTTAATCGCCGGGATGCGGGGATATAGCCAAAAGTCCGGGGTAAACCATGTCATCGGAATATTATCACTTCGGGAATCTCTAATTGCCGCAGCGTACCATACTGCAGCCTGAAATAGTTCCAAAGAACATGTTTTGATTTTTTATCTTTCCTCCGGGCTTAGAATGTCAGTGCAAAACGTTCTTGTACACTAGAGAGCAGTCCCCACCCCCGCTGCATCCGAATCAGACAAATGCAGTTGCTCAAAATCCTTAACTTTGACGTTTTTATTTTTCGTTATACTTCCCTCGTACAGTATATTGATTTCATTAAAGTTTGTATTTCTCGGAATCTAGTGCACGGGTGTATTTATGACCTACAATTTAATACTACTCTTTGGCATAGCAATCGCAGCCATGGCCTCTTCCACCCCCCGTTCGTTCGATTCCCTTTCTAACCACAAAATTTGTTGAGCAACACATACTCGTACAAGGACCTCTGTACCCCGAACAACGGCCCAACCAGCCTTTCTCGCCGTACACAAAAGCCGGGTCTCAGGCGATGGCATATAGCACATATCCACCAACAAGCCCCCCTTGGACTTTTGCAGAATGTGCTCACTTATATTCCAACAAAGCACCTCTCCCGGCTCAGAGGGTGGATAATCAGGAATTGTGCCGACAACAATCGAAGGGGAAGGAAGGTTGTGTGCAGTATTCACATCCGCAATGTAACGAAGCTTGATGTCAGGCATTGTTTTCGTGAAGAAGCTGGCAATATCATCAACCTCTGATTGCAGTCGGTTCACAATGTAGATCTCGGAAGGAGAAAACCATTTCCACAATGCATAAATGGCGCTTCGTGCTGCTCCTCCTCCGCCAATCACCATAGCCGGTTTTCCCTGTGCCTTAGAAACGGCATGCGGGTCATGTTGAAGAATGGCTTCGCGGATTCCAACACAATCTGTGTTGGTGCCAATCCACCGGCGCTTTCCGGTAGGATCAAGACGTACGAAAGCGGTGTTAACGGCTCCGATGCCTCGGGCCTCCTCGGTCAAATCATCCAGAAGGGGTCCGAATGTGACCTTGTTGGGCATGGTGATGGACGCGCCAATAGACTTGAGATCGGCGAGTTTCGCGAGAAACTCATTCTTGTCGGTCGTTTGGGCGAGATGATACGCCCATGATGCATTCACGGATCGAAAGAGTATTCCATGCAGAAGTGGTGAGAGCGATTGAGAGATACTGCCGCCAAACAAAAACGTGTTGGATGGATTCGAGAGCGACGAAGGGTTCAGAGGCGATGTTCCGTACTCGTAGGACTTGCGTAGGATGTCCATTCTGTCGCTTAATTTTCCGATAATTACGTGAGAGGGGGTTCATGGCTTAAAAAGTACAAAGGCTTGCACTTGCGGGGACCGGTCTGTTCTTTTAAGCACCGATAGCCCCGTATTTAGGTCGACATCATTAACAGCCTGATAGAAATCTCCACTTTCGAAGAGATACCTTTGTCATTATGATACTTCAGCCCCGAAAAGTGACGGTTGCCCTTGTTGGCGGAGGAACGATTGCACCTTTCCATGCGAAGTATCTCTTGACATCTCCTACATGCTCTTTGGTCGCTCTTGTTGATCCATACCGACCTGGAAAGGAACTGGCCGCAAAGATTTCTGTGCCCCATTTCGACTCCGTGCAGAATCTGCTCGGGTCCTCAATTGAAGCCCCGGATGCGTACATCATCTGTGTGCCCTCCAGCCTTCACGTTGTGGTAGCCGAAGAAGTGCTCCACTATGCCTCCCCCCAAGCCATGTTAATTGAGAAGCCCTTCTCCACCGAGTCAAGTTCCGGGGCGAAACTTCTCCAACTCGCGAACAGTAAGTCCTGCACGCTGCTGGTAGGTCACCATCGTCGGTTCCACCCGTCACTTGCAGCAGCCCGTCAGGTCGTTGACAACGGGACTATCGGCCAAATCATCGCAATATCGGGGATTTGGACCGCCAAAAAGAACGATGGCTATTACAAGGAAGCTAGCTGGCGATGCTCTCGTTCATCTGGAGGTGGACCTGTTTGGACGAACTTTGTCCACGACATTGATGTTCTGCATTATCTAACGGGATCAAGTGTTGTGAGAGTGTGGGCGACGCAGACTGCCAGCCAGCGTCCTCATGACGGTATTCCAAAAGATGACCTAGTCGAAGAGGGCGCCGCGATCATGCTTCAATTTGCCAATGGGGTAGTGGGGACATTCATAATCAGTGACAACGTGGCAAGCCCTTTTGGGTGGGAGGCTGCATCGGGTGACAATCCACTCTTTCCACCAGCACCGGCGAAAGTAGATACTTATCGGATTTTGGGGACTAAGGGAACTTTAACAGAACCAGATGGTATACTTTGGCATTACGATGGCGGTGATGCAAAACAATTAGGAAAAGAGGTTGGATGGAATATCCCGATCCGCCAAGAGGAGCTACGGTCCTCAGATGATATACCGTTCCAGCAACAGGTGGAGCACTTGGCTAGAGTTTGCCGAGGAGAGGAGGAGCCCAGATGTTCCGGAGAGGATGGATTGAATGCAGTGAGAGTTTGCGAAGCAGTAATCGATGCTTTGGAAGCAGGAGATGGAGTACCGATTGATTTGTGATGAGATTATTGGTCGCGAAAGTTGAGAGATTTTGCCAGTCTTGCATGGTTGTCTAAGTATATTGACCGGTAATGATTTTTTTAACTCAGTTTTGGCTTAATACTGGAACAGATATCTCCTCGTTGAGAATTTTAGCAGGAATCACGAAGCCAAAGTGAGCATAGCAGTAAGCCTATTGATTCTGCCTTTCTCTGAGAACATTCTTTCAAGACTTAACATTAGCCTTAGTAGAATAGCATAAAGAGACCATGAGCTGGCGTTGAATTGATGCATATAATTCTTTTAGATTGGTTGGATTCATGAACTGATTTATGCGCCGGGACTACCCACAGTTGGTACGAACCTAGAAGATGATCGATATAACTACCTGATGTGATGTCGCTTACAAGAAATGAACACTAGTCTAGGTATTTCAGTTTTTGCCAGTCCAGTTCTTTTCAACACGAGCTCTTGGTACCAACATAGAAGTCGATCGACCCCCGCCTTATGTTTAAATAATGCGCCGGATTCGGTCCGGCATTCAGAATAAATCTCCGGTCTACAAACGTGCCAATCAGAGCACAATATTTTGGGCTTAGAAATTGACGTCAAGACTGGAAAGGAACCTAGATCTGAGCTAGCAAAGCCTAATCCCCCGCATTTCTGGGGGCAATTAGAACCTTGTAAGATAAAGGCCGGGGAATCTTCTTACTACCCTCCGGATTTCAATTGAAACGCACTTGATACCAAATTGAAGTGTATCCGTCATGTTCGAAGAGTATATTCAAGGGAAGACCTTGCGTCGGCTCTCCCGATTCAGTTGCTCTGTGGTGAGTGCACTGGTATACGTTGTGCGGAATGTACGCTTTACTCATAGAGATCTACAGGGCTTTATGATTGAGGGTTATCAGGCTGGCGTTCTTGGGGGAGTACAATCAACAACTCCTTTTTTGAATGCTATAGGGGTATTTCACTGAAATTGACTTGGTTTTAAAGCTGTGCTAACGTGGTGAAAGAATCCGACGGGAACAGAGACTATTCCTATGATTGCATCTTCCTATACTCTGGCAGCGGCCGTCATGGCATGTGTGGTTATGCTTATCGGAATGCCTCTCGGTCGACGAAACTGCATAATAATCGGTAATGCGCTCATTGTCATTGGTGGTGTGATACAGGCTGCATCCTTTTCCGTCCCACAGATCATCGTGTCTAGAATTCTTTGTGTAAGTTGAGCCATAATGAGACAGAGCTTCATGCTAACTGAAAGTAGGGATTTGGGATTGCAGTAAGCGTGCTCCAACGGAGGATCAGACGGGTGTATATCTAACAAAATGACAGTTCATTACGTGCAACGTCCCGATGTATATGGTAAGTATAGGTATCTACACGCCAGCTGCATATGAAGTCAAACTGATGCTTTTTGCAGTCAGAGATGAGCATTGATGCCCGCGAACGTGGTCCTGAGGTGGCCATTAACTGTTCATCTTTAATCTTCGGCGTTGCGCTCTCATACTGGGTGACATTCGGCTTCACGAGAATGACCAATCAGGTTTCCTGGGTGCGTCTCTACGATACAGTCACTTGCAAGCTGCTAATTAAATTTAGCGAATTCCTGTCGCTATTCAAGGCATTCTGGGACTTCTATCAGGAGTGACTATGATATTTCTACCTGACACACCGAGATGGTACTACGCACGGGACCGGATTGATGAAGGCGACAGAACACTTTCTCGGATCTACGGTGTTTATCGTACCGGCATCAACAATAGTAACGATTTCGCAGAGATCCGGGTCCTCAAAGCAAGTATCATGGAAAACTTCGAAGTGGAAGAGGAATCGAGCAACCGTCTGACACTGTTGAGTTTAATCTGGGATAACACGCCGCTTCGTGTCGGTCGGCGAGTGCGGATCTCGTTCATCATTCTCGCTATCCAGCAATCAATGGGAATCAATATACTGATTTACTACATGACACAAATCTTCGAAGATGTCGGACTATCAAACTTCCTGGCTTCTTTGCTAGCGGCCATCTCGTTGACCATTCAATGGGCTGGCTCCACACTTTGCATTGTGACCATTGAGCGCATTGGTCGTCGAAGAATTATGCTGATTTCGTCCGGCATAGGAACGTGCTGCATGCTTATATTCGTCGCGCTCAACTTGATCGAGAATAAGACTTTGGCCACTCAATGGACTGCTGTGGCTATTATGTTTCCCTATCTGTTTGTTTACGGATGGGGTTGGGTGGGATGCCCGTGGTTGTATGGACCAGAGGTATCATCAACCTACCCAACCAGGGCTTCAAAGGACATCAATACTGACGTGACTCTGACAGATTGCCCCACTTCGATACCGCCATATTGGATCCGCAGCTGGAATTCTCGGGGTGTTCCTGTTCACATTCCTGACTGTTTTCGCGGGTGGTATCGGACTCGAGACCGTTGGCGCGAGGATTTGGGTTTGGCCTCTCGTCTTCAATGTTGTCGCCTTTGTGTTCGTTTACTTCATGTGCCCAGATGTGAGTGCCGGATGTCAATCTTGAGAGAATGAGACTGACCGGTAAACAGCCTACCAATAAGACTCTGGAAGAAGTGGATGCGCTGTTCGCCCAGGATGAAGCAGTGCTTAATCGCCTGAATCACGCAGACCACGGCGAGGATGAAAAGCCCGGCACGCAGCAATTAGAAAACGCAGCCTAGGAAGTTACTACACAAGGAAAGAATCCCGATGGGACCTTTGAAGACGGGATCCCGATATGGAGCATGACCGACCGTTGGGAAAAGCAATGGAGAACTTATTGGATGTGAGACTACAACGCAATTGGGAATTTAGTTCATCAGTAGGAACCTCGCAATCTGACTTTCTCTCGGGTATCGCGTCAAACCTAATATTCAACCCGTAGATCCTTGGGTGTCCCTAGGGATCATTTGATGAAGTATTATTGAGCAGATTTGGCCACAATTACCTTGCAGGTAAATGATGATCCAATCAAAATGCACCCTGCCCTCTGCGTATCCACCACGGAATCTGACATATCATCAATAATAATGCTGCTCCTCGAGGAAGCGCAGATCATTGCGCTATCATAATCGTGGACCCAAATCACCAGGAGCGACCGTGCTAGTGAAACGAAATTTGGTGAGAGGGCCGGGTCTTGCTTCTCATCTATGTAATGTGACCGTTCAAGGGTACCCTGCATAAGGATCTGTGTCACACCGAGCATTATGATCGGGCGGTTATTGCACTAAATTCAGATAAGGCAGCTGAAGAGCGTGGCTTTTATTGGTAACAAGGAGTGCGATAAAGGGATTTGGAGACGGGCTTTGCCAAGTGCACTTGATCTTCAGATTGATCTGCATTCCATTGCGAACTGCCATCGATCTGGGTCGACATGCCCCCTTGCGTTACCACCCATTTCTCCTTGCTTGTCATCCAATCCCCAGCCCCAGGTATGACATATTGCAGTCCAAGATACATGACGCTGGATCCTGCCCTTCATTGGCATTATCCCAGTTCCTCAGTCCACTTGAGCTTAATGTCGCTCACCGACTGCAGCGGAGTGATTGTTCCGGCCACCGCCGCTTGCACAGTGTATCTCGTCCACATCTACATGGGAAATCAGTCATTTTATTTCTTTAACCAATGCGGGAAGAGTTTTGACAGCCAACTCCACCATTTGGCTCTTAGCTATACGTTCCTTGTCTAGTCGTCCATGGCATATGTGAGCTTTACTTCACCCAGGTCTCGAGATTGCTCGTCCAGGGAGCGATAGTCGCTCCCTCCCCAACATGGGGAATGTGTCGCCCACCCCACACCAGCTGCTTGTTGAAGCAATTGTTTTTTGGAGTATCGGCGTTATAATATATGGCGGAAGAATGTATGTTGTCTACTACAACGATTCGTGTTGCAAGGAGCGCTATACTCATCCAACGAAGGATTTCCCGAACCATTGCAAATGGGTCAATAAAACGTCTGCTGTGTATGTCGACCGATAATTGATTTGATGATGAGATAAGCGCTAACCAAGCTTTGTTTCACAGGGGATGACTATGTAATGACAGCAACCTTTGTGAGTGGGCTACCTTGGAGACAAATGACTCAATACACTGACTTACCGTCCATGGTGGCAGATGATTTACACCACCCTCCTGGTCTTGATTCAAATATCCTCGCGCTATGCAACCAATCTCATGGATCCGAAGGATTATGACCAAGTTTTATCAGATCCTCAAGAAGTCCGTGATCGAATCTACGGAAGCAAAATTGTCATCGGACTGGAGCAGTGTATGCTTTTTTCAACATGGGGAGTCAAGACTTGCATGTTGATCTTCTATTGGAGGCTTACCCAAAGCTTACGCTCCAACCTCTATATCAAGATTCTGACAATATACGTGGCCCTGGGGTTTGTGGTGATCATGGTCTGCTACTATGCTGTTTATTGTCGGCCCTTCTCCCAGTACTGGGCTATGCCTGTACAGAATATGCAATGCGCCACTTACCAGCATTATTCGATCACTCAGGCCGTTTTCAACATCTCATCCGACGCTGTGATGTTCGCCATCCCAATCCCTCTACTTATCAGAGCTCAACTCAAGAAACACCGCAAAGTTCTTCTCCTCGGTGTGATGAGCTTAGGTCTTTTTACAATCATTGCTGCTATTCTCAACAAATACTTCAATTTCGCGTCCCCTCTCACCACAACCTACCAAATATGGTACATTCGTGAAGCCAGTACCGCTATCTATGTTGCGAACCTGATGTGCTGGTGGCCATTGCTACGGAAGATATTCGGACTCAAGACATTCTCTTATAACAGCAACCGAGGCCAGCGAGGAAGAGGCCCCAGCAACCAGAACAAAGATAGCAACGGCTCCTCACAGTCCGGGTCCCGCCCGTCTTTCTCCCTTCCCCGCGCTCTGAACTTTGTCCGCCCAATTTTCAAGAAGTCAGACTCGAAAAATCATCATTCTGCGCAGGGTGGTATGCATCGCTCCAGTCAGGAAGCTATTACCAACGCATCCAACGATTTCATGGACGATTTGCATCGAGTAGACGCCCATCCACTTGAGCAGTGGAACAAGAATGATGATCATTTCGGGGATATCGAGGATCCCAGGCCGACAAGCCCAGAGTCAATGACCATATATGAGAATGCACAGCATAAGCTGTCGCAGCACGAAGAGGGCGTCAAACCTAGTTGATCATTCCGTGCTGGTCATATATCTGTTCTGAGGGGATTTCTTATTCTCTGCTGGGACTTGTTTCACATAGCGCGGTTTTTCGAGGAAAAGTTGATCCATATAATACCCCTGATTTTTCAGTTCTTGCATCAAAAGGACACAATATTTTTGTATTTTAGCTATTTTCATTGATAATAGATAAATTAATCCAAGACGGATTGTCTCCAGTTCCATCCATGGTTCACTGTCCCAGATTGGGACAGCCTGCGGGTCTTTATAGCCGACTTTGAAGTCTTTCATTGGTAAAAGACAGCGCCGATGGTCAAGTGGTTACGATGCGTCCCTCCCATTCTGAATATGAGTTCAGGTCGCGGCCCGGGTTCGAATCCCGGTCGGCGCATACCATCTTTTTTTATTTTTTTTTTATCTTATTCTTATTGATCTATTTCTCACTACTCATCATGTGTCCTTTACATATCGATAATGTACCTGTGAATGACTCACTCGATCGCAAGACAGCCTGGATACAGGTAAGTGCATTATTGGATTGGGAAGACATCTGGCGGTTAGATCGGCACTGTATCCGGCATCGGACGGGCTAGATGCTGTATGGTGTCAGAGTGGGAAATTTCTTCGTGTCCTTGGCATGATTGCTGTTTATCTTTCCCATCGTTCATAAGCAACCTTTTGCCAGGCCATTTATTTTAGAAGATATCTCCTGGAAAGGTGTAGTGTGTCCAGCAACTGCATATCCGGCGTTTCACATCGTTACACCGGCTCGCGTGCTTCCCCAGGTCTTGGCTGATGGGGCATCCTCCACCCGAGCCCATGGGCCAATCCCACCCCGACCACATAGACGTCATTCAGTCTTCACATCACACTGAGCTCCAGTCAACAGATGCACCTAGTGATAGTGACAGCGACCATAATGAAAGTAACGCTACACCCATTCTCGACAATCAGAATATTCGACGCCCACCAGCCCCAATTCCCACAAGCCATCGCCGCTTCCCGTCAATCGATGAAAGCCACACAGACCATGTCGCCCTTCCCGGCCCAGAACAAGAGATAGCGGAGGAGAAACCGGTGACATGGAGCTCGCTACCCAAGAAAGGCCAGCTGGCTATTTTGACTATGGCGCGTCTGTCTGAGCCGCTCACCCAGACTTCGTTGCAGGCATACATGTTCTACCAACTTAGATCGTTTGACCCATCGTTGCCGGACTCAACCATCTCGGCGCAGGCTGGTATGCTGCAGGGTAGCTTCACGGCTGCTCAGTTCCTCACTGCTGTGTGGTGGGGTCGCCTGGCTGATGCAGAATGGATGGGCCGCAAGAGAGTTCTCTTGATCGGTCTGTCTGGCACTTGTATATCTGCACTTGGCTTTGGCTTCTCTAGGTCATTTACCACTGCGATTATATTCCGCACGCTGGGCGGAATGCTGAACAGCAATCAAGGTGTTATGCGCACGATGATCTCCGAAATCATTGCCGAGAAAAAGTAGGGTTTTACCTTCTGGCTAATGACGTCGATACTAATATTTTGATCAGGTACCAGTCACGGGCATTTTTGCTTCTTCCGATGTGTTTCAATATTGGGGTCATCATCGGTCCCGTTCTAGGAGGAACGTTGGCGGATCCTGTCCAGAGTTTGCCTTGGCTTTTTGGCCCTGGTTCCTTGTTCGGCGGTGAAAATGGCGTATGGTGGATGAAACATTGGCCATATGCCTTGCCAAATTTATTGAGTGCTTGTTTCATCTTTATGTCATCGCTAGCGATATTCTTTGGCCTTGATGAGGTGCGTAGCTTTCCCGAGCATACTACATGACATCTGCTAAATAATGAACAGTCCCATGAAATCGCAAGACACCGCAGAGATTGGGGCCGCGAACTCGGAAAGAGAATCGTTTGTGCTTTTACCAGGCGCCCCTTACACTACAGTCCCCTGACCCGCTCTGGACAAGATGACTCTTTGTATCTGGATGAAAACAGGGAGTGGTCAGCACCATCGAGTCCAGTCCGCGCACGCTCGCAGCCACCTCCAGTTCCGCGCAAACGGGCAGGATTCCGACAAATTCTCACACGCAACGTTCTCTTGACTCTCTTGACCCATTTCTTGCTCGCATTCCATACTAGTGCCTTCAACTCCATGACCTTCGTGTTCCTACCTACTCCACGTGCTCCGGAGGACTCCCGCACAGGCTTCTTCCACTTCAGTGGAGGACTAGGTTTGCCATCTGCCCGGGTAGGTCTTGCCACTGCAATCATCGGTTTCATCGGCCTCCCTCTGCAAATCTTCCTATACCCTCGCATCCAAGGAAAGTTGGGAACGCTCACCTCGTTCCGTACATTCCTCCCTCTTTCCCCCATGGCGTATATATTGATGCCTTTCCTTGTTGTCCTACCTCGTGTTCCATATATTGTCTGGCCCTCTTTTACCTTTGTCGTGTCTTTGCAGGTCATTTCTCGCACATTTGTGCTCCCTGCTGCCATTATTCTTGTTAACAACTGTGTCACTGACTCCACTATTCTCGGAACGGTGCATGGTGTTGCGCAAAGCATCTCTAGCGCTGCTCGTACCTTGGGCCCACTCCTTGGCGGATGGGGTCTTGGCTTGGGTCTTATGCACAACATGGTAGGAGCTATTTGGTGGGCCTTGGCCGCGGAAGCTCTGATCGGATATATGGTGCTTTGGACCATACACGAGGGTAAGGGGATCGAAAGACCCAAACCTGTAGTGGACGAGGTGGAGGAAGGGGAGGAACGATGACGATGCTCTGGACATCGCGAAAATGATTATGTTCAAGTTCTAGACTTTGCTTTTTGCTATTGCCGTTTTCCAAAGGTTGCGGGCGTACTCATGATGCTTGATGATTCAAATGAGATAGCTGGTCTTCTGGGGTGCCCATCCGAGAACCTTTGTTATTTAGCTACTTGGGTAAATACACTCGAAAATTGACAAGACTTTTGGACGATCCCAAGTTCCAAGCGGGTGGCCTGCGTCATTTTTCTTTGTAGTTCATGCCTTATAATATACCCAACCGCAAAACTGACCACAGAATGTATCCTTCATATCTTCGTTTCCGTCTGTCCATCAGCTAATCATATATTCGCAAAGTGTTGTCTTGAGACGAAATTAGAAATGTAACTCCAATCTTTTTTCCAAGGTTCTCCCCAATTTCACCACTTTTGTCTTTGACCTTCGAAAGCACTGGTCATCCTACTTCTAGAAAGACGGGGAAAGAAAAGCTCTCAAAGCAAGAGTGATATCCCCCTCACTAGCCTTCAGCAACTCAGTCGCCTTGCTCTTAGACAAGTCTAACTGATCCACCTACCAAGAGAAACATATCAGTCTGGCCCGAAAAACAAACACCAATGTCTCATAAACATACCAGAAATGTGACATCTGCTGGCGAAATCTTAATCGCCTTCTTTTTCACCTCCACCCCGTTGTTCAAAGTCTCTCCGGGTTGCTTTCTTCCCATCCCTTGTCCCGAAGCAATCTCAAGCCGACTCATAGCCTTGCCCAAAGCTTCCTGGTCTGCATTAGATGGACCCCTGGTGGGGCTAGCGGTGGCGCCGATTTCATTGGTATGAAGGGAGGAGAGTGCAGCGGCGGCTTTTCGGTCTTCGGCATTAGCTGGAGGTGGGTTTTCCAGCCCTTCGTGGTCCGCACTTGCGGAGGGAATTGGGTCGGACATGGTGATAGACAATTGTGGAGCTCTAGCAAGCTTGGAGTAACCGTAGGCTTGTGGTCCGTCGCAGATAAGCGGAGATACGATAACGAATGACATAAATTGTTGCCTGTGTAACGAGGCACACATCTGACTCACCGAGTCCCGCGAATAAGCGCATTTGCTCATGTTGTTGGCGTTTGCTTTTTCTGTTCTTTAATTTGCTGACGTGTCGCTTGATCCCCTTGAAATCTGCATCTCTGGATTTATTGGTCTTCAAGCTTATCAGTGTGTCTTTTGACTTCGCTGCTTTCTCCGCTTATTGTCCCTGTCCCGCATTGGTTAGGTGGGGTTATCTGTTATCCCGGCACTATGACGGATTGGAGCCCCAGTTGTATGTGGTTCAATCCCTCTTTATGACGATTTTTGCGTCAGAATTGAGCTCTGAGTTAACCAATTGTAGCGTGGACTACCAAACCCATCAAACAAGATGTGGTTTACGAAGATAAACAGGGTGTGAAGGATGCGCTGGAGAAGTTGCAGAAGCTCCCACCGCTAGTCACCACTCAAGAGGTACGCACAATCCTTTGATCATTGTTAAATGATTTCACTACTTACATGAGTCAAGATCAACAATCTCAAGGCTAGCTTGAAGAATGTTGCCCTGGGGAAAGCGTTTGTCTTGCAAGGAGGTTTGTGATTAATCTGTCCTAACTACATGCTTTGTCTAATTGAAACATCGACAGGCGACTGTGCGGAGCTATTTGACTACTGCAACCAGGACATGATTGAAGCCAAAGTCAAACTGCTGCTTCAAATGAGTTTGGTTCTTATCTGGGGTATTGACAGCTCCTCTAAAAAGCTCTAAAAAGCCTCATTGCTAACACCAACACAGGAGCTAACAAACCCGTCATTCGTATCGCTCGAATTGCGGGCCAATTTGCCAAGTTCGTCTAATGCTAATAGCCATTGTCTGAGCCAGCTAACAAATCATCAATTCCAGGCCACGTTCAAGTCCCACAGAGATTGTCAATGGAGTGGAAATGCCCTCTTTCCGGGGTGACAATATCAATGGCTTCGAGGCAGATGCAGTATCTCGACAGCCTGACCCATCCCGTCTGGTCTCAGCATACTTCCACTCTGCGGCAACACTAAACTACCTCCGCGCCTCGTTGTCTTCTGGTCTAGCAGATCTGCACTCCCCATTAGATTGGGGCCTCGGTCACGTCATCACCCCCTCAATCAAAGAGCAATACAGCAAGATTGTGAGCGCCGTCAAGGACGCACTACGCTTCATGCGTACAGTCGGTATCGACAAAGATCGCGGCGTCGAGACGGCCGACATCTTCACCAGCCACGAAGGTCTATCTTTAGAATACGAGCAAACACTCACCCGACTCCTACGCAATCCAATTGAGCGCAAGCACACCGGGGCAGCTGCTCAGCAGCCCACATCCGGCTTCTATGCAACTTCCGCTCATTTCCTGTGGATCGGTGACCGAACGCGCCAGTTAGACGGAGCTCACGTAGAATTCTTCCGCGGAATCGCCAATCCGATCGGTATCAAGATCGGGCCCAGCATGGCGGCGGACGATCTAGTCAAGCTCCTAGACGTGGTGAACCCAACTAAGGAAATTGGCAAAGTTACGTTGATCTCGCGGTACGGTGCGAGCAAGATCGCCCAGTTCCTGCCTGGCCATATCGCTGCTGTGCAGGCATCCGGCCATATTCCCGTCTGGCAATGTGATCCCATGCATGGGAATACACAGGCCACGCCGTCGGGTGTCAAGACTAGACATTTTACCGATATTCTCGCGGAGCTACGGCAGGCATTGGAGATCCATCGTGCGGCTGGATCGTTCCTTGGTGGTATGCATCTGGAGTTGACTGGTGAAGCTGTTACGGAGTGTGTCGGTGGTGCAGCTGGGTTGACGGAGGATGGGCTTGGAGAACGGTACACAACTTTCTGTGACCCTCGTTTGAATGAGAAGCAAGCGCTTGAGCTTGCTTTCCTTGTTGCCGGGTTCTATCGTGAGGAAGAAGAGGACTAACTAGTTTAATTGATAAACCATGACCTGGGCTAGGTAGTAGCCGTATGCCCAGGTGTAGAGGGTGTCTCGGGCTTACGCAAAAAATGTCATTTCGGCTTTATTTTTCGACAGACCCTATTCGATACCCGTAAAATATGGGATGATGTAGGATTTCAAGTAGGTACCGATACCTACGTTGAGGGTTTCGGCAACGATCAGCATCTAAGTCACCAGGCACTCACCCTACAGAGTTTTATAATAGGCTAATAAACTCCGTCGACTACGATACGGGAAGACCTGTGTGCGAGTATTAACACAGATTTGCGCTTGCTCTCCGCATGTACAAGGCTGACAACCAAACCAGGACTGTGGCTGGACCTTTTGTGAGGAAGTTTTTTCGACTTGAAATGTTCAGACGGGCGAGAGCTCTCTGGTGATGCAAATGCCATGGCAGGGTTGTCCTTCGATGGAAAGCGCAACTACGTGCCGGTCATCGGCAGTGAATGAGAAGCGCCGATGATACATCTTCCATTCGGTATGAGCAGGCGAAGGATGTGCCATTGGCGATTGACAGCAATTATGAATCTGCAAGCGATGAAATTATGTGAGTTGCCCGGCTTCTAGGGCAAAAAAGATGAGGTAGCTCTAAGTTACTGCTTATGACTCAAGGTAACAAAATTTTGATATAAAGCCAAGAGACCACGAAGCAAGTATCGATTCGCAGGTAGATTTTTCAGTACGAATCAGGAATGATATTTTGCTTCATTGTCATGTTGCATTCCTATCAGATCACCTGCGTCATTAAAATATACTTACTAGTGTAGTTGAATTATGGAATGAATTATAAAACAAGGATATAAGTGAAAAGCCAAAAGGATAATACAAGAATTTCAAAAGGACGCTTTTCAGTACTTTCACTATCGCTTGAAAGCTGGATGATCGTCAAGACGAGGCACAGGTGGCTCACTGGCCACATCAATAAAAGACCGTCGTCCTTCCTTGCCACTTTGAAAAGCAGTCAACCTCTCCGCAGCCTCAAAGCTATACTGTGGACCCTGGTATTCGCGTCTGCCCCTGAACAGCCACCACATCGCCGTCAGAGCCATCAAGCCCACAATGATAACGCTAGTGTAATTCATATTTTGCACGGTGGCAGGCAAAACCAACGGGAAACAGAAGAACACAACCGTGACCATGATGTAAAGCAATGCAGTGATGTTAACTGCCATCCCCAACTTTTGACCCATATAGAAGGGTCCGGGAACCATTTTCCTGCGTCCTGACAGGACATGCGGTAGAATAGCACCAAGATAAGAAAGAGAACTCAGCACGATGAATGAAGAAATCAGTGCTTGGAAGGCAGTGGTACTGCCGACGTATATACATCCTAGACAGGTCACAAGTCCGCTCATAGCGACTGTTGCGCGGACTGGACAATCGAGTGTCGGATGAATTTGAGAAAAGTAATTGGCGAAGGGCGTCGCGTTGTCGCGTGCAAGACTCCACCACATTCGGCCACCTGTCACAAATGTGCCGATCAGTGTTGGGAAGGTTGCTAGGAAAAGCACGGCGATGAGACCGATGGCGCCAGCGTTCGAGCCTGTAGCTTGTCGGTAGATCTCGGCAGTGGGGAAAAAGCCGATGCTGCTAGTGTAGACTGCATCGAGGTCTTGAATTGAATAAAAGAGAGCGATCAGGTAGACGAATGATGTTGTGAAAGCGGTTAGCATTTGAATCATAATGCCCTGGGGGACCCTGGATTCAGGCTTAGGGACTGAGATCTGAGCGTTAGCTTTGCTTCGTTCTTTCGAGGTTGGGACCTTGATACCTTCTTCTGAGAGGTGACTGATACAATCTGGAGTTCCGACTGCAAAGGCTGCGTTCAGTAGTCCTGTCATGAAACACACGCCATCTGACCATCCACCAGTCTCGTTGTGGTACTCAACCCAGACCTGCGAGTTGCTTGAATATGTCTTCGGCATCACAGCCAGCACGACCACTGTGACCACCAAGCCACACATTGACAGAATTAATGCGAATCGGTTGATCAACGGGATGAATCGATTCCCGAAACACACAATGGCACAGCAGGTCCAGTTGACAATTTGGAACACGATAAACACCTGCCATGAATACCAGGTCACGTCGGTGTGTTTGAGCAGGTACATTGCCACCGCCTCATTACCCAGCATGGAACTCATCGATGAGGCAGACAGCAGCCACGCACAAGCATTGAGATAACCAGTGAAGAACCCGGCCCCGCGACCGCGATTCCGGCTCAGAACTGAGGACCAGTAATATACACCCCCGGCTGACGGCATTGATGAAGCTAGCTCAGCCAGCGATGCGGAGATGGCTGTATAAAAGATGCTGACCAGAATAAGGCCATAGATAACAGCCATGGGACCCCCATTCTTCAGCGCAGCCACAATGGTACCACCGGTCGATGCCCAAGAGCTGTGATGGAGTCAGCTTCACGCTTCTCTACAATCAGATGTGGAAAACGACGATGTTGACATACTTTGCGATCACAATTCCTAGGCTGGTCAAGCTCCACAGCCCAAAATTGCGCTTGAGCTCCTGCTTGTGTCCCAAGGCGGCTTCCAAGCGCACAATATCAATCTCGCCCTTTGTCTTCAGCGGGGTGACACCATCCTGGTACTTTTGCGATTCCCTGACTGCCATGGTGTCCTCAAGATCGAGCAGGGGACCAAGGTAGACGCATGGAACAAGTTCAAAGAGAGGGAAATGCACAATTCCCAGCAGGGGAGTGAAAAGTGAAATCAGAAAAACAAAAGATCAAATAGGAGGGTGTGCGCTCGGGCGACCTGACGCATCTTTTCCCTGGTCATACAGAGCGAAGCGAGTTGCAACCCCCAGGAATGCTTCATGCGAGGGATTGCCCATATGGCTTCCACGTGTATTACGAGATTTGGATAATACTACGAGAGAACAAGCGGATTCTTCTTTTTCTCCGAGATCAGACCTCGCGATTCCCAGGATCGGCGGCCCATCAGAAAATCGAATTCCTAAGCAATCCTGAGCGAGCTAATCTGTGGCTGTCGGTGATAGACTATTTGCTTGAGCGCATTAGCCTTAGCCTGAAAGGGCAGAGTATATCAATATCCCCACAGCAATTGAGCCAGGAATCAGATCAAAGGGTTTTGTGGCCTTCCAAGAATGTGAATTGGGTGGTTGATATATCGCAATGCATGCAAGGGGCTTTAGCACCAGCAAAGCCACAGAATTTCTCGTTGAGTTGAGCGTCGGTCAAGCGATCTATGGACTAGAGCCCTTGCACTCCTACAGCATCACCGTGTATTGCTAACAACACACCAAAGTCTGTTGCAATTTTGGGCTGAATTTGATTTCAAGGTTTCCTGATTTTGACTGTGCGGGGTTTCTCCATTACGACTGCTGCATCCCTGCCAAGTGGCACCTCCTCCCCAGCATTCTTCTTCATTGGCTGCACGACATCCGACTTGCTGCATGTAGGGTGATTTATCACCTTTCCTGCAGCTCAAAGTTCAATAAAGTCATGGAGCAAGCTTGATTGCATTCAATCTCAATAGATAACTAGTGATAACGCTCCAGCACTAGTATTCATTGGCAATGGCATGAATTCCATATGAGAGATGTCAGCCGCGATCAAGAATCAACCCTGGAAAGCAAAATAATTGCCGAAAGACTCTATTTGTACGATCGACATCAACCAAGTCACATGTCTGGTCTTGTCCAATCAATGCCTGGAACTTCAGGCCTGAACTTCGGGAGGTTGAGAGCGCTTACCACTCATTTTTCCATCGAGTGCTTGGAATTGTATGTTAACCTTGAGACATCGAATGGTCTACGACTGGGATTGCCAAGCTGAATGCCATGGAATCCCTTGATCGTGAATATCCTGGGCATTGACCACTAGCACCCGGGCATCGCTCCAGTAACTATCTCTAGAACTTAGCCTGTCGCTATACTTGCCATTTATCGACTGGGTGATCAAAGTCTATCCATTTTGAGAAGTCTGAGCTAAAGGAAAGTGTCTTAAGGTCATGAAACATCGCGCATAAAGCAGGGACAACCGATAAACGAAGGAGTCGGAGTCGGCTTTCAAAGCCGCGACTTGATGATCTGACCAGCCTCCCACGAGTCGCCTGCTTCAAGAGTCTGCCAACCGGAGACAGAGCCGGCCTCAACGCAGATCATGTTCTTGTATGCCTCATCCGGGCCAAAGTCCGCCATTCCCTTGGCCTTTTCGATCCACGGGTTCCAGACCACGACGTCAGTGAAAGCCTCGCGTGTGATCGAAAACAGAGGCTGGTCGTCCGCAGCCGAGGCGACAATGATCGGGACGGAAGGATCAAGGTTCTGGTAGACGCGGTCAGTTTCTCCGGTGATGGCCAGAGCCGAGGAGGTTTCGGTGTGCGAGGAAGCGTTGCGGGTCTTGTCAATGTAGGTCTTGGATTCGAGATTCTTGACGCGAATAGCGGAAATGTCCTGTGTATTTCTGTCAGCCCATACTTTCCTTGGTTGGCAAAGAATAGCCAAAAGAAGATGATAAACATACGGCAATGTTCAGGTATGTATGCATCAGAACCTGGAACTCAAAGTTCTGTGTACCCTCGTTGCGCACCTGCAGCTGAGTCTGTAACGAAGTCTTGGTCAAAGTGACGCTGTAGACAAGTCCGAACTCATATGGCCAAGCCTTGCGGAAATCCTCGCTCAACATGGTGTGCGAAAGACCAAAGTCCAGCTTCACAGCCTGGTCTCCCTGGTTATCGGCTGCTTCGGCAGAGGACTTGCCCAGGTATTCCCAGTTCGAGTTCCGTGCGAATCCATGCTGGGGCAGTGGGGAGGTAACGTGGTTTTGCGGGGGAGGCCCAAAGACCTAAGAGGGGAGAGCAAGGTTAGCTTCAGGGTCTCAGGGTCTCATACAATTCATTCGCAGGCGGCGCAAAGAAGCTTGGGGCTGGTTGATTTACCGGGAAGACAAGGGGAATACCACCACGAATCGGCTTGGAGCCATCCAGATGGGCCTTTTCGCTCATGAACAGCTGTTCCTGGCCATTTGCCTTCCACGAAGTGACGGTGGCACCGTACAGGTGGACCGCGACGGATTCCCCGGTCGGCAAATTCGCCTCGACAACGTTATCATTGATGGAGACGGTAGACTGGGGCAAAGAAGCGCCCAGTCCGATAGCAGATGGTTTGTTGGAACGGACCATTGTGATGATGGTTGTCAAAGGATGTTAGGAGAGGAAAGCTGAGCTGAGATCATGGCGGGGGATCGGATCTCAGCCCCACTTTATCGCCGTTGGATCGATGTTTACATTACCTCTCTGTGATGAGATTGGAATTTTGTGAAATTATTCTCTTTGCAGAATCTCACATCTCTACGGATTTATTCTTGCTGTATTATGTAGGACATTCCCATACCTAGGGAGCCGCTTCAATGAGCTATATCTATACCGTTCATCTCCTATAAAGCATGTACCTCACTGCGCCCGCTTGGCGTCCCCTGAACGAGGGGTAATTCAGCTCGTCAATGCCTAACGCATGTGGCCCTCGCAGGATTTCTCAAGGCATTGTTGACCAGAAAATACGATGTGAATACTATTGCCAGAAGGTGTGGCACGGATATACAAGAGACAATCATTCCTTTAGTGCAAGCTCTTATGCAACGAGTAGTTTCAAACTGTCCTCAAGAATGACATAAAATGGAATACACCACGATTAAACAGGCCGAGTTTAACAACTCATTCGAAGGTAAAGGAAATCAAACGTTTATGCAACAGCCGCTATCTGCTTTACGACATTGAATATGCACGTGGGGAATAAGGTCAAGGAGAGTCAACGTAAGGTACAAAATCCAACCAAAAAAAGTTTCATTGAAAACGCCGTCGCTATGCGATATGATTGTGTCGCCGTGATGCGTCATGTGCTTCGACACGAATGTTGAACAGGAGGTCATCAACCTCACGAAGAGCATTCAAGCCCAAGTTGGCGTTTTTCATATTTTCCAGAAGTTTCTTGAGCGTATTGGTGATTCCTGCCTCGGTTGTTTCGGGCTCAGGAGTGGGAATGGGTTCGGTTTGGATACCTGTCGTAGCCATGGCAGCGACATGAGTAAATGTGGGGGCTGGAATCTGGTCAGAAGACACCACTGTATCCACATTCATGTGAGAATCAGTGTCTTGCGAAATAGATACTGGTAATGGACCAGATTCTGTCCCTGGGGAAGTGGTTGCTTCCTCTGTGGAGACAAGGGGAACATCGAGGTTGACATCGACCTCCGGAGTGGGATTAATGGCCTGGGCAAGGTCTTCAGCACGGATAATGTCAGGTTGATTCGATGATGGATCAGGCACCGTCGATTCAAGTAATGATGGGCCTTGTTGAATTTTATTCTGCGAGGAACGTGTCCTGCCAGAGCGGGTACTATAAGAGGATTGAGACTGGGCTGGGCTCACTACACCCGCATTCGACTTATCCTCGCCACGGAGAGATTTGCGAGTTCGTTTCAGTGGGGGCTGGGGAGTTTCTAGATGTTCATTTTGCTCTTGTGTAGCCCTGCGAATCGCAATCGGGGAGAGCGATTCCGATGTGACAGATTCATTCTTGTGTTGAGAGCTTCGAGTTGATCGGCGTGGCGTAGGTACAGCTGGTTTGGCCGGGAAGGAGGCTTGATTAGTCGAATCAATGTCAACCTCCTGTGATTGTGTAGCGTCAGGGTCATCCAGATCGATGGGAGCCACCTCTTTGGTTGTGGATAGTCTGGTTGACCGACGCCTTTCATTTGCGGTCATCGGGGTGCCACTGTCCTCAGTACGCTTTCTCTTCTTAGAGCTTTGCGGGGCAGCAGATGTCGTAGGTTCTGCAGATCGCGCTTCATGCTGACCACCTTGATCCACGGCCAATCCCAAGTCCTGTGAAAGCTGGGAAGCAATCTGGACGTCCAAATCATCGCCCGAATCGATATACTCGTTCACGACCTGAGTGGGTAGAGCATCGGGCAGCTCCTCGAATTGATCTTTTGAGCTGTCCTCGCCATCCACTGTCTTTTCAATGACCTCGCTGGATTTTTTCCGGGATGCCGACTTTGCTTTGGAGCTCTGGCCAGTGGGTGCCTCGATCGGTTTAGCAGGGGTTCCAAATGCCGGGACTGGTGTCCAGTTTTGGTCATTTTCTGTACTCTGGCTCAAGGCAGACCGAGTACGTCGGCTTGGCGGTCTTTCATCCACCTGAGAGACAGAAGTGTTTTCTTTAGGCTGTTCAGGAACGTCGATAGTATCTTGCCTAACTTCCATGGCAGAAACCGCAGGGCTGCTGACTGCGCTTTGATCCGCAGAAGCGGCAGCAGCGGCGGCTTCGCGAGCCTTCGCTTTCTTTGCCCTTGCAGAGGACCTTCGCCGTGCCTTTCTTGTTTGTTTCCTGGGACTTGGACTGCGAGAAGTGATTTCTGGTGGTGATGAAGGGAGGTCAGATGCATCATTCATCGCAATGTCCTGCGCTCGCAAGACTGGCGCATCGGAGTGCAGCGCAGGAGTTGGGTCCCGGGTGGCGGGAGTAGGGGATGACCCAATGAAACCATCTTCATTCTCCGCCGGGGCGAGAGTTGGGGTCAGTGGAAATGCAAAAGCTGATTGCGAGCCGTGCTGTCTACGCAGATGCACAGGCGTGTCAAAACCCAGACCACCAGGAGTATTCGCAGGAGATGAAGAACGAATGGCTTCAATCATTCGGAAGACATCCCGTCGATTTCCCGGGTAGGGTAGTATTGTGGAATCCTCGTTCAGATGGGACCGAAAGTTGACTGGCAACTGCGGCTCTGTTGACTCCGACGTCTCACGAGATGGTTGCTCATTCACTCCGATCACAGGCGATGAATTAGGATAGAGAAATGCTTGGGGGTCATGGTTTAAAGCTGTGGGTCTCTGTGCAACCGAAGATGAGACAATTGTGTTCTAGAAACTCATAATTAGTGTATGTGGCGCAATTGAATGGACTGATTGTGTTTCTACCTTATTATGCTCTTTGAACTGCGCGATTGCTTTGAGATTATCCAAAGCTGTTGCAACAGACGCCCCAATAGAAGTCTTTGAAGAGGCTTCATCTGCTTTGGAGGCCGTCGAATACCAGAAATCAACAAATTTCTTGGCCCGTGACGCGTGTGGAGACTCCAAGCCAGCGCAGATAACCACATCGAATCTTTTAAGGGAAGTTAAATCGTCACGAACGCATGTCTGCAGGACATTGAGAACAGCGAATGTAAGAGCTCGACACTGCGCGCATTAGCTTATGTTACAACATGTGGTCGTCGTTTAGCACTTACTGCAGTTAAAATACGACTATCCACACCATTCTTGAAATCAAATTTAGATGCACCATCCTTGATCCAAGGCTTCAAAGAAGCTTGCAACGTTTCAAGAAGCTGTGAGCGGAAATGGGGTGCACCAGAGCCCAGAAAAGACGTTAATGATTCGATAAACCCTGCGAGACCCTGAGACTCTGAGACACTGAAGCCGTCGTATGCCATGTTCAGTGTTCTTCCAATTGATTCTGTGAGTTTGTAGGGAAATGGCGGGGGGCTCGGCTGCTGAGCGACTGTGTGACCATTTCCTACGCTGTTGCCCTGGAGAAAAGGTATCGACAAAGACTGGCTCAGCAGAGACGCCGAGGGCAGATAGGTGTCATGAACTGAAAGATTCATCAGACATCCGGCCAGGGGCTCTATAATAAGAGCAGGCAGTCCTTGATCTCCTTTCTCTGTTCTGGCTACTCGCATAAACGATCCGAGCAAATGCGACCATTCTTGGAATACATTGTGAAGTCTTAGCCCCGAAACGAGGATTTTGTTGACATTCTCATAGTCGCGGGAGACAGAACCGTCGCGCTCTCGAGCAGACTCCGAAGGGAACGATTGTAAGGCATCAGCAGCCGCTCGAGCACTAGCCTTCCAGACCGCCTCTGATAGTAGAGACGGGCGAGAATCACATGTCGATTCTGCAGTGCTCAAATCAGCGCACTGCTGCAGGAGTTCGAGGCGAGATCCACGGGATATTCTTCCTTTGCATGAAGCTTGGATTATTCCTTCAACCAGACGGACATAAGCTAAAGTCGGCGTTGCTGACACCGAATTGGCGCTAATTGTTTGCAGAAGATAGAGAATAGGACTGTTGAGATTTGTGCCAGAATTAGATTGGCGATGGGTAGGGGTATTAGATGTTTGGAAAGTTCCATCCGAAGTCTTCAGCAAGAGTCTTTCTGTGAATGGAATACTTCCGAGTGAGGAGATCATCGTTGTTGACAAGAATTGGAACCGTTCGAAGAAAGCGTTTCCCTCTCCATCCCCTGAGGCATTCAATGAAGCCAGGCCGGCATTCCAGAGGCGATTGAATAGTCCAAGAACACCGGCAACAGCTTGCATTGACTCCGTAGAAGGGGTTATCTCCTTACTAGAGGCTAAAGACAGCGCACTTGAAAGATTGCTCCAAGCTCGAGCAATGTTTGATATCTCAAGCTCATTGTCATCCCAGACGGACGCCTTGAACAGAGACTCAAATACCCTCAAGATTGCCGAGACTCTTGAACGTACCCATTTTGAATCAATTGAGGGAAGTTCTTCCGCTTCGATCTTATTTGGATCATTGATGCGATTTTCTGTCCAAATTTTGGCCTGTGGACTCCATAACAGGGCTGCTAACACACGAGCTTCACTGTCACTCAAGTGTGAAACGGATGAAAAGATCGACGCGGACGGAACAGCAATATATTCCTCCCAAATGATGTCGAGATGAGTAGGGGGAAGTGAGGGGCGGAAGGCGTAATAGATTAAATTGTAGTAGCTGCTCAGGGCAAGTTGAGTAGGTGCTGGCCCTGATTTATCAGACTTTCTCCGTTCGAATTGGGAGAAAATCGGTTTGCCTAGCATCTTGACCAAAGATGGACTGGTTTTTTCGTTTGGGCTGACGGCGAAAACAAATCGATTCCAACCCAAGATAGCCTGAGCTTTAATGGAAGGCTCACTGCAATTGAAGCATTTTTGAAGAACAAGAACCCATTCTTTGAAATGCTCCCACTGTTCCAAATTCGAACCCTTGCTTCGCATAAGGAGCACGATAATACTCCAAATCTGAGGAACATGGATACCTGTCTCGGTAGAGGCCATCATTCGAGACATGCGTTCTCGAACCTCGTTCACGAGCTTTCGATCTTTTTCCAGTGGTCGGTCAAAAAGTTCTCGAAGATTCTTGGAGAGCGCTTGATTTGGACCGGCCGCGGAGGCTACCTGAAAGCCAAGGGAAATTGCTTTTGATCTGTTGTCTTTCATGGGATGAAGGAGGCCATACACCAAATTCTCTGTCCACAGTGAAGAACGAGAGACGAAGGTTGTTTTCGATTGACTGAGGAGGCGTTGGTATATCGTCAAACGGTGCAGAGCGATCGCTTTACCGCTGACATGATTGCTGATTTCTTCCAGTGCTGTGAGTAACCGTATGACACGAGCATTGGTCATAACTCGGGGGCCGAAATTCTGCGCTGAAAGAATGGACATGTAGTGTGTCAAAACCGACTTTGGTACCTTGCCGTCTTGCAGGCAAGTGGTGGAGTGCTCCACAAGGAATACCTTGAATTCTTCCGGCAGCATGGGCGATACACCTGAGTGCCAGACCAACGCAGCGGACAACTTTAAAGCCTGGTTGGCAAGATTGATATCCAGCGGCGCACCATTGATCAAATCGCGGCTCACGTCACGTTGTATGAAGTCGGTAATCAGACTCAGTTTACCGGCAATGTCCTTCGCTGTCGGTAACGAATCATACGTCCGAAGTGCATTGAAAAATTGCATATATGCATCGAGGCGAGAAGTGATGGACTCTCCCGCCAATTGCTGGATGACGGATTCGAGGAGCATGGCGAAAGAATCAGACGTGAACAAATCAAATTTCGGCGACCAAACGGGTATTGGAGAATTCGATTCTTTCAGAATAGACTTGTATGGACTGTCCCGAGAATTAGGCTCTTTTGGCTTGAACGGGCTATCCTTGGGCCTGAAGTTTGTGTCTGGACCTGACGGGAGGTCAATTGTGGTATGAAGCCATGGTGACCAGGTCACTCGTTTGGAGGCGCGGCTGGATGGAGGAGCTCGGGAGGAATTCGCGGTTTGTGGTGTTTCTGCAATATTTTTGGATGGGGTATCGATTTCGTCCTGATCAATGCGTGAACCAGGCCTTGGAGGTGTGGGTGGGCGAGCAGGAAGAGGACCAAGCATCTCCACCATGGTTCAAGAGGGGAGGAAAAGAGGGAAGAGGAGCGCAATTAAAGAGACAAGGACCATTTCTCGGCATGCAATCGTTGGAATGATCAAGTTTCGGTGGTCCTCCCATGCGATGAAGGGTTGCGGATAAAAGGCTAGTGAAGGTGAAAACTGGTCACCGGACGCGCCTGTCGCGGATTCGCGGGATCGCGTAAAGTGCCCGCGCGATCTACCCGCCTCAGGCACTAAAGGCAACGCGCGCATTTGCTGCACGGATAGTCTCCAGGAATTACGCGATGCAGTTTAGCGTACTTCAGCCATGAGCATACGGTCCTTTGTTGATGCCATTGCTATACCTCCCTCTCAACTCCCCTCACAATAAGCTATCTGATAGTAGATACCTCCTGGACATTCAGAACCTAGGTATTGACCATCTACCGCGAGAGTTGCACGAGAGCTTCCGCCATTGGCAGCCGCAAGCGATCAAATAATTCCTCAAACACATTGTCCTCGGCCTCGAGCAGATGCAGTAACCGCGTCTGAAAGCTGCTGGAGTTTGATGAACGATGTTTCCCGACCCTGCATACTGGCGCAAGCTCCTCCATAGATGTGACGTTCAATAAATGTCTACGTACAACAGATGATCTCAAAGCAATGTAGAGTATCGAATCCAATATCTAGGTACGTGGTATGAGCATGTCAAGCAAGAATTGGCTACGCACAAGGCTCCAGTGCTAGATAATGTTCGTTTTTCATCACGTTTCCTCAGGGCTGCCGGGCCGTCGGAGATCGTAGAAATATACTTGCCCGAGGTATGGGCAAGGGGCATGGATACAGTAAGTGGGGTCCTGCCGCAGCACCTCATTTATGGAACTTCACCCCGAGCTTGATCACTTTCTCTCTCCGGCGCTAATTTGCGGGACAGTCACCCTTGATGCTGCCCATATTGAAAACTTTATTCCCGGGTCATTTTTCCTTTCTATTTCTTTCTGCAAGCTTGGCACTTTTAACCCGATTTTGACGGCCGCGCGACCGTCTCAATATTTCGGCCCAGCGGGAACAATGGCTTTTCGCCAGCTGCACGGCGCAGGTATGTAGGCGACTAGGCCTAGCCAGTAGGCAATCCTTTTGGAAGAGATACCACTGACGATCTCTGTATAGCTAAACTACAGGAAGTCACCCAGTTACTGGGCTCCCTCGAGAAGGACTTGCAGGAGAAGCAGTTGACATCCTCGCGTGAGTTTCGCCCATGAATACCCTTAGCAACGGATCGATTATGACATACTGATCAAAGAGCGACTCGTCGATATATAGAAAAGATCCAGACTCTTCTCCAGCTCCGCCAACATGGTACTAGCCCCCTCAATGCCGACCCGATATATTCCAGCAAGGTACGATATACCAGAAATGCATGAGATTCAATGATCCCCGCGATCTAATGTCTTGCGCAGGGTATTGGCATTCTACTACAATATGGGCTGCAAGAAGAGACGGCTGATGTGTGTCGTGCTGCCCTGAGATGTGTCGCAAATGCTCTACTGCTCGATGCGAACATGCGCCAAGTCTTTGTGGACACAGGCTACGGGGGCAAGTTGGCTGAAAGGCTCAAGGTATGTCTAGTTCTTATACTTTGGGTCGTACGGTCATGGAAGTACTAATAATGAGTGCCTAGGTTGATAACTCGGAAGATGAAATGATTGCTAGTAGAATTCTCTTCCTGTCAACTTATAACACCACCATGGACTTTGATGAGTTGATCAAGAACCATTCCCTCGGGGAGAACGTTAATTATGTACGATTTTCCAAACCAGCTTAAGCCCCAGACCATACTGATGAATGTTAATAGCAACTTACTCGGCACGCAAAACAATTCCCTAAATCCGGACGAGAGCCGCTGTCACAAATGGATGAGTTGGCTCTCACTGATACCCTCAAACTGATTTTCAACATATCAAAGCTTTATGACCTTGGGGCTGCTTTTTCGCCTTCCATCCCTTGTATCCTCAAGATCATTAGTCGCATTGACATTTCGTCAAAGCCGCTGGAAGGCTTAACCAGCCAGCTCATCAATTCACTCTCCGTGCTTGACCTGGAGGAGAAAAAGGGCAAGGTCTTCGAGAAAAGCCCATTCTTCCCTACGTTTGATCCGAAATGCAATGTGGACAAATTGATCGGCATTCTTGACCAGGCGGTTACTGCATACCGTCACGAGGAGCTTGAGGAGAAAGCTGTCCCATTATTGCATACTTTAATCATCGCTCATGAGCTTGCCCCTGATGAACAGCGCAAGTACATGCAATCGCGACTGCTGCCAGAGGACAGCGATCGCAGCGAGCCCATCGGGCGCTCCGATACTCTTGCATCCCGACTCTTGAAACTCTCAACAGGCCCATATCCAAACCTCAAGACCGGAATTTCCGAACTGATGTTTGTCCTTGCCGGGAGGGATGCCGAGAACCTCACCCGCAAGATTGGGTATGGATTTGCAGCGGGATTTTTGGCATCCCGAGGGATGGAGATCCCACAGAGTGCCAGTGAGGCTTTTGCAGATGACTCCAACGGTCTCGATGCTGGTGTCAACCCTATCACTGGACAGCGATGGACTGCGGAGCCGAAAGACTCAGCCCCGCCTATGACCATGGAAGAGAAGGAAAGGGAAGCAGAAAGACTCTTCGTACTCTTTGAAAGAGCCAAGGCGAACGGTCTTCTAACAGTGGAGAATCCAGTGACCCAGGCCTTCCATGAAGGAAGGTTCGAAGAATTGCCAGACGACGCTGACAGCGATTGAAGCGCTTCTGATTTGTCTTGACTATGTACATTCGACTAATGGACTTTATATACCCATACATGCAAATCGAATTTGCAAACCTTTAAGTTCATTTTGGGCAACTTGCAGCCAACATCGGCACCATTTACATTTCCTTGTAAACATCTCCGCCTTGGTTATCTAAATCTCATTTGTAGACCTGTGGGCGGGGAAACAATGACGTTATGTTGGATTGGCCGGCAGTATCGCTCTCCGCCCTCCGAAAAATTGTTCGCGGGGCAGAGCACTCACTTTCATCCCCCCACTCGATTTGTCTCCATTACACAACTTTTCTTTGCGATCAGATTGAAGCTATTTCAGTTAATATTATACCGCCAAAATGTCGAAGCCTTTTGATCCCGAGCACCCTGAGAACCTGGATGACGTATGTTTCCGTGATACACGACTTAGTTTAAGAAGCAATTCGCTGACCAATCGAGCAGATGGAGAAGCAATTCGCCGTGAAAGGTCCGTTGAAAGCCGCAGTCTATCCCCACTGATCAGCTCACTGAGCCTGCATCCATTATTTGAACGGAAACTGACATTGAAACCTTGGAACAGCCGTCGAACACTTGATGACATACTGGTCGATCCTCGAGAAGGTCAAGGGCTCGCAGCTTCGCCTGACTAAGATGGACGATGAGATCTACGAATCTTTCACCAAGGAGTTCCCTGAATTCGACCCCGCAGGAACCCTCAACGAGGATGAGATGAAGAGCAAGGCTGGCAAGGAGAAGTGGCGCAACTGGATCAACCAGTATGAGAAGAAGATCGACGACTTCAACTTCGGCACAATTATTCGCACTCGGGCCGATGCCGAGTATGACCAAGATACCACACTTTTCGGCGTTCGCATGCATTTCTACGCTGTTGAGATTGCTCGTAACCGCGCGGGTCTGAACGATTGGATCTACGAGCGCGCCCAGAAGGCTAGCGCATGAGCGATATCCTGCATGTTACGCAGCATTGCCATGATACCACACAAACGGGACTCGGTGATGGGGTTACTTAACATAGATTTTGTCCACGCGATCACTCCACCGTATCCCTATCCCTTATTTCCTGCTTGGCTATGTCAAGTTCGACTCCATATCCGGGCTGTTAGACCGACGGCATGTGCTTGCTCCTTTGTGGCTTACTTGGACGAACCATGAAACCGTGGATGTGACCATATGGAGAGAATTATCTCACGGGATCTGTCGTTATTACCAGTCAAGTAGATTGTGGCCGCAGAAAACAAGTGATTGGGACTTTCATATATTGTTCTCTCTCGGTGGATTGCGGATTGGAGTGGGCTTCGTGTTTGGAAGTCTTTGTGAATATTGGCGATATACCCGGAAATAAATGGCATTCCGTTTTCTATTGAATAACTGATGGGATAGTTTCTTTGACTTTTCGAGAGAGTCTGTGTTCCGCTCTTTGTTGCTGTGCCTCATACAACCGTAGCTTTTGGGGATGTGATTAGAAGACTCTTAGTATTGTTCCCCTTGCCACAATGAATTTCTAAGAATGCTGACGCCACACATTTGGCGTTTAACCTTCCACGATTCTTCAGACCTGTGTAAGTCCTGGGATTTGTTCTACATGTATCGACTCACTGACTGTGAGCAATGCATCACGACCATATGACAAACGATCAGAATGGGGATGCAGAGGACAAAGGGCCTATTCCTCGTCTAGAAACCAACTGGAAGACCCTTTTCAGCTTCACATCACGAAAGCATTTACCAATTCTCCTTGCTGGGTCGATCTTCGCTCTGTTCGCGGGCTGTGTGACCCCCATCCTGGCAGTCCTTTTAGGAAACGTGTTTGACGCCTTTACATCATACGGAGCTGGACAGGCTGATGCGATTACATTACGCTCAAAGATTGCGACAAACTGCCTAGGAATGGTAGGGTTAGGAGCTGCCGGTTGGTTCCTGAATGGCGCATATTTCATGATCTTTGTTGCTTTTGGGGAGTTTCAGGCTGCGAGCATTCGTCAAAAGGTCTTCGTGGAGCTACTGAAACGAGATATCAAATGGTTCGAGGCGCAACGAGAAGGATCTGGGGCATTTTTGTCGGGTGTTCAAGCGTGGGAAATCCTTTCGTTTGTTGCTGACCCCGTACGCTGACAGGCTTTGACAGGAATATCCATGACCTGCAGATGGCTACCTCTCAACCTCTTGGTCTTCTCTTACAATATGCATGTCGGTCATTGGCTTCATTGACCTTGGCCTTGGTGGTCTCCTGGAGACTTTCTCTCGTTACCCTTGCGGGAATTCCCATATTCTCTGCTCTCATCGCCTACCTCTCCACTCGAATGAATCCCAGTATCTCAGCACAACAAACCGAACTGACCTATGCCTCCAAAATCGCAAACAATGCCATTTCGTCCATTGACACGGTCAAATTTCTGAACAGTCAAGCTTTCGAGTGGCAAAGCTTCGTAAGTCGGATTGAACAGTCTGCGATTCACTATCTTCGACAAGCGCGATTAAACTCTTTCCAAATCGCACTCATCCGGTGGATGATGTTTGGGATGTTTGTACAGGGCTTTTGGTACGGCAGTAGTCTTGCACGCGCTGGACTCTTATCATCAGGCGACGTCATCACAACGTTCTGGGCCTGTACAACTGCAGCTCAGTCAATCGAGCAGGTTCTTCCACAAATGATTGTCATGGAGAAGGGGAAAGTTGCAAGCGCAATACTCAGGAACCTGATGCGAAAATCTGTAGAGGATGACTTCCACAGTGAAATCAAAGGCACTGTCTATCCTCGCCGCTGCGATGGTGACGTTGAGGTCAATGATGTGAGTATTCGAGGTTGGAATTTGGGTTGCATATCGGACTTAGGATCAAGGTCAATGGCCTAACTCTATTAATAGGTGTCGTTTCACTATCCGTCACAGCCAGAAACGTGTGTTTTGAATCCCTCCACATTCTTCTTCCCCGCGGGAGACACAACATTTGTGATAGGGAAGAGTGGATCAGGTAAAAGCACTCTCGGTCAGTTGATCATGCGGTTTTATTCCCCAACAGTGGGAGAAATTCTCATCGATGGACACAAAATTGAATCACTGGACATTTCCTGGCTCCGAAACAATGTCACTCTTCTTGAACAGAAGTCCGTTCTGTTTAATGATTCAGTCCTGCAGAATATCAAGTTTGGGTGTCAAGCTTCTGAGACAATCTCCAAGGCGGATATCGAAGAGTCAATTGAACTAGCAATGCTGGGAAACATGATAGAAGGTTTACCGAGAGGGATTGATACTTCCGTTGGCCCTGGTGGAAGCTTTCTAAGTGGAGGTCAACGACAAAGAATGGCAATTGCTAGAGCCAAGCTGCGCGATACACCAATACTCATTCTGGATGAGCCAACCAGCTCCTTGGACCATACTAACCGTAAAGCCGTCATGAAAGCAATACGTCAATGGCGCAAAGGCAAAACAACAATCATCATCACCCATGACATGTCTCAAATTCTAGAAGGCGATTATGTTTACATTCTGGAGCATGGATCTATCATGTATTCTGGGTTTAGGGAAGAACTTGACAATCGCACGGGGTGCGAGAAATACTTCCCTCCAGCTATGAGACTTGACCTCGAAAAGGGGAATTTAGAGACTGAAAGTGGTAAAAAGAAGCACAGTTCATCGGGCGTATCTACTCTTGGCAGCCTGCGTATGCCTAAAAGAGCTCGTCATAGTCGGAATTCGTCATGGGCTCAACATCACCTTCCGCCCGGGTTTCGATCAAGCACATATGAGTTGGCTGTCCAGAGGCATTCCCACCACGCAAACCTTCTTCCGGTTGACATGGATCAAACAGAAGAACCGCAATCTATGTCGCATCTTCCTTTTAGCAGTTCAACTCCAGATCTCACTTCACACATGTCACCTACATACGGTGGGATGATAGGAAAGGACATTGAGATGGTCGAAATCAGCAGCCCAAGGACAGAAATGGGCATCCCAGGGCAATGTGTCTCCCCAAACCCCATACAATACCTCAGTCCAAAATATGCGAAACGAATCAGCCGTAAACGCAAATCATGGAAAACAAAGGAGCAGAAGAAAGATGCCCCTCCCTCTTTGGCTCGTGTAATGTGCACAGTCGTGCCAAGTCTGAATGAAAAGCAACGTCTTATTCTTCTTGTGGGAGTCCTTTCGGCATTAGCTCATGCAAGTGCAACACCGGTATTTTCATACTGCCTTTCGCAATTGATCGGAACTTTCTATGCGGGCAAGGATAGCGCAAATCTAGCCAGAAAATGGTCTCTCGCTGTTTTGGGTGTATCCTGTGGAGACGGTCTGTCCTCGTATTTCATGCACTATTTCCTGGAATTATGTGCCGAGGCATGGCTTGACACGCTTCGCGGGAAAGCATTCAAACGCATTCTTGAGCAGCCAAAAGCATGGTTTGAAATGGATGGCCATGGTTCATCTAGGCTTGCATCTTACCTTGACCAGAATGGGGAAGACATGCGTAATCTACTGGGTCGCTTTGCTGGCTTTGTCATAGTTGCAGCTGCCATCATGATCATGGCGGTTATTTGGAGCTTGGCAGTTTGCTGGAAGCTGACTGTGGTGGCTCTTGCGACTGGTCCGTTCATTTATGCCATCACCCGCGGAGTTGAGGGTACCAATGGCGTATGGGAGAGGAGATGCAATGAAGCAAACAGCGTCGCAATAGACATTTTTACTGAGACGTTCTCGGAGATTCGAACTGTTCGATCATTGACACTTGAGAGGTATTTTCAAACCAAGCACGTCGACGTGGTGACCAGATGTCTGAAAATAGGGCTGAAACGTGCCATCTATACCGGCTTGCTATTTGGTATGGTGGAGTCAACGGTCATATTTGCATGTGGTGGGTGATCAATTCTGGCCGAGAAGGAGATGTGTGACTAACCTACTTCAGCTCTAATTTTCTATTATGGAGCCGTTCTCGCCACCACTCAATTCGCAGTAGATAATGTAGTTCAAGTATTCTCCCTGCTGCTTTTCAGTATTGGTTACGCAGCGCAGATTCTATCGTGGAGTTCGTTTAACTTTCTATTTCTAACCATGATTTCGAACATTGCTAATTGTTTCAAGTTCCTCAGATCAACACATCAAGGGATATAGCCACACGTCTTCTTGAACTCTTAAATCTTCCCAAGTTTGGATCACATGAGCACCGCGGCTCCCTAGTCATCTCCAATCTGACGCCAATCAAGCTGACCAATGTTTTTTTCCGATATCCCTCAAGACCAGACACTGTGGTTCTAAAAGATGTTTCAATGGAAGTCTCACAGAACACCTGCACAGCCATCGTGGGTCGATCCGGATCAGGCAAGTCAACCATTGCCTCGTTGTTGTTAGCATTATATGCCGTTCCAGAATCTCGATCCAGAGAACCAACGATTACACTGGGAGGTGAAGACATCTCACGGCTTCACGTTCCTACACTCCGTTCTCAGATCGCCATTGTGTCACAACAACCAACTATTTTCCCAGGGACCATCTACGCTAACGTGAGTTATGGCATTGATCTCCAATCACCGATGTCTTCAATAGAAAGCGTCCGTGCCGCGGCAAAAGCAGCCGGGATTGACGATTTCATCACCTCGCTTCCCAGAGGATACTGGACCGTAATTGGTGATGGGGGTATTGGTCTTTCTGGAGGCCAGAAACAACGCATAGTTATCGCCCGAGCTTTGCTTCGCCATCCTCAGATCCTTATTCTAGACGAAGCCACATCTGGTCTTGATCCAGCAAGTGCTGAAATTGTTCGTCAAATTATTCAACATCTAGTGTCTGTGCGTCCAGATCTGACAGTGATCATCATCACACATGCCAAGGAAATGATTGAGATAGCAGACCATGTCATTGTGGTTGATCAGGGAGTTGTGGTAGAGGATGGCTCATATCAGGTGCTCGCGCAGCGAGTGGGTGGCAGATTGTTCGAATTGATTAACGATCCCGAGGACGGGACATAGATAGCCCTGCAGACTTCAAATACTGATTTTGAATTGTTTTGCATCGCATAGTCTTTTCAAATAGAATCAGCCTTAAGCGACCTATCTATCTAGTAGGTAGTGACATTAGTTGTTCTTATGTGCCTTTAGGTAGTTCTAGGTCATGAATACAGAGCCAGGGTTTCCTTGGGGCCTTTCACAGATGCATCTCCCACCCCCGGGGCTTCTTTACCTTTCTCACCCCATTATTGAAGCCTCATTGAAGTCTCATTGATAGGTCTATTGCTCCAAAGGGAAAGCTAGTACGTAGCAGAAAACTACATAGCCAAGGGTTCCGGAACCCATGACCCAAGAAGGCCTGAAAGTCTGATATTTGGGTCAATTAAGCTGATTGATCATAGATGAAAAATCCTATATCATCAGGAACGTAGCGGGAAAGATAACCAGGCAAGACGTGACGTGGCGGTAATACCCCGCTGGCCCCCAAATGGGGCCATAACTTCACCCCTTGAATACGCTAAACACTCGTATAAGTTTCAAAGATTGCATTCGTTACATCTATCATCCCCTTCAGGTCCACCATTCCAACAATGTCCAAGCCAAGCATCATATTTGCCCCGGGTGCCTGGTATCCGCCAACGGCATTCGACCCCCTCATCTCCAAGCTAACAGAATACACCTGCTACACCTGCGCATTCCCGTCAGTTCAGCAAGCAGCAAGCACCAAGGATCTGAAGCCAGACATCGAAGCGGTTCGATCGCTTGTGCAGCGGGAAGTGGATGCGGGCCGTGATGTTCTTGTGGTTTCGCATAGCTGGTCTGGTATGCCGGTGAATAGTGCCCTAGATGGGTTGAGCAAGATTGAACGTGAACAGGAAGGCAAGAAAGGCGGTGTTGTGCGGTTGGCCTTCATTTCAGCGTTCTTAGCTGAAATCGGCGAGAGTGTCATTAGTGCTGTCGGGGGCCAGGCGCCTGATTGGCATTTGCATGATGTGAGTAGCTACGATACATGGTTTGCATTGAGTCTGAGCTTTTATTGGATGCCATGTGTCTGTGAACGTAACATGATACTGATATGAAAGGCAGGTTGAAAATGACACAGTCATGGCTGCTGATCCCGTGGGGCGTTTCCTCCACGATGTGCCTGATGGAGAAGAGTGGGCCAAGAAACTCAGGCCGCATTCTTGGTTTACGAAACGCAGTCCTGCGTCTAGCGCAGCCTATCTTACTATTCCCTCTTCCTATTTGCTGTGCGAGGATGACAAAGCGATTCCTCTGGCTGTGCAGCAGTGGATGATTGAGCGGGCACGGGAAAAGGGCGCGCAATTCGAGACCGAGACTATTGCGACAGGGCATACTCCTTGGCTAGTTCGAACAGATGAGGTTGCTACTTATATTCGAAGACAGGCAGGTGAAGATGTCTAGGTGGAACTCTAACCACGGGGTGGAATTGAACACAACACCTGCACTGGAAGGGCCAGACTCAAATATGGAGATTTTTAGAGTTGCTATCAACGAATGTGGATATAGACCGAGCTTTAATACTACCGAGAGGAAGTTCATATACAGTTTTCACTCCTCTGATGACAGACGGGAAACACGATATGAGTTGCAAACTGCGAGAGAATAAAAGTTCACTTGCTGCGGGACAGCCTGCGCACAAACCTCTTTACTTTGTGCAGCACACCTTGCTTCTGATTGACCTGTGCAGAAGACGTCGTAGTAGTCTTGCTATTGGTAGAATCACTAGCCGCGTTGCTGCTGAGACCACCGACAGTGACAGTCAAAAGCTGAGGACTACCATCGAAAACACTCCCAGACTGATCCACCCCATTCGACGGACCCACATCATCATAAGGGAATGCATAACCCCTGCCATCGAGTGCAGTCTTATGACAGATACGTGCGTAATGATTAGTGATCGAGTTCGAGTAGTAATTACTCACAACTTCACCATCTGGCTGATTTGTATTAATCAACAAGGTAGATCGATTGAACGCAGCAGCCAGTCTGGCAGTGATGGCATCTTTGGTACTGTTTCCAGATACAGTAAAGCTACCAGAGCTGTTACTGAAGATAGCGGCAGAGGTTGGTTGAGCGTAGCTGATGCTGCCGGATGAGAAATTCAGCGTGCCGTTGGAAACGGTTCCCGTAAGGCTGCCTGCAGATCCTTGGGTGTCGACCGTCAGAGTTTCACTGGCGTATTTAGACCACACTTGATCAACGTATGAATCAAAGTAGGTGCTGAATAGACTGCTGTTCAGCGTTATGCCGGTGTTGGGCGATACGGCACGTAAGTTTGCCCCGCCAGACTTTATGATCAGTTGATCCCAGCCTGCGCCATCGGTGTCATGTTGGCTTTGCAGCGCAGAGCATACCGTATCGAGTGCACCTGCTGGGAGGCCCTTGACAGTCTGTGTTTTGCCCGAGGTGTTCTTCAATGCCAGCGCGATAGGCATAGAGACGAAGTCTACCATACTAATGTTGACGAATAACTGGGCGCTATTCCAAGTGAATTCGCAGAAGTCCCAGCGGATATTGTAGTTGGGATCCGATGGATTGGAAGACGAGGGTTCCACGAGTGCTGGACCAGGGTTCAAGTAAAAAGTGAGGGTAGCATCGCGCGAGAACCACAGCCGGGCACCGGCTAAATGTGGAATCGTCACTGTCGTTGTAGTGCCTGATGCTCCAAGAGAGATGGCACAATTTTGAGCTAGGGCAGTGGTAGTAGACGACGGCGATGTCGGGTAGTAGGCTGTCTTGCCATCCGATTGTAATAGAAAGAGTGCATTGCCATTGTCGATGGCCTGTCCAGTGATATAAGCATAAGCCTTACTGGAGCCGGTGTTGTTGACCAAGGCAAAATTCAAAGTCGCCATCTTGAATGCGACTATTGGGTCGATGCTGTCCAGAAATTGCACGACTGGCTAGAGCAAATCTTTCAATGGAGTAGGAAAATAGGGCCGGAGAGAGTATAGGGCCCACAAGGCTGCAGTAGGTCGCAGGGAGTTGCAGACTAATCCTTAGTTCAGCAAAAATTGCGTTTTATCTTCGAAGAGTCGGGACCCGTACATATAGCATGGCCGACTTAGCTCAAAGTGCTGCATTACCTGCAATGGGAATTTAGTAGGGCAGGCTGACAAGACCTGGTGATGTAGCGTTGCGAAAACTTGAATAGTCCCGTAGAGGGGTAAATGGGAGAAATCGAAAGCTTATTGGACTATTCGAGTACACTAGTAACATGTGTAGTACATGTGTCGATCTTTGCTGGGAATAGGCGACGCGCCGGGACCTTAAGCGGGAGATTCCTCTTTAGAAACACCCGACGCCGCCACAATGCGATCATGCCGTGCGAGCAGATGATCTTACGCGTGGCATTTCTCCACGAGGAAATGCGATGGTTGGAGACCCCGGAATCCGGGGGTTCGTGGGTGGGGTCACTGTTTGGACGACGTCGATTAACATTGGAAGAGCGTGATGATGAAGGAAACTCTACCTTTGCTTAGCTTCTTGATCTTCTTCGCGGGCGAGTCTTAGGAACAATGACTCTTTTACATGCCAAGGTTTAATATATTTCAATGCAACATGAACTCCCAAGGTTCTTGCTTATGATTATTCGTAGACTATATCTATAGCTTGGTCATTCGGAGTCCTGCCACAATTGTTCTTTGGTTTACGTTCGTTAAGGATGGTCTTGGGGCTGCGAAAGTCCATTTTAGGGAATCACCCAATGTTTGGTAGATGCCAGCAAATTTTTCATACACGCCAATCGTTGGATCATGTGGCTTTCAATAGGGCGTGCTTGGCTCACATAGAGAAGATCAGCCCCCATGTTGTGCAATCCCGAGGACTTTGTGGGTCAGGGTCTCGGTCGTTTACCTGGTATCGGCTCATAAATCTGCGGCGATATTTACCGCTTGTACCTAAGGTAAGTCGAATCCCAAGGTCACTAACCATTGAAGATCCGGATATAAGTTCGGGTGAATTCATAGTGACATATCTGGAATGGATACATTTGCTGCCAACGTTTGACTTGAGAAAATGATATCAAGGGATATATGTCAAGGGTAAATCTACACGTAGGATTTGTTGAGCTTCAACATTCATATGTTCACAGATCTATCGATTCGCAATTCCCACCCAAGTCAAACCCATTTAAATCAAGCTGTACCTGTAACTGTACCTGTTACTCCAGAAGGTCACAGGACATGACTTTGGATTGTCATTCCCAACCCGGTTGGCAGCTTGAAATTTTAGCAGCATGCATTCCGGACATAGACCGCGAGAGCAGAGAGCACTTGCATCAGGAAGTCATTCCAATGAGAGTGGTCATTCTGATTTTTCTCAGATGGTGTACCCTAAGTTGTTGTTCGTTTTCCCCCCTGCTTTCCTGCATCGTAAGGCGCGCACACATTCAAGGTCAACATGATTTAGCTTGGGCATGTGTTGATTCTTTTCCCTTTTTTCCCTCTGTGCTTGGTCACCGTCTACAAGAACCTAGAGCCTCACAGCCGCTGGAGCCAGATCTACCTCGCAATTTGGAAGCAGCCCATGTAATTGTGGCTGGTCTGCATTCATCGGTTGTGTTTGTGAGCTGTTATCCAGCGACTACGTGTAGCAATTTTCGCTGCGTGACTACTCAAGGGTCATTTAGTCTCAAGGGGAGGGTCAAATACCATCATACAATTTATTTTGATTTGTCAAAAGAATTTACGACAAACTCGCTGGAGTGTATTGAAATTTTGGGTATCCAGCAATGTTGTCAACTTGCAAGCATGTATTTTAGGGCCAAAATATCACCATCAATGCACGGCGAGGAAGAATATCGGGATGCATGGATGCCCAAGTGCATCAGAAACCTCTAACCACCGATAGCGGTTCGATTAGATGCGATCCCAAATGCATTTGGATTTAACATCAAAGGGGGTTTAGACCCACTCGATAGATCGATTAGCTAGTCTTATAACGACTTAGGACTTTCCAGGGCGACATCCCTAGGTGACGGGAGAGCACATGACTTTTGGGAGCCACATACATGAGGTTGTGGCTATAATTTGGAAGCTTCAAACTTGCGAAGATTTGCCAAGCTCACCTAGGCGCTCCTAGAATTTGTATTGCGATCGGCTGCGTTGATTATTTCCGAAATTTGGATAATTATATCCCCTAGGGTTGAAAAGAAATTCATTCACGCCTGAGATAAGGCACTAGTGTCAGTGTAATTAAATTCTTTTCCATGGGCGTTACGGTGCTGTAGATGTCGAATCTCTCAATTGAAAGTAATCGAAAGCAAGGGCGGTGGTTGGTGTCACGACGCGGATCAGAACCCTTACTTACCAACTGCTCGTGCAGGGCTTCCCCCCCCACGAGCGCCAATGACGAGCTTCTTAAGCAAGACAAAGTCTCGCACAAATGGTCGAACTCCACTACGCGGATCTCCCGTGAAAAAGAGGATCATCTCTGGGGTGAGACCTGAAGAGGGACGTGCCAGCAACTTTTGACGCGCAAGCAGACACGATCGTCACCGACCTTTCAGGCGCCCACCGGGACTGGCATTGATCGATCTTCGTATCCACCGGCCTCGGCTCCACTGGTCTACGCCATCGTCTCACTGGTCACTCCACTGACCAGGATAATTATAGCCACTGATGTGCCTGAGCTGGCGGTTACTCCACTTGCGCCTAGAATTAATTAAATGCTGTGGCTGACAGTCGCTTTGTGTTCCCTCAGCCCTCCGCTTTTCGACTTTCTCACTCCTATTGAAACTGGGGAGGTATCTCATGTCTTCCGATCATCTCTAGGGCCTGCTGCCCATCATGTACATTCCACGGAAACGCTCGATCGACCACAAGAACAGCATCTTCATCATCGTAGGTTTCGTCTCAAGTATCCGCCGGCATCCGATAACATGGTCATCGGTCGCTCTTTCCTCGTTCGCCACTGACTTGAAATTCTTAGGTTTTTGTGGTGATAGTTTTCGTTCTCGCTCTATGCGCGCTGGGTTTTTTCCTGGCCCGACACCTTCGTCAACGGCACTTTGAGCCGAAGTATATTCCCGGGAAGTATCTCAAACGCAAATGGAAACAATGGCATCCCGGAAGTGCCTCTTATGGCCAAGTTCCAAGCCAAGGAGCAGCCAATAGAGAACAGGACACAGCATACCAGGGCGCAGGAGCCACGAACCCAGAAATGACGACCACCGCTGGTGTGCAGCGTGAGACCTCGATTCGATCGATCATTACTCTACCCGCATACTCGCCGAGTCCGAAGCCGACCGAGCAAATCATCGGACGAGAAGGAGAGCGCGAAGGCATGGATATGGTGGTCGAATTCCCCGAAACGTCGGAAGAGCAAGAGGCTCGTCGCGAGGACCAAATGGAGTCATTGTACCAAATTCGCCTACAGCGTCGGCAAGAACTTGCCGATCGGGAGGCCCGACGCCAAGAGCGACGGTCAGCACGAGCTCGTGGCGACTCAGTCCGTCTTGAAGAGCTTGCCGCTGAATCTCGCGCTCGCAGCACTCGTCGTCACCAGCCAAGTTCCAGCAACACCTCGCTAAGTGCCGCTACCGCCATCGCCGAACACCAATCCCGGGAGCGGGACCGGCGAATCTCCAGTGTCAGCTACGCTTCTATCGGCCACGTTCGCCATGATGGATCCCGCCTACGGGCGGATTCCCACGAATCCGACCATCAGCCTCTGCTGGAGAATGCCGCTGTGAACGCATCGTCGCCATCGTTGACGGACCGGCAATCTACCAGCTACCGCTCCCGCGTTGAGTCCTTAGCATCATCAATTATGACCACTGACACGGGCGGAACTGACTCTGATCCACTTATCCTGGGTCCGACGTCTACACGCGGGTCTAGTCGCCCAGTGTCACAAGCGGAGGAGGACCTCGGAACCCTTAATATACAGCCACCCCCTGAATACGAGCATCTCGACTGGGGCGATGCACCCGCGTACGAAAGCCCAACCCGGGGGCGCACTGACGAACCTCGTCAGCTATCATCGGTGTTGACTACACTGCCATCTATTCACGTCGACGTCGCTAGCCCCATCGCAGTAACTCCAGTAACCCCCACCGAGCCCCGTCATCCAGAGTCAGAAGATGAACACGACACTACTCCCCGGGGTCCTATACGTACTTCCGTTGTTTCAGAAGTTGATTCTGGATCCACATCAGAACATACCCCTGTCTCATGATAAGACATTTTCGGAATAAAATGACTGAAGATCTCTGCATGGACTTAATGAGCACGATTCACGACCTGTACTAGCATTACCCCCGTGTGGCGATTATATGCGTTCTTTCTTCGACTCGGCAAGGCGTTTATGGTTCATTTGCCGAGAACTTTGGTTTCAATTTTTGTTAATTCTTTGTTCTTTTCCCCTTAGATAGTTAATGACATGTAACATTCTCCAAGTATACATGCTTGGTATTCTTTGCACTTTATACAAACCAGACTCGGCCTGAGCCAGTGTAGATAGACGTTTCCAAAATTTCCAAACTAGAGTGAATTCCAGATTGGTGGTTTATCATGCTCTCCCCAAGCGACGAGCCAAGTCATAGCCTAAAAGAAATTCTTCAATGCTCGGATCCGCAAATAAGGATGGAAACCCCTTAGCAGGATTCTCAGTTAGCAAATTTTTATCACGCTCCTTCTGCAAGGGACCATCTTCCATATGGAAGATATCACGAAAGTCGGCACTCTTTTGCACAACCTGGGCTGTTTGGTCTTTGCGTAACTGCTCATAAATGAGGCGGCGCCAACTGACTGCGTCTAGTCAACGACCATTTTGGACTACACATTGAACTTCAAGTATTTTCAATCTTTTGTATCTCTTGATTATTTCCGTGACTTCATATGCAATCCACCATATCGGGCTGTCCGACATACCCCGCTCCTTCTCTCTTGGACATATGTTTAACATTGATTGAAGGCCATTGGCTACGAGATGCATCGATCTAATAGCAGCTTTTCGGCAGCCCCGGGAATGATAGGTCTGGAGAAAAGGCTATTATGAATGGTGCACTGTGGTGTGCTGTAGCTATGTGTCGATGTGGCTGTCGTCTTGATGTCTCTTTGCTGCATTTTTCCCTTCTTGCAGCTCGAATGCCGCCAAGAGGGCAATTTCCTCAAAAGCATCGATATTTCAATACATCCCCAAATTTCATTCAAGATAGATGTTAAGCCCCCAAGATTCATTCACGATGGTTGCCTAATAAGGTTTAGCTTGGCTTCGAGATGGTTACCCATTGAGGGATAGCGTACCGTCAGGTGGTTACCCTACGAAGATTAGCGGGTCCATGGATGCGTCGATCCGATCAAATGTATAAATGGTTACCTGCTGCCATTTTACTCCGATCAATCATTATTGATTCATCTCCGTACCACAGATCTTAGTCTGCGTTATGGCGGAATATGCAGAGGATGATGCGGTCCCTAGCGGCTGGCGTACACGTCAACCAGGCTTTACCATCTGGGCCCTGCTATCCATCGTGCGAGTCTCATTTGTCGGTTTCTGCTACAGCATCTACTACATCCCGGCCTCATTACGTCAGAGCCCAGCGTGGTCATATCGCCAAGCATTACGATCGCGAATCTTGAAAGTGGCTTTTGGCGTTATTACCGAGCTCGGTTTTACACAGTCTCTCAGCATGGAGGCAGGGGAGCTCGGGGATCGGTGGGTTATCATAGAGCCAGCCTCGGAGGAATCATATCCTGGTGCCTTCATGAATCAGACCGTTAAGCCGGAGAGAATTGGCGGCACCTGGTACCCCGACGCCCCGCCTGAGAAAGCCGATCCTGATGACCAAAGTTTGATCGTGTTGTCATTTCACTCAGGCTCTTTTCTCTGGTTGGATGGTCGGCCAGATGATTCCGGCGAGACTGCAACCATGCTTAACAGCAAGCTAGGTCCCGGCACACGATCGTTCTGGGTACAATACCGTCTTGCCGGTGGGAAAAATCCAACCCCGTACCCAGGGCCTATGCAAGACGCCGTGACAGCGTACTTCTACCTTGTGAAAAACCTTGAAATCTCTGCATCTCGAATTGTTCTCGCTGGTGACTCTTCGGGTGCAACTATTGCAGTGGCCCTCCTGCGCTATCTCGTCTCCCAAGATTACCTCGATCTCAAGCCCACCGACCAGGCACATCCTAAAGCATGTCTTTTGTTTTCACCTTCGGTCGAATACAGCTTCGAAGGGGACTCACAAGCCTTCCACAATCATAGGAATCAGAAGACCGATTATTGCGATGGCCACATGGCTGCCTGGGGTGCTCGAGCATTTGCGCCCCCGGAGACCGTCCGATTAGATGACCCGTATCTTTCGCCAGCGCTCCACCCATTCGCGACTCCAGTCCCTATTTTCGCTCAAGCAGGGGGTGCTGAAGTGCTCTGTGACAGCGTCAAAAAGTTCACGGATGCGATGCGTGCTATTCCAAGCAATCGAATCGAGTTTTTAGAGACACCAGGTGCACCGCATGACATTTATGTTACTGGGAAACTCCTCGGGTGGCCGAAGGAACAAGAGGAGATGATTGATTCCGCCGTCAGCTTCGCTCTGTGACTTGGAGAAGACACTTTACGCAACGTGATATGATATGATATGTACTTTAGCTGATACCAAACTTGCAATTTTATGAGAATATTTGAGGGTCGTCGATGTCTACAATATCAATTTATTACTCTTCTTGCAACTTAATAGCGAATATGCCAAGTCGCTCCAGAGAATAGGCTTAGCTTTAATCGATATCATCCCTAGTCATCACATCATAGCACATCCCCCGGGAACCCCTAACTCAGAAGTATCCACATCAAAGCCGGCTTCGGTGAGGCCTCTGTGCAAATGAAGATTTTCCAGCAGTGTCTTGAGCCACCTGACACACTTCCGCCATTCCAGTGCTTTGAAGTCAGATTGATAATCCGTCAATGTAGTTTCGATACGCGTCACCTGCTCGGGATCTTTTGCCGCAGCCAAAGCAACAATGAGACACAAGGGAACATAGGCGGCACCAAGTGGACGGTCGCGGGAGGCGAAATCAGCTCCCTCGATTATTTGTTGAACAAAGAAGCCCGAGTCATTGGCAAGTAAGGTGTCAAATGGATTAAATGCATGGAGGATATTGTTCAACGTGAGAGTCAGGGAGGAGATCACGGTATATGCTGCTAGGTACCGAGACTGGTGAACTGTTGATAATGAGGATAAGAAGCCGCCATTTTGGAATGCATGCATGGTTTGAACATCAATCTTCAGTTGAGAATAGGCTTGGGTAATTTCGGGGAGATATGGAGAGGGGTTGTGGATGTACTCGGGGAACATCGCAATGGAGAACAGACTTGTGGTTGGTCGGGGGATGCTGCTGTGCTCTGGTGAAGACGGATTTTGGCAGAAAAAACTTATTATTTGGTCCCAGATCTGCTTATCCATTCGAATTCGAGGATTTCGCATGCCCTCCAGAATCTAAAACAATTAGAGCTAAACGGCGAAACAGTCAGTGTTGGTAACATACCACAGGAGCACATAAAGTGACCAGTAGATTTCGTGCGAATTCACTTCGATATTCATTTAGATCTACAATTCTGAGAATATGCGTAATAGCTTCTGCATGGCCAGATCGCTGCTTTTGTGAGGTCCCAATCCAGCTCTGACAGTACAGGTTAGTCCACGGAATCACAGCTTATCGATTGAAGCATACCTGGCAGATAGAGATGAGATAAATCGCACAAAGCGTATTAGGAGATCGAGCACTAATAGGATCTTTCAAACACTCTCTGAGCGCTTTCAATGCCTTTCCAAATTTGACCAGAACAGCAGGTGGGACATCTTGTTTCTGGAAATAAGGATACGAAGAGACCAGTGCCGTCGCAGCAGCATCTAAAACCGGACTAGACCCGAATCGTCGGGGTAGATCTCGGAGAAACGGTCCATAGTATGTGATATCATAGCGCACATCCTGAATCTCCAACGTATTGACAAACCATGTGGTGAGAGTATCGCTGGGTACCTGCGCAATGTGAAGCTTCGGCCCCTGTTTTGTGGGTACGACTGCAGATGTTCCCTGTGGGAACTCAGCAGATTGGAATTTGTAACGCCGCAAGCCACTTCCTATACACTGTAGCTGACGCCTGACACATCGGGTGCAGGGCTGAAGTTCATCACACTAAGATTATGTGTCAGCCGACGTCCTATGAGAGGCTCCTGGCAAGCGCGCGGACCTTCTTCTTTGCTTTCCGACAACTGTCGCATGCTCTACTGGTGGGGACCCCCGGCATTTTGCTAGCGCAACGTTATAATGGAAAGAGTAAGACCCACCAGCGACAAGGGTGGCCTGTTTTAGCGACTATGTATGCTCGACGTGGAGAGTTCGCCCGAGCCCCAGTGAAATGTGCAAAAGCGTTAATGTGAGACGTAATGAATTAGAATATGTTGTTGTGATTCGACTTCAAAGCTGCAATTATTATCGACTTGATCATGAAGTTGAGGGGCTATCCGGGTGGGGTGGTGAGACGTTTTGGCCCCAAATCATTCGATATGGCATCCAATCAAGCTAGGCGCTGGGTTCATGCATAGACCCACCTGGCGCGCCGTTCTGCCATTCTTGTCACAGGGCACAAAAAACCGCACTGGTTAGCGAGATGAGGCCCATGCGTAAATGCTCCGCCCCAGCACCTGGTCGGACAAAACCCCCCTGAGTATGAAATGTGTCAGCTTGCTTTTCGACCCCGAGATATTGGATTAATGAAGGATTCAACTTGCAATCAAATATTGTCAAACCTTCACATACAATTGGGTCAATCTACTTACTCATAACTATATTGAGCGTCTTGTCGCTCGAGGTCACAATCTTCCACAAGCAATCATTATCATCCTCGGAGGTCTCTTACCCCCACTGTGAGTACTCTGCCACATATCTTTATTGAATGATATCCAACGTTGAAGTTTTCAGAAATCCAGGGCCCAGGCATCTGTTTAGTGGCACGCTCCTAACTTCCCATGCGGAATTTATCAGTTGTCTTGATGTGACACATTGACATTTCCCCTAAACAAAAGCGTCTGGTATATCTACAATGGACTGGCTCATAAGCTTGTTTACCGGCAGGAGTCGTGCAGAAATCGCAGAAAAAGACAAGAAAAGGCGTCTCAGTAAAGCCCAGAGCAAAAGGATACGAGCACGAGAGCGAGAATTGAGGCTTGCAATGGATGGTGGCGGAGCGAAAAACGCCCGCTTATTCTTCGGTCCCCCAGGTGAAACATATGATCATAGTAGGCGTGGACGACGACCAAAAGAACCTATCACGAGTGGGTTTATGCGTAGGTGAAAATACGCCTGATGGCGCATCCTAGCCTCATAATTCCTGTACATAAAATCGCGAAGTGCATCTCTATCAGAGTATATTAAGCTGTCCAGAGTCAGATCGCTTCCGTGTGTTCCGATTCTGGATGAAGTATATGAGCTCCTGGAGTCCCGTCAACAGAAGTCCTGCCAGAACTAGCGCAATCATTATAATGATTCCCTTTGGGTATAGCTCCGATGATTCACCTTGGCGAAATATTTGAGTGCCAGCCATAAGGCCACTAGTGGCCGTCATGACAACTGATATGGAATTAGCTTGATGTTAGTCACGGGGAAGTTGACAAAAACGTACACATTCTAGGCACAGTCAGTAATTGTTGGGGTAGTAGCGGGTATATTCGACTCACGCAACTGCAATACTTCGTTCTTCGGGGCTCTGACAGTTCATCTGGATCCATGCATTGTGTATTGGATGATATCCCACGGCTAGGCCATTCACGGTTGTCCAGAGTCCGAATTTACTCCATCGGCCGACAAGGGGCTGCACGAGTCTAAGAACAACAAGCGCAACTAGGTATGCTGCAATGGCAATCATGACCATAAAGCCACGCTTTTTCGTTTTGTCGCTCAGCCAGGCGAAGAACAATACAACGGGTAGAGTCATCAAGTACCCAATCGCAGCCAGTGCATTAGCTTGAACCCTTGTAAACCCCAAGGACATAATGATGCTCGGCGTATACGTTGTAAGAGGGCACCAGGTAGCAAACACACAAGCTGTTGCAAGAAAATGCGGCCATTTGTAGACATTTGTCAACGTTTGCCAGACAATCGTCAACGGGATCCGTTGACCAGTCGTGCGTTGCGCGTCTTGAGTCTCTTGTGAGTCAATTTTTTCAATTTCCGATACTGATTGATACTTATTTCTCTCTGGAAGAAGAATCATAAGCATTAGAGAGATGGTCACTGACCAAATCCCCTCCACTAGAAATGCATTAGTCACTGTGTGCTCAATCATTAACTGTGGAAAAAATGATATTCTTACCCAAGAAGATCCATTGCCATCCAGAAATTCCACCTCTGCCATCTAGCCTCAACAGTCCTGCTCCTAATAATGGCGAGACTGCGGTGCCACCGAACATCCCAAAAAAGAAGATCGCAATGCGCTTGGTGATCTCTTCTCTCGTGTACCATGTTGACAGAGTGAACATTGCCCCAGGAATATATCCCGCTTCCGCAAGCCCTAGAAGGGCTCTTGTGAGAAGAAAGCCAGTTTTATTCCGGATGAAAATCTGCAGGGCGGCGATAACGCCGAATATAAACACTTGGCCGCCAATCCACCAGCGGGGACCAATCTGCGTTGTGATCAATACCATTGCAATGAATCTATATTAAGACTGCGTATCTCTTACCTTGTGCAGAACTATATTTGATGGGATTTCAAGTACAATCACTCCAATGTACATGAATTGATTCCCCAGATTGATTGTATTTTGGTCCACCGAGATGGCAGATGCTAGTCCACCTGTCAGCGCGCTGGAGATGTTGGTTCGATCCAATTGATAGGTTGCGAATCCAGCTAGCAGAAGTGGAAGAACCTGAAAATCGGCACTTTTGCTTTTGTCAACAGCCTGCTTAGTTGTGCATAGTATACCTTGTAAGGTGATCACTGACATTCTTCGCAATTGGACTGCGCTCTTCTTGATACCATCATCTCCTTCATCTTTGTATTGTCGCTTTAAACTTAGTCTCTCCCACATTCTGAGGTGAATGTGTCAAGCTAAACTTATCTGATTACTGATTTATGGCTCTTGGCAGGGACCTTGGGAGCTAACGAAGAGAACCTTCGGAGTGATGAGATAATCTAAGTTTTGGCTACAGGGATCAAAGATTTTTAAATTCACTGAGCTAAGGATGCTCAGGACATGAAGGGCTGTAGGTCAATTTAATAAATAAATTAGGTAGCAGTCCATAGCACGACAAAAGCTTCTTGAAGTTGCTTTTGCAATCGTGTGGAGAATTGGGTACGGTGTGGGACAAAATATATAACAAAGTGTGTTTTAAGAAGCACTTGAACTTCGAAATCTTGGAGGATACGAGGTCTTGCGAAAGGGACATGTAACTAAGCCCTAATTCATTTACTCATTCGAACTACCATTGTTAACGAATACTGTACGGAGTAGGTTTGTCTCCCACGTAGGTCAGCCACATTTCACCAGCCACACCCGACCGGAGCCATCAAGATCAGCAAATGCTTCCACAACTTTACACCTTCATGGATCTCCACGCCCGGTCAAACACAGAAACCTTGTCCAATCATTCAATCCCTATGGAGATGACATGGCTTCGACACCGACACGTAATGACCGTCGAACCATTCTTCACCTAGTGAGCAATGCTACGTTCCTTATCTATTAATCCACTCTTAACACATCTAGGATTACGACTGCTTCTATGCTTCGGTGTTCGAAGTGGAACAGCCAGCATTGAAGTCCTTGCCGCTGGCTGTGCAACAAAAGCAGATCATCGTGACATGTAATTACGAAGCTCGACGGCGGGGACTGCATAAGCTACAGCTAATCAAAGACGCCAAGCGAATATGTCCCGACGTGGTAATTGTCCTAGGCGAGGATTTGACCAAGTTTCGCGATGCATCAAAGGATCTCTACCTTTTCATTCGCGCCTTCATCTGGGGCGGGCGAGTGGAAAGGCTAGGCTTTGATGAGCTTTCTTTGGATGTCACCGAGATGATTGATTATAACGTGAACTTATTGAATCCGAATGATCTATCAACTTCATTTTTCCATTTGGATCCCAAGGACCCGACGATTGGATTTGCCTACGACGCGACCACATTTATGGGCTTGACATCCCCAGGGAGGACCAAGGAGACACCAGTTTCTACACGTGACACGTCTTCCCTGGAAATGAAGTTGGGGATCGCGTCGCATCTGCTCAAGTATCTCCGAGAGAGGATGGAGCATGAGAAAGGCTTCACAGCTACAGGAGGGGTTTCCACCTCCAAACTTCTGGCAAAATTAGTAGGAAGTGTTCACAAACCCAATAACCAGACTACTCTGCTCCCACCATACTCAGTAGCTGGAGATGACACTGAGAGCAATGTGACCCAATTCATGGATAACCATGAGATCCGCAAAATCCCCGGGATAGGATCACGACTTGCCCAGAAATTGAGAACTCGCGTTACAGAGGTGAGTTCGGGAGAAAAAGAGGTTACGGTCCGAGATGTCCGTCTATATCCAGAAATGGGCCCGGCAATGCTCGAGAAAACGCTGGGTGGGCCCGGTGCGGCCAAAGGAATTGGCATGCGCATCTGGGGCATTCTGCACGGAGTGGACAATACCGAAGTCCTCGAAGCCCGAGATTTGCCGACTCAGATCAGTATTGAGGACTCTTACGGCCGTGGCCGATTTGATACCCTGGAGAATGTACGTCGTGAGCTCGTGGTTCTTACTGCAAGTCTGATCCGGCGCATGCGGACAGATCTCCTGGATAAGAGCGAGGAAACCTCGCGGTGGCTGGCCCACCCGCGAACTTTGCGTCTATCTACGCGGCCTCGCAATGCTCCCGAGACTGACGGGGTCCGAACCTACAATGCCAATCGTATCTCTCGGTCTGCCCCTCTCCCGGGGTTTATCTTCAATCTGGACGAGAATCTGGATGCACTGGCCGAACGACTCGTTCAGGAGAGTCTTTTAAGCATGTTCCGGAAACTCAATCCTGAGAAGTCCGGGTGGGATCTGAGTTTGATCAATGTGGCTGTGACCAACTTGGTGGAGAGTGCGGGAGATCAAAAGCAAAGTAGCGGCCGTGACATAGGCAAAATGTTCCGACAACAAGAAACGGTGCTCAGGGATTGGACGGTGGGGTTAGGAGATGCAGGATCCTGCGCCCCTGTTCCACAACCGGAGATACCGGACCAGACAGATAACGGGGTTAACGATCAGCCAGAATGGGGTGACGAAGACGACGAAGAGGAATCGTTGTTTAGTGTTCAGTGTGAGATCTGTTCCGCTGCGATTCCCCATTTTGCACAGCTAGCACATAGATTGTACCACGAATCCATGGATTGATACATTTGCACATACGAGTCTGATCAATCTTATATCACCTGGCGAGTACAACGCAATATTCGTAGAATACTGTGTGGAGTACTGCGGAGGCTGACTGCTAACCTCGATGGACCCCGGAACCAGCGTAACAAGGAAGCCTGGTTCCAATGGTATATCTTTAGTATAGAAACCATGGAAACGATGTGGAGACCAAGTACACGCTAGGCATACATATTCTTTTCTATGTAACACATCCTAAGCCCCCATGTCTTGCCAAGACCCGCCCTAATTAGGTCGCGGTCTATTACCATTGGATTCTTCCGTGCTTGGCGCCAATACTGGGCTGAGTCCGCCGTGAATTTGAAGATGATGGCTAATCTCTAGTTTCTTACTTATTTCTTCACGATTCACTTCGTCTTTCGTTTCAGTTGAACTTGTGTGGAGATTGGTGGACCCCTTACGACCCTGCGATTCCGCATAGCCGAAGACCCTGGAAACTCTATCGGGAGACCCTGATTCTGTCTTGCTCCTCCAGCAATGAGGTTCCGCAGCGTGCTGTCCATTTTAGGCGCAGTGTCGCTGGTATCGCCAGTCACAGGTACGAACAATTGCCCCGGGCGATGAGCTCCCCCACTAACAGCTCTTCTAGCGCGATCTCAAGCCTCAGAAGCGATCCGCCAGGTCACTCCGATCGACAACGCCGTCATCCGCACCCCTGCACACAAAATATATCATCTTTCACACTTTGATCTTACCCTCGAATTACATCGTGACGGAACTCGGGTCAAACTAGAGCTAGAGCCAAACCACGACATTCTTGCCGACGATGCTTTCGTGCAATATATCAACACCGACGGATCGTTGACCGACGGTGAGCCCATCCACCGACATGAACACAAGGTCTTCCGCGGTCGGGCGTTGGTGGGTTCAGGGAAAGGCCGATGGACGCCATCGGGCTGGGCCAGAGTTACAGTCCGACAAGATGGAGAAGATCCGTTATTCGAGGGCGCGTTCAGTGTCGGACAGGACAAACACCATATCGAGCTGCAGTCGACCTACTCCGCCAAGAAGCGACCGATCGATGCGAGTATTGAACTTCGAGACCGAGATTATATGGTCGTATACCGTGACTCCGATATGATTCGGATGCAGCCAGAGCACCCGGACCTAAGGCGGTCTTTGCCGGCCTCGACTGGCTGTGGAGCTGACAAGTTGGACTACAACGCTGATTTAACCAATTCTATCTTTCCCTTCGGAGTCGGAGAGGATGAGGGCCAGTGGGGAGTTACGTCGTTGAATTCGTTGTTTGGTCTAGGCAAACGACAGTCTGATGTTGGTGGAATCTCAGGTAACACGGGCGGCGTGAACTTGAAATCGACTATCGGAGATACATCCGGGTGTCCGAAGACGAAAAAGGTGGCGCTGATCGGAGTGGCTACAGACTGCAAGATGACCGACTACTTCTCTGACAACACTACCGTGACGGCCAAGGTCGCTGCGAAGAACTACGTGATCAACATCGTGAATACCGCGTCTAGCCTCTACGAAGAGTCTTTCAACGTGTCTATCGGTCTGCGCAATTTAACCATCAACAAGGAATCATGCCCGACCTCGGACAATGAAGCTACTCCATGGAATGTTGACTGCCCCAGCGGCAACCTTACCTGGAGACTCAACGAGTTCTCGAAATGGCGGGCAGATAACCAGGATAGCAACGCCTACTGGACCCTTATGACGGGTTGTGCGACTAATTCGGAAGTCGGTGTCTCCTGGATGGGTCAGCTGTGCACCTCCGACTTGACTAGCGATGGATCTAGCTCCGTCTCTGGGGCCAATGTCGTGGTTGGCAACGCAGGCAGCACATGGCAAATCTTTTCTCACGAAACTGGTCACACATTCGGAGCTGTCCATGACTGTGATTCCTCCACATGTGCCCGAGGGCTCGAGGCCTCATCCCAATGCTGTCCATTGACATCCTCGACGTGCAACGCCAACGCCCAATACATCATGAATCCCTACGCCTCATCGTCTATGACCAACTTCTCAGAGTGCACAATCGGCAACATCTGTTCCGCCATTGGCCGCAACAGTATCCAGTCTACGTGTCTTACCGATAATCGAGGGGTCGTAACAATCACTGGTAGCCAATGCGGAAATGGCATCGTCGAAGCGGGCGAGGACTGCGACTGTGGCGGTACAGAAGCCTGCGATGATAACGCCTGCTGCGATGCTACAACCTGCAAGTTCAAGTCTGGTGCTGTCTGCGATGACTCGAATGACAGCTGCTGCTCAAGCTGCCAGTATTCCTCATCAGGCACAGTCTGCCGCGCCAGTACTGGCGTTTGTGACATCGCCGAAACATGCACCGGCAACTCCAGCGCCTGTCCAAGCGACCAATACCAGAAAGACGGCACCACGTGCGGCTCTTCAGGTCAGGGCCTCACCTGCGCCAGTGGTCAATGTACAAGCCGCGACTACCAATGCCGCTCTGTACTGGGTACTATGCTTAACAGCAACGAGTCCTGGGCCTGCGGAAACACAAATGCCCCATCCTGCATGATCGTGTGCGGCGCTCCACAGATTGCCGAGGAATACGGTTCTTCAACCTGTATCGAGATGAACCAGAATTATCTCGATGGCACACCCTGTGACTCTGGCGGCCATTGCAGCAACGGTCAATGCAAGGGCTCCTCCGTAGGCGGCTGGATTAATGACCACAAGAACATCGTAATTGGTGTCTGTGTCGGTGTGGGATGCTTGATTCTTCTTGCCTTGCTCTACTGCGTTACGAGCTGGTGTCGAAGAGCTAGAGCACGTCAACGCATGGCCAAAGCCCCTCCGCCACGGTACCCTGGTCCACCTGGAATGCCTCCACCTGGGATGCGTGGACCTCCTGCTCCGAACCAGTGGGCCGGGTATCCTAATGGGTATCCGAACGTCCCTCCACCACGTACGCAGTATGGCTGATGATTCATTTCTGCATATTTTCTTATTTCATGGATTCGGCTTTACAGGCTTTGCATTGGGGGCGGTGGGAAACATGATGTAATGCTGTTTTGGGATGGGGCTTGGGCTTTGGGCGTTAATATTGATCTAAGAAGTTCTTTGGCGATTGGGCGTGGCCTTTAGCTCTTATACGTGGTTTCCATCATTGTGAATATTAGTATTCTTATTCAAGTGAACTTTGTTTTCCATTGTTTTGAATGATATTGCGCCGATTAAGTAGTTGTAATAGGACAACATCACCCATGGCACAAAATGGCGCCTGGCAGGATAAACCAAACTCAAAGGAATATCAAGTCATATATCGCAGGTGCTAGGGCCTCCCGACGTTCGAACAACACATGCAACATAACCGTAATAGACTCTCTATAAGTATTTAACTTTCCGCGGCCAGGAATTGGAAGACCTCGTTGCCGGGAATAGTAGCAGGATGTCGTCTACGGAGAAGTGCAAAGTTGACAATCGAAGCCAATTCAATTGAACCATGAAAAACACATTAACAAGATAAGGGAAATAACAACTTAAGCCCAACACCTTCAAAACAAGAAACCATGCAGTGCAGTCAATATATCACAGCCAGCCGGATTAATCACTGCCAGCAAATGCCCACGAAAGCCTCCCGAGTGACACCACCAACTCCCTCGAGGTCAAACTCCTCAATCATAGCCCTTAGCTCCTCCTCTTCAAGACCCGTCTCTCCCAGCTCCCGCGCAACACGCCTCAAGTCCTCCAGGTCAATAAATCCCTTCTGACCCTCGTCAAACAGCTCAAACGCACGCAGGATCTCATCGCGTGGATCGCGCTCCAAAATCTTCAACGCTGTCACAGCCTGGAACGACGAAAGCGGCATAAGAAGGTTGGATGGGTGTTGCGGATTTCCGCCCTTCGAGACCTGACTCCCCGGTGCATTGGGGTTATTTTGACCTTGTTGTTGTTGAACTTGTGGACGCGGGACGCCGTAGGTTGTGAGGAGGGAAATGAGTTCTTGTTTGGCGAGTGTGAAGCCCAGGGCACGGAAAGCGACGCGAAGTTCGTGATAGTCCAGGTGACGGTCGCGATCGAGATCGAAGAGGGTGAACTGGTGTAGGTAATGTCAGCCTTGTTTTTTTTTTGTGTTTATTGGGCGCGATGAACGCAGGCGAGCGATTCTCCAATTGGGTCCTCGCGTACGCATGCTAGGCAGGAGGGGAAGATCGCGTGCGTATCATCGCAGAGAGGGTAAACGAGAAATGTAAGGTAGTGGATGGTAGATCTTACAGCTTCGTTGATCTCTTCACGCTGCTCCTCCGTCAATCGGTTCAATGGATTCGCATCCTGCGCGGGCCCATGGCTTTGCGCGGCTGGGGTGTTCGCAGCCTGTTGGCTCTGCTTGGGGCCTTCGGGAGCTCCAAAATCAGCTGGAGCGGTGGCGCCTAGGCCACGGTGCCGGGAGAACGACGAGGCGCTGAAGGGCATGGCGTTCGCGTTGACGGAGCGATCCGGGATTTTGGTGCCGGCGTACGAGCGTGACGCGAACGGTTGGCCGGAGGCCATGATGATGGATTTGGCACGATGTGAACCTGGAATGCCGTACAATGTTTAAGCTGGAGTTTGTCGGGTTGGAAGATCGGCGGGGAGTGTTTTGGGCGGTGGAGAGGATTCTTTGGGCGACGCGGAATGGGGGTGGAGACGGACTGATTTAAAGCATGTATCACTCGCTTTCCCCGAGAATTTTAGAATTAATACGTCAAAGTTGTTCTAAATCACTAATTGAATGTCGTTCAAATGGACAAAGTGATAGCTAGAGCAGAACAAACTAGAGAAACCCAAGAGCAAGGATGTACAGTAGCAGTAAACAAAGCAGAAACGCGCAAACCAGTATCGAGTTCCTTGATACGCGAAATCTTTAAAATCTCATCCGATGGTTATGTTCACCAGAAAAATCATAGCAACGAGAGAATCCCTTCGCAGAGTCACTGGCTATTTGTGAGCCCTCGCTTCTGATAATACTATTGTTTCTCCCTGTTGATGTTTTTCCAGAACCCTGTGCTGATTGAGATCGATGTGCGCCTGTTGCACAACCTCTTGAATTGTTCATAGTTGACCTGGGTCTTGAATGAAGCCAGTGCCAAAGCAGATTTCATCGCAGGCTCCGTCAATGGAGTCCACGAGCTCCCACGGCCCGGGCTGCAATATGTCAAGGAATTCATCAATATGCGGATTCACAGACGGGGAGCTCGACACTTGATAGAAATAATTGGTCTGAAGGGATGTCTGGTTTCTCCGAACACACTCGCGACCGTTTGTCAGGCAGGGTGGGCAGGGGTTCGATGGCCCACACTTTTTTTTGCTCCGATAGCACGAGAGGCATGCACCACCGTACTCTTTCAAATGTCGAATCTCTTCTTTTTGTTGATCGAGTTCATTTCGGGAACGAAATCGCTTTTCTCGATAACAGTGTGGATTAGTTGGGTCTTCCATGACAAAATCATAGCATGCTGGAGGAGATGGGGATCTTCTGGGGACCGAAGGTGACGGCTGTCCATGAATGGTTCCGGAGCTATCTGAAGTAGCGACAGTCAAAGGAACCGTCCATTCAGTTGCTAAAGGTGTTTCGTCTTGATGGCCGTCATAGAACCCCATCGTAGGAATCGCCTGAGGCATAGACTGAATAGGTTGAGCTATCAGACCATCGCCTGGGAGCGAAGTGTTGAGGTTAGGAAATATGCCATAGCCATTTGGTGATCGTCCATAGTGGCAGGAGTTTGGTGTTGAGCTGTACAGCTGATTTGTGCGATTAAAGACCGGCGGCAGTTGAGATGGCATTTCCAGAGGCCTCGGACCGGGCTGTGAGGAGCCATGTCAGCCAAGATCAATCACGGCAAGCTCCCCATTCCGCGAGATGGTTTTGCCATGGAGTTGAAGATGAAGTCTTGGGATAGAAGACCATAACATACAGAATTCACGGTACCAGGTAGAAGAATCCCATTGAGAGGGGAATAATACCCCACTGACTGAGGACGTGGAGATTGGGCAGATACTCCACCACTCTGCGCCATGGTACCTTGATACGTGGAGATACTGGATAAATGAAAGTGATCGCTGCTAACCAGGAGCATGGGAGAGCATTAGAAACGAGAGTGAAAGCGAGAGAGCTGCAGGTAAGATCCTAGCGATTCAGATCGTACCACAGGCCATGCAAACCGATGCCCAGATAGAGTGACAGGCACAGAGGAGTCGATAAGATGTCACGCCGACTTTGTAAGTATTCAATACATAAGGCAGGAACGAGGGCTTATGTAACGAGGTGTGAGTCCAGAGCCGCTTCCTGATCGGGCATCGCGTTGATCTCAGAAGTTAATTTCTGTCAGCGAGCAGGTCATGGATACTTGAAAGCTTCAATGCTGCAACCATGGTCTAGATGCATCCGTTCATGTGTAATCCACAGGCGATTTTCATTGCTTCCATGGAGCTGATGCTTCGGGTTGTGGAACTCTTTTCTCTGGGGCTGTGAATCTTAGGTGCATAGTACGAATCAACAGGCACGTTCTCTTGTCCTTGGTCCAGGTTGAATAGAGTTTCGAACACCTCAGTTGCTTCTGTGCCTGGTACTGTAAAGAGCGGGATCCCGTTGAGTACCAAGATCCAAGTCCTCCAAAAAGGTACGTCCGAGAATTTCTTCTGGGAGGTATTCCTGTTCAACCTTGCCATCCACGTAGTTCGGGTTGTACTTATACTCCTTGCCGTAGCCTAGTTCCTTCATCAACTTGGTCGGTGCGTTCCTCAGGTGAATGGGAATCGGCAAGCCCGCAACGCCAGGTTCATTCAAGGCGGCAAAGGCATTGTTCAGTCCACGGTATGCTCGGGTGCTCTTTTTAGACAACGCCATGGCGACGGTCGCATGAGCCAAATTGATTCTTGCTTCTGGGAGTCCGACTTTTTCGACAGCAGAGTGTGTGGAGATTGCGAGGGTGAGCATAGTATTGTCTGCTAAGCCAATATCCTCCGACGCGACGACAATCAATCGCCGGGCAATGTACAAAGGATCTTCGCCGGACTGAATCATACGGGCCAGATAGTATAGGGCGGCATCTGGATCACTGCCTCGAAGAGACTTGTGGAAAGCAGAAATAGTATCATAATGCTGATCACCGGCGCGGTCATACACCAGAGTTTTGGTCAAAGACTGTTTTAAACCATCTGTAGTGATCCCTGGTCTTTTGGAGAGATCCATTGCCAATTCCAAGAGGTTGAGTGAGGTTCGAGCATCGCCATCTGCAAACCGGGCCAGATATTGAATCAACTCATCATCAACCAGTTCCGATGGGTTGTAGTTGGGACCTTCTACCCTCAAAGCACGTTGAAGAATAGAGACGATGTTCTCATCGGTGAGTTTCGCCAAGGTAAATGTTCTGCATCTGGAGAGTAGGGCATTTTGGACTTTGAAGGAAGGATTCTCGGTAGTGGCACCGATCAGGGTCACTTGTCCACTCTCCACAGGGCCAAGAAATACATCCTGTTGTGATTTTGAGAATCGATGGATCTCGTCGCAGAATATGATGGTTTTTCTGCCGGTCAAGCCAAGCTCACTACGAGCTTCGGAGAAGATCTTTTTGCACTCTGCAACCCCACTGCTGGTGCTGTTGATTTCTACAAACCGACTCCCTACCATGGATGCTATCACTCGAGCAATCGTGGTCTTGCCTGTCCCCGCGCTTCCCCAAAGAATCATGCTTGGAACGCGATCTTGTTCGATTAGTCCGCGAAGTACTCCAGAGGAGCCGACAAGTTCTTGACCGCAGACTTCTTCAAGATTCTTGGGGCGCATCCGCTCTGCAAGCGGAGCTGCTTTATGGAAAGGATTGACTTTGGGCCGTTTGGCTTGCGGTTCCGGGTCTGCATCGGATTGCTTTGCACCATTCTCTCGGATCGGTGTGTCTTGTGTAAATGATCGTTTGGCATTCAGAGGACGTGAGGTCGGTGCACTGGGACGAGATGGAGATTCTTTAGGCAAATTGGTTTGGGAGGAGGATTTGCGTGCGGAAGATGGTTGGAATATGCTCGGGACTGCTTTCTGAGAGGCGGATAGCTCGACCGGGGAGGAAGACGGCTCCTCAACGAAGCTCTGGCAGCCGGAATCGAGATGATCATTGATCTTTAACTGCGGAACAGATTTCTGACAAATCGGGCAAGAAACCATGGCTCCTAAATCTGGAAATCAAAATTGATGAAGAGTCAACACGAGCGCTACATTTAAATGCGGAGACGCGTCGCGATAAGACTTATGTAATACGCTTATCGAAGCTCTGATGCCTTGGTCTGGATGTGAAGCGTCACACCAATACTGTCCAATGATCATGGCACGATAAAGGAATCTGATGTCTCAATTGTCTTGTGATGTGCTCTCATTCTGTGTCGAAGAATAGGTTTGAGCCCAAGGTTGTCCATTATACGGAGTCCTGATTCAGGCATACTTTACCATAGTCAGAGTAGGTTTCGTCTAGAAAGGACGATGGAAAATCGTATAGGGATGAAAAACAAGGAAGTCTTTGCCGTTAATAGTAAAGTGATCCCGCGATTGATTGTAAAGTAGAGCCCAATGCATCGTCGGTGGCTCCGATAACCCTGAAAGTCTTATACTGTACTCCGCGGGAAGTCACCGAACTCCGAAGACGGAGCACGCCATTGGCCATTGGCCATTGGTGCTGGATGACTCGCACTCCGCAAGTACCACACCTTATTATACTGACAGCCCACCCCTCTCTTCCCCTCATGATTGTTGGTCGCGCTTCTCTTCTTTCCACCCTGACCCGATCTACAGTCTCTCCGCAACTGTCTCGCTTTTCCAATCTACCCCATTTTCCCGGTGTCGGCGCGAGAACAATGTCGGCAACTGCTCCGCGGCCCGATCCCTTTCGCCCCGCAAAGAGAGTAGCGGGGCAACGACAGGATGTCTGGTATGAACTGCACGAAGCTCATAGCACTGGACATAGCTTTCTGACATTGAGTCTCCAGGTCCATTGTGAATGAGGCTGCTGCCGCGTCGCCCGTCCAACCGATCGTGAACATGGGCCAAGGGTTTTTGTGAGTACCGTACTCCAGGAACGGGTATATGACCCCAATTGATAAAGACTAACTGGCGGTGTCTCTGCACAGTGGCTACAACCCTCCACAGTTTGCGATTGATGCTGCAAAGGACGCGCTCGACCGAGTGGAATGCAACCAGTACTCCCCCACCAAGGTACATAGGCACGACAACGGATAATGGGCAATTAGAACCTAGGCTCATAATTCATAGGGTCGCCCTCGTCTCAAGAAGGCCATTGCGGATGCCTATTCGCCTTTCTTCGGCAGGACTTTGAACCCCGAAACAGAGGTTTCGATTACAACTGGAGCCAACGAGGGTGAGCTTCAATGGCGGCGGGGCTAGATGGTATAGAGGCTGACAGGGCACCAATCAACCAGGAATGCTGAGCGCCTTCATGGGCTTCATTGAACCCGGCGACGAAGTTATTGTCTTCGAGCCATTCTTCGACCAGTAAGTGTTGTTTGGTTTTCTGGATGCTACGCAGCATGCTCAGTACCGTCCACAGGTATATTAGCAATATTGAGATGCCCGGTGGTACGATTCGCTACGTTCCGCTTCACCCTCCCAAGGACGGTGCCACCAGGACATCTCCTGCTTCCGAGTGGACGATCGATTTTGAGGAGCTGGAAAGCACCATCAATTCCAAGACAAGGATGATTGTCAGTACTCCCAAATAGAACAAAGGAAAATCATGTGCTAACAATCCGTTTAGGTTCTCAACTCACCGTATGAATCCGATTCCTCGATCTCCTTTCTCTAACTAACCATGTCCAGTCACAACCCTGTCGGCAAAGTGTTCTCGAAAGAGGAGCTCGAACGCATTGGTGCCCTCTGTGTCAAGCACAACCTGATTATTCTGTCCGACGAAGTCTATGATCGTCTCTTCTATGTTCCTTTCACCAGAATTGCAACTCTTTCCCCCGAGCTGTATGAGCGTACCCTCACGGTAGGTTCCGCCGGTAAAGCCTTCTATGCCACTGGTTGGCGTGTCGGCTATCTCATCGGACCGGAGCATTTGATCAAGTATGTGGCTGGCGCACACACCCGCATCTGTTATAGCAGTGTCTCTCCTCTCCAGGAGGCTGCTGCTGTTGCTTTCGAGCAGGCCGACAAGGTGGGATTCTGGGATGAGAGTCGAAATGACATGAAGCAGAAGATGGAGCGCTTCTGTCAGATCTTTGATGAGTTGGGTATTCCGGTAAGTGCACTTTTCTGGTTTCAGTCAAACTTATTTGAGGCTTTCACTGATCTCATATTAGTACTCGGATCCCGAGGGTGGATACTTCGTCCTGGCCAATATGTCTTCTGTCAAGCTCCCTGCAGACTACCCATTCCCCCCTCATGTCGCCAATCGCCCTCGTGATTTCAAGCTTTGCTGGTTCTTGATCCACGAGGTTGGCGTTGCTGCGATCCCACCCACAGAGTTCTACACCGATGCCAACACGCACATCGCTGAGGACTACCTCCGATTTGCGGTATGCAAGAACGACGATGTTCTTGAGAGCGCAAAGGAAAGACTGCGTGGTCTTAAGAAGTATATCCAGTGAACATGTTTTTTATACAATGACTCGCATATAGATCCAAGAGGTGAGAGTATGTAGGAATGTACCCGGTGATTGACGACCCAAATTTGATTGTTTCTATAATCATGTGTCGTAAAGCTGGCGCATATGATCTATATTATCTGCTCTACTTCAACAAATCTACCATTCTAGGTAGGAATCTACGTTATCCAATCCTAGGGAATATCTGATAAGGCCAAACGCAACAGCTGAAGAAAACCAAAAGTGCGCAAAAATGCAGAAAAAAAGGAACAAACGCTCAAATACTGGTCTGGGCATCACGTTTGGTAGCATGTGTCGCGAATTCTTTGTTCCAACACATGAGATATGCCGTCAACCAGATATAGACCAGCTGCCCCAGGGAAACACGCAAACACGCAGGAAAAGCAAAAACAGCAGTGTATTCAAGTAATAACGCAGCAGAACTGAAAGTGACACATAAGAGATAAAAAATAAAATATCAAAATATCAAAAATAAAACATAAAATCAAAGCAGCAAAAAGCTCACCACCATCATAACTGGCTAGGAAATGACACTCAACGTCAGTTCCGGCCTTCATGCTCCATCGGACCGGTTCCAACCCCATCCCAACCCTCACCGCGACGAAAAAGACGTCGGTCCTGCACAGCAACCCAATCACCATATCCTTCCCCTAGGATCCGACCTTCAATGCTTTTGCAGGTGGGGTGCGTGACTCGATTGGCGCGCAGGATCCAATACTGTGACTCCATGAATTGGCAAAGCTGTTCAAAGCCTGACTGAATGCCATAATCAATGATCATTTTCTCGCGTTCAGCGACGCAGGATGAATCCGGGCAGTTACGCGGAGGAGCACCAGTCCACTCGGTGATGCAAGCGTGTGTGAGACCTCTCTGAAAGTCCACCTCGGTCTCCAGCCATAACTGCTCCCATAAGTTCGCCTCCACCTCGCGTGTCCATGATCCTTGACTAAGAAGGTTGTCACGGATCATTTTGTAGAGGTAGCTCATTATGTGATCGGATTCCTCAGAGGCAAAAAGGCTCACCGCAAGGAGTCGGCGGAATCTGTCCTGTTCTGCTGGGCTGGACCATTGAACGGCCAACAGGAGCTTTCCTGTGCATCGCACATCCGGATGTCCTACTGCTAGGCTCATCCTGATTCGCTCGGCTCGGTCATTGAAGATAAAATAATCACCTTCTGACAGAGCAGTGCTGAGCCACAATGCCTGGCGATGACGCTCAAGGGAAGTACTCTCTTCAATAGCCGGGATCATGGGCGGTCCGGCCATGACTTCATCCTGGATTGAGGATTTTTTGATATGGCGTTGGAACGGGTAGTAGCCGCAGACTGGCCAATGTTCCCGCACGGCTTCACGCAGGTGTTCCTTTTTGCAATATCTGATCTTTGACAAAGGCCCACAAGCAGGGCAAATGCAAGATTGACCGTCCCATTGGGCACATGTCTTATCACAGCCTGATTTGGCACACGGAAACCCTTCGGTAGTGATATCCCAGAAAACAGGACCCTTCTGGGTAGGAGTGTTTTGCCCAGTCGCGGACGTGCTGGAGATCATGGAATATCCACTGGACGACGGAGTTGGTTCGGTAGAGTAGGGTGACTCTGACTGGATAGAAGTCATGGAGTATCCACTCGACGACGGAGTTGGTGCGGTAGAGTAGGGCGACTCTGACTGGATAGAAGTCATGGAGTATCCACTAGACGAAGGAATTGATGCGGTAGAGTAGAGCGATAGCTCTCTGTCAATTCCCTTGCCCGAGGGCACTGCAGTCCGCGAAGACGCCACTTGGTCTTGAGAGCTTGAAGAGTCATGATAATTTGGCATATCGGGAGTTTCTGCAATGTCGCGCCGGGTGTCTTCTTCTGGTTTTGATATCACAATCTTCGGAGACACGAGCATGCTGGCAATTCCTGCACTGGGAATGCTTCCATCCTTCGGGCTGCTGGCTTCTACAGCGGCGATATTACTGCTGAGCATTTTGGACAAGCCAGTCACAGAAGATGAATCATTCTGCGAGGTTCCGACTGCTGATGCCGTGATTGCCAGGTCACGCTTTTTGCCCGAGGCTTTGCCTTTCGGGTCACCAGCCGATGGCGGAATGGGATTGCGACCAGGTGTCTTGGATAAGTCAGGCGCGGGAAATGAAGCGCCATGCGAGAATCCACCCATTGATGCCGCAGCCGTAGACCTGGGCAATTTGAGAGAACTCACAACTCTCAAATGATGCTTTTTCTGAGTCGACTTGTCAATTAAAAGTGGTTGAAGTGCTGCAGTTGGCACAACCATATGGGAAGCTTGCTGAGCTCCAGTGGTCTGCGCATCTGAGCTGGGTAGGTCAGTGTTAGGAACTGCTTCCTCTTGCAACGCGTCCTCGTTCAAATGAGGATCATCTCGAGGTGGTCCTTCTACTTTGTAGGCTTCATCCCCCGCCGCAGCGCGAGTCTCGCGTTTGCCTCTACTTCTTTTTCCATTCTTTTTGCGACGATAACTGGATCCTTCGGTTTTCGGAGAAGCCGTAGGGCTAGACAAAGCACTTGAACTGACTCCACTGTTGGATACGTGGTCAGCCCCTTCCTCGAGAAGGGCGAAAAGTCGAGACTCCGCTATGATAAGGTTAGAGAGTATTCATCACGTATTTTAGAGGAGGGAGAGGGGGGTGAGTATGAAAGTGTAAGGGCTAAGAAGTCTTTGTTTACCTGTCTCTTGCTCCTTCTCGAAGGCGGAAACGGAGCCTCCCATCGTCGACCCCTCTGCAGCTGCAGGCAGCTTGTCTAGATAGAGATCAGTGGGGCTCTTTATGTGCGTGACTAAATGTTCATGATATGCAGTCAAGGGAAGGACTGGGGGAGAAGATGATCCTCAGGCTTCGAGATATTTGTTTACCTTTTGCTGCGTTGGTTTTGGACAAGTGAGAAATGAGGGGGGGAGTGGAATCGGGGAAGTGGAGTGGCTCTTTGCTCTGTGGATGTGCTTGAGAGGCTCCGGTGGAGGGGGAACCGGAAGTCTTCACTGCAGACGCTTCATAGCAAACGGGGGAGTTAGGGTCGTCGTCGTTGGAGTCTGGGTGGGCGACGTGGTCGTCACCGTTACGACGGCGCTTTTGCGTCTGTTTGTAGAGCTTTCGTCGCGCTTTCTGGGCCTGGTGCTTCTTGCGGTTTCTGGCATGAGTTTTACTCTCATGCCGGCTGCCCGACGACCTGGCTGGTGACCTGACCGACTCTGCGGTATGGATTTCTTTGCCTTCCTCTTCACCATTAGATTGATTGATCTTTCGTAACACCATGTTATGGGATAGCCATACCTATACCTTCAATGTTTTCAGGCTCACCAACCGGTGCCGCAGCCGCACTAACAGCTTGCGCAGTATCCTTCATCTCCTCGTCTTTTCCTTGTCGCGTCGCGTTATGTGGCAAGGCGATCTGATGCAGTCGGGTGGGGTGCAGGAGTAACCTTTCAGCAGCACACCAGACGCGTAACGTTGGCCTAATTGAGGTTTCGCTTGACGTTTCGCTGGGGTTTAGGGTAATTGGAAATATTTCAAAATATGAGTGACACGCCATTTCTCCTAGCGCGGTTTTCATGTCGTAACATTCACTTGACTTCGCTTAAATTCACTTCACTTCACTTTGAATTGCCTAACCCACAATGGAATTATGTTAAATAGACACTGACTAACCCGTTTTATGGTCTCATTTTACTTGTGTTATCATGTAGCCTATACGTAGTGAGCGCTGGTGCCTACTAAAGATGTCCAGCTTGCACCGCACGAGCGGTCTTTGACCAGTCTCATATCTCACTATTTTCTGTCTATCAACAATGAGCATACTGCTTCCTCGTCTCTCTGATTTGAGCTTGAAAGTTCTATGCTGAGGGTCATGGAGATACTAATATCTCCAAATATTAAAATCAAAGCACCTTATACCCACCCCTAAGTCCGAGACTATACTACCTCTCATACTCACTTCTCCACCATACAAGACAAAAACTTGCGCTCTTGCTCTCCTCAAAGAGGAATGGGCACAGACCTATACTCAGCTCGCTTCTTTTACAACCGACATACGCGGATAGCGAAACCATGCCGCCGCTAGGAACTCCAACATGTTATTGATGAATGGCGATTCGGATCAATGAAATGTTTGCCTATCAACTTCTCCCTCGACGATATTGTCGACGCCAAAGTCGAGGCGCTTTCCCAGATCGCCGACGACAAATTCGGCCTGAACGTCGCTTTTATCACTGGCCAGTTCTCAATCAAAACTAGCGACGAGATTGACGCAGTCGACGACAAGGAAGGTGATTCTGGCGGGGATTTCACTGATTCGTTCAACGCCCACAAAAGACATCGAGAAGCTTTCGTTCATAAATAAGAAAATCTAGATAGACATAAACTACTTCTGCAGCATGTCCGGTACGACACATCCAATCGTCCCAAGCCCCGCGTCAAGAAGACCTGACCTTGATTGAAAGTTGCTTTTATTCCACTTAACCTCCACTTAGATATGTTTACTATGACAAGTACAGGGCCCTCGTCAATTGTTGGCCATCCCCATATTCGAGATTTTTGCTTTCATGAGCTGCACTTTATGCTGAGTTACTGTCAACTCACGAATCCTGGGACCTTCAATGTAACAAAGAGACTTTGATTTTAGTCACAACTATGGGTATCTATTCCATGTATCTATATTTCGAGAGGCTCTTGACCACCGTTTACTAATTTAGCTTCAAGTTGCCCAATAGCATCTCTGGAGCATATGATTCAGCTCATAGTCATAATGTGTCGACCATGAGAAAGTAGGGTAGACTAGTACACGTGATTGACAGGCTATTGAGTCACGTGTATCACCCGATTCGTCCCTTGGATCCCATTGTCGACTCAAGAAATTATGTCATATTTATTGTCAAGGCGATATGTCCTCAAAACATTTCATGTCACTGGTGTTTGAAATTGCGAGATATCTAGTCAAATGTTTTTTTCGTTGTAAAAATGTAGTGTTCAGTCTCATGGTAAAGGATAAGGAGCATCTGTGTGGCGTATGGGACACGGCTACTCCAACCTTGGAAGCCACTTCGCAACATCCTAAAGACGAAGTCAACATCAGTGAATCTAAAACACATTACTTCTGCCTACTCATATGGTGTAAGTCACACCACTGCTATGAGCGGGTGTCTTGTTCGAGCCACAGTGCCTGACGAGTAGATGATTGGCTGGTAGCGACGGGCGCTAAGCGCCCATGGGGCTATATTTGGATCCATCAGTGGTTTTTACAATGACAGGAGCGATTTACGCGCTTTGTTAGTAGATGAAACAAACCAAACGTTTTCAGTCTATATTTCTACAGCTTTCTTTGTTTCGATGGGCCCGTGACTCACTGTGACTGGTTGTTTCGTGACTTGCCGGGGTCGCTACCTGCTTCCGATGGGCGGCTTCTTTGTAGATCGTGTTAGCGCCAGAATGCTAAAAAAGACCTTCTTCAGGCTGCTTTTGACCAGGGCCTATATGTAGTCCTGCATGAGCCTTTATCTCTTGACTTCCGGCGTTTGCTCTCTTCCAAGGCTTCCTTGTTTACTTGCTGTCTCATTGAATTTCTTGACATTCATTACTCATCGCCGGTCGATACAACATGCTTATTGAATAGATCTTTGAATCAATTCACTCAATATACTTCCCTTTCTCTGTCGGCCTCGTCTAATCTTCTTCTATTCTCGATTGGTTTGACCGTGACATCTCGAACTTTTTTCCGATCTCCGCTCAACAACTTCTTCCCAAGGCCCTGGAGGCCAGTCACCCTATCACAATGGTTTTTGGAAAATCCACACGAACAATATTTCCGCTGCTTCCACCATATGGTGCACACAATCCAGAAGATGGACGCATTATTCCATCTCATCCAGATGGACTTACACCTTATCTCGGCCTAAGAGCCCGATTGTCACAAGTTTGGATCAATCGCTGGACAATTTTGATCCTCCTTGTACTTGTTCGACTTTTGTTAGCCATCGGTAACATACGAAGCGACATGGCCAGTGCCAAGCGCGAAGCCCTCTCTGCATGTACCTCGGTCGAATCCATGGGCAGTGCTATGGCATCGATGCCACACTATCTTGCAGGGGGAGTCAACGAGCTGACAGCTGCCGGTGTCACCAATGCCGTCAGTGGTTTGAACTCCATGTTAGATCTCGTTATCACCGCCGCTGAAGAGATTATTATCTTTGTCCTCAAGATGATGTACCAAACCTACCTCTGTCTGATTACCCTGGCTGTACGAGGTGTGGTGGAGGCAGCAACGGTGCTTATTGAGGATGTTATTGATGGAGTAAATAAAACCATCAAGGCTGTGGAGTCAGATATCACAAGCGTCGTTGGCACATTTGAGACGGCTCTCAATGATGTGACTTCATTGATCAATGACCTAGGCGCTTCTATCCCAACCCTCAATCTCAACAGTTCTCTCGCCGAGCTGAACGATTGGTCCATTCCTTCTTCTGTCGACACGAGCATTAGCAAACTCAACAACTCAATCCCCAGCTTCGCTACTGTTGAAAACTTTACTGAATATGTGATCAAGTCGCCCTTTGAGGAGGTCAAGAAACTACTCAACGACCACTTGGGCAATTACAGCTTTGACAGCTCAGTCCTCTCCATTCCCGCTAAAAAATCCCTGACATTCTGCAATGACAACGATGGGATCAACAGCTTCTTTGACGGAGTAACCGATGTTGCCATAACCGCCCGGAAAATCTTCATTATCGTCTGCATCGTTGCAGCTGTTTTGGCCTGTATTCCTTCCGCATACCAAGAAATTCGAAGGTGGCGTCAAATGAAGGAGCGTGCACAACTCGTTCGGAAGGAAGCTCATGACCCCATGGACGTTGTTTACATTGTCTCCCGACCATATACCGCCGCCGCTGGTATCAAAGCCGCAAGCCGTTTTAGTAACAGCCGGCGACAAATTATCGTTCGGTGGGCTATTGCATATGCAACAACAATGCCAGCACTCTTTGTGCTCGCTCTTGCCATTGCCTCCCTGCTGGCTTGTCTGTTCCAATGGATTATCCTCCACGAAATCTCAAAGGAAGTCCCGGCGCTCAGTGCCGAAGTCGGCCAGTATGCTGATAAAGTGGTGTCAGCCTTGCAAAATGCCTCAACGGAGTGGGCGGATGATGCGAACGGGTACATTACCAACTTTGACAACGAAATCAACACCAACGTTTTGGGATGGGTGAATACGACCACCACCGCAGTCAACGATACTCTGAATGTCTTTGTTGAAAAAGTCACCGGCGTTCTCAACGACACATTCGGGGACACAATCCTCAAAGACCCAATTGAAGAAGTATTCAACTGCTTGATCGGCCTCAAGATCGCCAGCTTCGAAAAGGGCCTCACCTGGGTCTCGGACAATGCGCATGTCAACTTCCCTCTATTCCCAGATGATGTCTTCTCAAAGGGTGCAAACGAGAGCATCACAAACGACTCTTCCGATGACAGCTTTCTCTCCAACGCAGGCGATGAGACCTCTAACAAGATAACTGAAGTCGTTAATGAAGTTATCCACGCGCTAAATGAGGCTCTTCGTCTGGAAACAATCATCGCAACTGGCATCTTCCTCATTTGGGTGATTATCGTTATGATGGGCGTCTTCCGTGCAATGTTCCTGTGGTGGGGCCGTGATCGGAATCGCGGTGATGGCGGTGGTCATGCTATGGACCCTGTGCCTAACAACCCCCAGCTGCCGCCTGGTCCTCGCGGGTTCACCGATGTTCCTTTGACAGCTATGCCAAAGGCTGCTTCGGGTGGTGCGCCTCCGGCTCCAAGGTATGAAGCTAGTGCGGCGAGGGCTGTGGCTGTACAGAATGATCCTTTCCATGATGCTCATGCATATCCCGACGAAAAACTGGGATTTGCGGGTCAGAGGACTTTACAAGTAGATTCCACAGCTACTTTGAGACAGAGTAATTGTGTGGAGTATGACGTGAAGGGTTAGGCGGGAAAAGACTATTGCATAGCCCTGGAGTATATTCTTTTTATTCGTATCATCACAAGCATAACTGTTCGGGAGTTTCCAAAATTTTATGTTATTCTTCTCTTTTTCGATTGTTTCCTATTTGGTGATAAAAATCAACAAATGTATAGATTTCAGCGATCGCTCTTTACTACAACAACATTACGTTGTGATATTCTTTTTTTGTTACATTACTATATCACAATTCCAAGGTTGATTCAATAATGATCCTCAAGATCATCGTCGTAGTGGTAATGCATTTCTAAGTCGCTATATACATCCGTCATCTATGCGTAAAGCCAAAAGGATATGCCAAAAGTTTTTACATCCTATCGTGGAAGATAGGTAGTTTAGAGGCTTACGCCGATACGTCATTAGCGCAAGACCAGCTCTGTGAGCTAGAATCATTGTGAATCGTGACGCCAGACACCCAAAGACCCAATCCACACTAAATGACAATTAGTATCTGGCACACAGCGTTAGGGATGTAGAAGTAAACTTACAATAGCCAAGGCACAGCCAAAGACGCCAATGTTGATGATGGTTAGGCATGCCTTCTTCCAGTTCTTGAAGTACTGACCCCTGTTCATGTGGAACCAGAAAACAGCAGGGAGACCGACTATCCAGCACGTTAGCATTTAAAACAGCAGAGCAGGAGAGGGTGATTTGTGAAGACATACAGCTGAACCAACTTCCGAAAAGAGCACTCTGCAAAGTAAAGGTTCTCGTTAGCTACGGTTATTTTGCAGGGCGACCTTTGATAATACATACGATAAGACTCAACAGGTCGTTGAACACGGGAATCGACTCCGCGACAACCCAAGAGATGACCCAGACACCGATACAGATAGCAACCCAGGTTCCAATGGAGAGGAGACTGCGGCTGTGCATCTTGTCGGAGCCACGGAACATGCGCACGTAGATATACTTGCAGGCGACGTGGCCCAAGACGACACCGGATAGAATGACCTTTCATTTGGTTAGCATGCAACAGCGACTAGACTTCAGTGGATATAAAATGTGACCTACAGTAGGGATAGCTAGTCCCCACGCAATCTTGCTCATAATGGGACTCAAAGACAAGATAGCAGGCGACTGAACGTTGGGTCCAACATAGCGGTAGATGATGAGAGCGCTGATCAGGTAAAGAACAGTGTCGACAATCTGAAGCATGGCAAGGGACTTGTTGAAGGTCCGGGGGTCCTCGGTCTCAGACATGAAACCGAAGTATGCAACGTGGGCAACTAGATAGATCGTTAGCTAGTCTACTCCACAAGATCAGGACTTTTAACATACGATAGGCGAAAATAATATTAGTCACGGCCAAAAAGCCCTCCTTGAATCCAACATCAGTAGTGGATTGGATCGGGATATGACCCTTGCTCTCAACGCCGGCGGCGATCATGGTCACCATGACGGCAACAAAGACACTCGCAAAGGCTGTGAAGAAGTTAGTCCAAGGCATATCTTAGTTTGACTGGATCATGGCACTATCGGGTGCTCTCAAGGAATACTGAACATACAAACAACAGACATCACGTAGACCTTGTCCATGGTACGGGGCAAGGCGCCCAGGAAACAGATGATTAGACCGACGACACCAAAGACGAGGGTGCAGGTGCCGTGATTGGTGAGCACGTTCATCAAGATGTTGAAAGTGAGGATGTTGCTCGCCATGAGGAAAATCAGGAGCAGCAGCTGGCCGATTCCGAGCAACTCACGTCCAAAACGGCCCATCAAGAGCTCGCCGGCATCACCCATACTGTGGATGTGAGGGTGGCGGAGCTTGAATTGACCAATTTCATAACCTGTGTACCAAGACAGGGCAGAAATGAAAATGATCATGATAGCAGCACTGTATACATATTAGCTCATGCATCCCATAGAAAAGATGAGTCAGATCACATACGGAGCCATTCCAAGCGTGGCCACAGCAGAAGGCAGCGACAGGATACCCACAGAGACATTCTCAGCAATCATGACTAGAATATTGGTTAGAACACATACTCCTGATATTAATCAATGGGAATTGAAGGCGAACTCACGCATGCCGCAGTGCCACCACTTCATGGTCCGATACTGAACCTCAGCATTCTCCTCATTGCCAAAGGGCTCCAGGTCCTTTGCATCAAAGGGCTTCTCCTCGTCACCAGGGAACGGTCCTTCAATCACCCTCTTGCCCTCGACATCGTAACGCTCCTCATGAGTCATGATGGGCAAAATTGAAGATCTGAGTTTTTCCGTGCGGCGGCCCTTCTCCGGATATAGAAATTCTCTATAGATCGAATTCCGGAAGAACAGAAGCCCGAAACCCAGCAAAACACCTTCAATTGGAGAGAACTATGCCAGCATTCGTTAGAAAATGATTCAGATCAAGAAAAGTAATTCTACCCCAGTTAAGCCAAGAAAAAATTCTGAAGACGCTCCGGGGCACGATGTGGAGCCTTCATATTTTTTGGCGCTTGTTACTGGGGGAGAGCGTGTTACTTGTCCGAACCCGGCGATCGGTTTTGCCGACGGTCTCGGGAAACTGTACATCGGAACCTTTTCTGACGGGCTTTCGTGGCTTTACACAATCCGATCGTTTTATTGGCCTTCGAAAAATCTGGAGAGAAATAATAATTCGCTGGAACTACATGGTGACCTATATTTATTGACGTTCCTCCCCCTACATCGCGATAGAACTAGAAACGGAAAACAAACACAATTGGCCGCGGGAAAAGTACAAATGCAAATAAGTTCATTCTCTTCAAGGCCATAATTCAAGTTATTTTTTTTTAGGTGTTGTCGTACATGCCGTGAATCGTAAAAAAAAGATGATCTTACTAGATAGCAACAAAGAAGCTCTGCTCGCCTTCTTTGGGTTGAACCCGGGCGCGCTCGACGATGGGATCGGCACAGCTGATCCGAATACGCTCTGGCGTAGCAGGGCTCCGCAAACTCAGGACTTCCTTAACACCCCACTGTTCTCGAGCGGCCTTCAATGCGTCACGGATAGCGAAGAAAACAGCACTACCCATGAAAAGGGGCGGTTCACCAATACCACGCGAGCGCTGGATCGTGCGCAGGTTCTCCCACTCAACGTCCTTAAGCAGGCTGACATTGAAGACTTGAGGGATATCACGGAAACCGGGGATTTTGTAGTTACCAGGTCCACGGGTGAAGATCTGTCCCGAAGCGCGGTGCCAAAGACTTTCTTCCGTGGTGAAGAGACCCTGGCCCTGGACATAGGCGCCCTCGATCTGACCATAGTCGATGGAGGGATTAATTGTACGACCGACGTCCATTTTGATGTCGGCACGTAGCGGTGTCCAATCACCCGTCAAAGTGTCAATCTGCACTTCGGCAGCGGTGACACCTTGTGTGAAGTAGAAGAACATTTGACCGGAGTTCTCACCCCATACATAGCCGATATCAGGAGTTCGGTAGTAACCTTGCGCGGAGAGATTCACACGGTCAAAGTATGCTGTATGAGCAAGTTCCTTCATTGTCGCGTTTGGCATCTTCTCACGGTAGGGTTTAAGTCGCTCGTTGAGTTGCTCGCAAGCGTTGAAGATGGCGTAGCCATTGAGATCGGAGCTGGCCGATGCGGCAGTCGATGATGTATTAGGAACGGTATTGGTAGCTGTCTCGGAGATGAAGACGCTGTCCTGTGGCACTTTAAGAGCCTCAGCAGCGATCATGACCATCTTTGTATGAAGACCTTGTCCCATTTCGACGCCACCGTGGGCAACAAGAACACTACCATCGTGGTAAATGTGTACCAAGGCACCCGCCTGATTCAAAAAGAGGGCTGTAAAGGAGATACCAAACTTTGTTGGTACAATAGCCATTCCACGTTTGGACCACCTGTGCTCTTTGTTGTATTGTGTCACAGCCTTTCGTCGCTCGTTGTAGTTACTCTCCTCCAGGACTTGGTTATACATCAACGGAACATGCCAATCTTTGAGGGGTTGGTGGAAGTGGGTGGTTTCATCAGGCTGATACATGTTCAGAGCTCGTAGATCCTCAACAGGAATGTTCAGATGATCCGCAATCTCTGAAATGTAGCATTCGGCGAAGAAAAGACCCTGTGGGCCACCAAAGCCACGGAACGCAGTGTTTGAGACCGTATTTGTCTTACAAATCCGACCTCGCACGTTAACATTGGGGATCTTGTACACGCCGTCAATATGCGACAAGCTTCGTTCAACAACAGCACCAGAAAGATCTTGTGTGTGGCCACCATTGGCATAAACGTCTGCATCAAGGGCCAAGAGCTTTCCCTCCTTCGTGACTCCCACCTTCCACTTGCACATGAATGGGTGACGTTGGCCTGAAGTCAGGATATCTTCGTCTCGGTTAAGCATACAGCGAACCGGTCGCTTCAGCTTTGCGGCTGCAGTAGCACAGATTCCAGCTAGCTGGATAGAGCGCGTTTCTTTGCCACCAAAACCACCTCCAAGTCGCTTGACACGAGAAACAATCTTGTTCGCAGCCACACCAGTTACCTGGGCGATGTATGTTTGCCTTCCATAGCAATTAGTACCATCATGTATAAAATCAAACAAATTTCAGTGACTTACGTCTCAGTTGGGTTCTGTGTGCCACTCCATACTTCCATTTCACCATCCTCTGGTTTCCAAACACAGAGACATGCCTGGGTTTCAAGATAGAAGTGCTCCTGACCACCCATTCGCGAAACGCCTTCGTAGACATGATCAGCCTGCTTAAAGGCCTCTTCTGTGTCACCACACTTTATGTAGCGGTAGTGACCAAAGAAAGACTCCGCCTCAATTGCCTCCTCAATAGTGAGGATGACAGGCAAGTCTTCATACTCCACCTTTACCGCTCGCATACCTGCCTCCGCAATCTTGGCACTTGTGGCCAGAATGACACCAATCGGCTGACCGGCTGTGTTCACTTTGTCGACAGCAAAGAATTGCTCATCAGAAACAGGCGCGCCCCACCAATTAGCTTCAGGGTTTGGCAAGTCTCGATGA